CCCCCCCCCACCCAGCTGCCGTCAATACCGGACAATATAACATGTGATAGTTTCTATGACATGTCCACTACGACCTTGAGGACCAGATTTCCCTCATCATCCTTGACCTTGCCAGCCATAGCAAAGGCCTCGCTAATCTTCTCCATGCCCTTGAACCGCTGTGTCACCATTTTCGTGAGATCTGGCATCGCCTTGGGTGGATTCGATAGCATGGCGATGACCTCTTTGTATGTGTTTGCATAGCGGAAGACACCCACCAAATCGACCTCGCGCAGGGCTGCTGCCGAGATGGGCAGGGTCAGGACGGGTGTGCCCATGCCAATGATCATGATCCTGCCGCCCGGTTTGGTCGCGTAGATGGACGCTTGCAGACACGTCTCGACACCGGTGCACTCGTAGACGGCGCCCACCTCGCCTACCTTCTCGCCCCTAATCTCTGCGTCCCCGACGAGCCCAGCGACCTCCTTGGCGTATTTCAGCTTGTCCTCGACAGTCTCTGGCCTCGCCATGGGCACGACGACGCTCACATCGGCAAACCCGTTGTTCACCGCAAAGTCCAGCCGGTCCTCGTTGATATCCGCAATGACAATCTTCTCGTGGCCGGCTGCCCGCGACACGGCTGCGACGAGAAGGCCCACGGCGCCAGCGCCCAGCACGAGTAATGTAGTGGAAGGGTCGAGAGCAGCGCGGTTGCGCGCATGCATGGCCACGGAGAGGGGTTCCATCAATGCGCCGAGGTCGAGTGAGAGTGCGGGAGGCAGCTTGTGACACCATCTTGCGGGGTGGTTGATCTTCTCCTGCAATGTGCCCTGCGCATGAGGGTTTGCCTTGGCCGAGCTCCTAAACTTCATGCCTTTGCAGATGTTGTACCGCCCCGTACAGCAGTACTCGCATTGCTCACAAGACAAGCCGACTTCGAGGGCGACGCGGTCCCCGACGGCGAGGTCTGTGACGGAGGCACCTGTGGCCACGACTGTGCCGGCAGACTCGTGGCCCAGGGTGAGCGGCTCGCGCACGATAATGTCGCCATTGCGGTAGTGGTTGAAGTAGTGGAGATCAGAGCCACAGAGACCTGTTGACTGGACTGCGATCTGGACCTCGTCGTCAGCCGGCGTGGGCAGGTCGCGTGTTTCCTATGGTGATCAGCGCATCGTCGACATCAGGACTGGACCAGGCCCGGGGAAGACGTACTTGGCGAAGGTCTTTGGCGCCGTGAAGAACGGACGCGGCGACTTGAGTACATGTAGTAGACATGATGGCGACTAGTTGGTGAAGAGGTATGGGAGTCTTGCTGTCAAGGTGAGCTCAGAGTGAAAGCGAGAGCAAGTTGGTCAGCTTGAAGCCAGCCAGCTGGATGGAGGATACCCCGAGAGCAATGAACCACCCCACTGGAGTCATGAGTAAGTTAGCAGCTCCAACGACCAACCCCACAGAGGAGACGGATATTTCTTCATTCAAGCTTGGCAAGATCCTCGTCATTCACCCATCTCTCGCTTGAGAAGCTGAGGGGCATCGCCGAAGATTGCCTCATTCGGAATTGGCGGCACGTCTCCAGTCTCCAGCGAGCGCGGGGCAGCATTTACCGACATACCCCCCACCAAATCCCCCAAACGTGAGCTTGTTCAGCGACTGGAAGACTTGAATGCAAATCTTACTTGTGATAAACCGGGCAGACGTTCATCAGACTTGCTCTTTGAGAAGCTTGCAACCGCGCATCATGAGTCTCTTCAGCTTAAAAGACCACACAGCCCTCGTCACGGGAGGCACCCGGGGCATCGGGCAGGCCGTCGCGCTGGCCCTCGCCGAAGCCGGAGCTGACATTCTCCTTGTTCAAGTGCGTCTGTCCGTCCTCAGGAGATATTAGATGGTCATCACCTGCCCTGACCTGAGCTGACCCCAATCCAGCGCGATACGTCCAACACAAAGACCAAGGAGCAGATTGAAGCACTCGGGCGCAAGGCAACCATCTACACCTGCGAGCTGTCCTCGCCGGAATCTGTCGCCTCGCTCGTCCCCAAGGTCCTTGCCGATGGCCATGAGATCCGCATCCTGGTGACCTGCGCCGGGATTCAGCGACGCCACCCAGCCGATGTGTTCCCAGACAGCGACTTCAACGAGGTCATGCAAGTCAATCTCAACTCCGTCTTCACAATGTGCCGGGACATTGGTGCACACATGCTCACGCTGGAATCGTCCCCTGTGACGGGTCGCAAGGGCTCCATCATCAACTTTGCCTCGCTGCTCACCTTTCAAGGCGGCCTCAACGTCCCAGCCTACGCTGCGTCCAAGGGTGCGGTCGGCCAGCTGACCAAGAGCATGGCCAACCAGTGGAGTGACAAGGGCATCACCGTGAATGCCATTGCGCCCGGCTACATTGCGACGGACATGAACGAGGCCCTGCTCAAGGACGAGAAGAGGCTGCAGAGCATCTCGGAGAGGATTCCGGCGGGCCGATGGGGCACACCGGAGGACTTTAAGGGGACGGCGGTATACTTGGCGAGCAGGGCAAGCGGATACGTGAGTGGGCATGTGCTGACGGTCGATGGCGGGTGGATGGGTCGGTAGGAGACGAAATATTGGAAACTGGGCTGTTTTCATATTGTCTGCCTCGGACAACTGCCCAAGCCTGCCTACAGGCCCGGGGAACCAGTCGAGGGGTAACTGGGTGCATTACCTGCAACGTGCTCATGTTTGGCATAGACCTCCTTTCTCTTACTGATAGACTGCAAGATTCTGCCATCCAGGGCATTCACTCTGCCCACTTGAGTCTTCTGCCTCCGTACAAGGGCTTTTCTTGGGGACAGTGCTTGCATGGCTCTGTACAGTCAGCCGACTTGCCATCTGCCGAGGTGTCCTTAAACTCACTCCGCTTGAGTCGCAGCGATCCGAATGCGCGCAAGAGATGAATGAATGTCCTGGAGCATGTTGATAGCGATTTCGGTAGACAATAAACTCGCAATGATGTGCGTCAAGGCACTCGGCAAGAGGGAGGTTCGGTGAATTGTGCGTGGACCAGTTTTCGTAATGCTCTAGACAGTAGGTAGGTCTCCAGTGCCCTTTTCAACCTGCCAGCAAAGAGTGAAAGCGCATTATTCGGCCCCGAGATGAACCGTGAATTTGTTTGCCCCCAAGATAATTGACCGAATTGTCGGGAGGATACTCGAATGCGGCACATCCTTCGCGCTGCCCTGTCGTGGAAAAGCCTCCGCGTAGTTGAGTCCATGTCTATTGTCTATCGTTAATGTACCGTATCTATCCAACCATTGAACGCCCCATTCTTCCGTAGCCTTGGTGTAGGCCGTCGTGTCGCGCACCGTGAGCACCCTATTTCTTCTCGTAGTAGTGCGCCATCTGCAAGCCCGCTCGCCGGAAGCCGCACTTGATGTAGAAGCCCTCGTTCGCCTCGCTGCAGTCGAGGATGCTCTTGTAGCAGCCGACCTTGTCGGCGACAAAGTCGAGCGCTTGGATCAGGCGGAGACCAAGTTTCTTGCCTTGCTGGTTGCGGGCGACCGCAATGTCTTCAATGTGTCCGACCGCTCCGAGGTTGTGGATGCTGTTATCGATTGTCAGCAGCGAACGAATAGTGGCAACGGCGTCTTGGCTGGGCATGGCGTCACGCACAACTTCCTCTCGACGATCAGCGCGCCTGTTGCAACAACGGAGTTCTCCGTCAAGCTGGTGTCCTCAATCACAATGAGGTAGTACCCGCCCTGCTTCTCCATGGTATCGAATTGTTGCTGGAAGCCCTCCTCGGTAACATCGCCGACCGTGGTCAGGACGCGCAGGCAGTCGAGGAAACCCGAGGCGTGATCGTCGCGACGCAAGGCGCGCAGGACGTACCCCTCGGGCAGGGCAGCCTGCACCTCAGGCGAGAGGAGGTCGGGCGAGAAGAGAGGAGCGGCCATTGTGGTTCGTCGGATCGAATTGAACGAGTGTGGATTGGAAAGCGTGAGAGATAACAAGAAAAAGGTCAAGGGCAGAAGGAGGAAAAAGGCGTCACCATCAAACATGAAGGCTGGCCGTCATCTTTGCCAAGCTCCAGTCCCATCTGAGGATCTTGCGTCCCGTCCCAGGGGCCGGGGCGGTGTGGCGCAGCAGCGCATCGAAGGGTGGGGGCGCTGCATGGAGGATTCGAGGTACCAGCCCGCACCTATTTTTGGAGCACGATTCACGATCACTATGGTCATCCATCCAATTGGTGAAATCACACCACAGAAACGAAGCTCGCATTGATGGAGCAAGGATTGATGAATTAATAAGGTAGAATCGAAAATTGAGGATAAGGCACATGCTAGAGTACCGGGCGCCATATTCGTCGAATACCCCCCGCTTCGTGCAAGCCCACGCAGTCATGACGGACATCAGCGTTAGGCAGCCCCTCGGGTGAACACGCGACTACACGCTCAGATGCGAAGGATGGATCTCGCCTTGAGCCTGGCGGCCGAGCTGAGACACTGCGAGTACCACTCGTTGTGAGCGACGCACGACAGACCCGCGGCGCACTTTGTCGACCCAGTCCAGTTGTTGCCGCCGCACTGGTGCCACTGGGAAACCTCTTCAGCGGAGGGCGCGGCGGGCGCGGCTGGCTCCTCGGGTTCGGCCTCTTCCTCGACAGGCTCTTCCTCGACAGGCTCTTCCTCGACAGGCTCTTCCTCGACAGGCTCTTCCGCGACAGGCTCTTCCGCGACAGGCTCTTCCGCGACAGGCTCATCCTCCACAGGAGGCTCTTCGACTTCGGGGGCAGGATCAGGCGTGACGGCACTGGAACCAAGGTTGGCAGGGCCAGCGTTGCTGCTTACGAGGCTGGCCACCTCGCTCGCGGCAACAGGCACCACGAGAGCATCGGTCAGGCTAGAGAATGGCTGAAGGGCGCTGCTCGAGGACATGGGCGTAAGGGAGCCACTGTCCGCATCGACGGCGTTGACAGCGCAGGAACGGCCAAGGACCGACTCGCAAGCACCGGCCGCGGCTGAGTCGGGGGTGTCGAAGATGGTGGCAATGGCGCTGCCGGAAAATGGGGTGTTGACGGACTCAAAGGCATTGCCCTCGAGGAGGGCGACAGTGCCTTCATACGCCTCGAAAGCGTGGCCATTCATGTTCTTGAAGTAATTGTTGGTGGCGTGGAAGGTGCCGGCCTCACCGAGCTTGGGGGCGCGGCCAGAGACATTGTGGAAGTAGTTCCTGTCCAGGGTGGCCTGGTCGCCCTCTCCGATGAGCATCATGGTCCAGTAGTGGTTATCGTTGCAGGTGGCCGAGGTCGTGGTCACGCCGTCGAACTCGTTGTTGGAGATGGTGTATCGCGAGCCGTCGTAGTGACTGACGATGAACTGGCGGCCAATCTTTGAGAACTTGCAGTGATCAATCCAGACACCGTCGTTGCCGCCCTTGAGATCAAGGGCATCACCGCCCCAGACGATGCCCGGGTTGAGGTTGGTGATCTCGATGCCCTGGACGATGACATTGCTGGAACCAGCAGACAAGGATAGGCCCTTGCCGTTCAGGACTGCCTTGCCGCCAGCCCCCAGGATACTCTTGTTGCTGCCGACAGTGAGGGGCTCTGTGCCGGCCACATCATAGGTGATGGAGCTGACAGGAACATTGTCAGAGCTGCCGCAAGACAGCGTCCCGAGGTAGAGCTGGCCACCATTAGCGGCGGAACAGCTGTTTCGATCGCACCCAGAATCAGTAGCCGTCTGGCCAGTGAAGTCGTATTCACGGTCGATGACAATAGTACGAGGCGTATCGTCGGATAGCCACTCGGCCAATTCCTCGACGGAGGAGGGAGTCTGGGCAGCCGCATCACCACCGCCAGTGACACCGGCTGCGAAACCGTATGCGGTGCCCACAACCGACTGGGATGCGGCCGTGGCGGCAGCAGCCAAGATGATGGAGACTGTCGAGAGATGCATCTTGCAGTATTCGGGGACGACGGTCGAAGCTTAGTGATGTGTGTGACGATCTGTTGGTACTAGATCAAGTATAAGGAACGAACACTGCTGATATACAGAGACAATGGTTAACGCGCCAGCGCGAGCAAAAGAGTGAAAGCTAGCGGGGACAGAATGGAACGATGGAAAAGAACGAAAACGATGTAACACTCAGAAGAATCTCATGAGCTTCGTTGCCCCAGGGCAGGGCCTTTATATCTATAACCGTGTTCGGTGTTCCCATGGGCAGAAAATCCCGACATGGGTCGTGAAAAGCGCCCTCGGACTCGGAGGCCGGCTCTGTTTCTGAACATAGCGCGTTTCAATACTATGAAGGGGCCACGGAGGGGGTCACCTACTTTGGATGAATGTTGAAACGCACCAATGGGGACGGCATCCCCAAACGGGACGTCTCATCTGTCACCTGAGCAGCCGCACGATGTTCAGGTGAGCCTCTTCGACAACCATGAGGACGTGGTTTCTTCGATTCAGGGTACCTTCGGAGCATTTACGTGCAGGCTGTCCATATGGGATATGTGGAGGCGCAAGGAGCACGAGCGAGGATCTTGAAACATGTGCGCGCAGGAGAGACCCTGTTGCCGCGTTTGCTGCCGAGTTGAATGACTTCTTCGATCGGTCTTTCGAGGCCCTTTCTGAACTATGAACCTGTGTTCAATCATCAAGTGCTTCAAACTTCTGGCCCCTGGGGTTGGGTTGAGTTCAGCCAGGTAAGGCAAGGTACCTTACCTTACTTAGCCCCTGGTCGAACAAGCGCTGAATCACATGCAAATCGCCCGTCCCGCCCCTCCATCTCGCCCGCTGCCATGTGGCACTCAATCCAGCGACACATCACCATCCATCGCATTCCAGAATCCAGCGCATCGGAATGCATCTCAGCCTCCTCATCTCACGCGCGCCCATGCGCAGATTGGTCGAAATCACGTAGCGACAGCATAAACATGTCGCGCACCCCGACTCCTTCGCACCCTGAAGCATTGCCATCGCCATGCCTGGAGACCAACCCGCCATCGCCATGGTGGGATCCCAAGCAGATTCGACGCTGCTCCCAGCGCCCATCGCCCAGGCTATCAGTCTAGCCACGAGATCTACGCAGCTCGCCATCCGCGTCACCTCCATCTTTGGTACCTATACGCTTTCGACGGCCAAGTTCACCACCCTCTCCAGCCTGGAGCTCGCACGAGGCATCGTCGAAGGTGTCTTGATACGCGCAGGCGGAGAGACGGCACTGGGGTCGCCATACGCTGTCACGGACGCGGAGGGAATTCTGGAGCGCAGCCTGGAAGTTCTGCACCATGCAGTTAGCCACGCTGCCTTTTGGACATCGGCGTCCTTCCAGCTGACAGGCACGACGCTGTCTGCCGTGAGCGATGTCTCGACCTTGATCTTGAGCTCGCTGGACCAAATTCTCGGCAGTACCGACTCGTCTCGAGCCATCGCCAGCATTGTCACGCTTATTAGGCGGGAGTTCAACAATGGCCAGGAAAAGGTCGGCGTGACAGACCTGGTGCTCGCGTTGAGTGCACTCGCCTACCTCCAGGGTGCTTGTAGGAAAGAGCTGGACAGCGAGAGGAAGACTCACGGCTCCGAAGAAATCATTTGGGACGTGGTCGTCGTGGATGACGGCTTACGAATCGACGTGCCAGGAACGGAGGCTCCGAAAAGCCCAGCGACAAGTCCTCCCGCAGAGAGCGCCTTGCTTGGCGCAGAGGACGAGGATGAGAGGACCCTGGAGCGGCTGAAAGACGAAATCAAGTCCTCACTGAACCCGGGCACCTCAGTCACCATCTCGAGCTCGGTGTCCACTACGCAAACCATCACGCTGGACGTGCGCGGTCCTCAGAACGTCGCTCTGCCGACAGTTGCTGGCGCTGAGATTGTAGAGGCGACAAAGGCCAATGGAAACGGGCCAGACAGCACGGATCCGTCGATTCGAGTGGTCTACAAAATCCAGCGAAACAAACTAAGGCAAACCGAACTGGAGCACAAGGACGATGGTATCGTCGTCAGCACACCCCAAGTAATTGAAGTCGACGATGCTGGGCCTCCAAGCCCGGCCCTCTCTGTGACCACGACGGAGAGCAGCGAGCCGCGTTCCCCCACAACCACCAGATCGCCAGCGGCTGAGCAAGAATCACTGGCTCTTCCCAAGCCTAGAAGTAAAGTCAGTCGAGATCTGACGCGGCCCACGCAAGCGAGCGCGCGACGAAGCTCGTCTGCAATCGACCATGTGCAACGCCGACCCTCGTCACCACAATTGGCTAGTCAGCCTGTCGAAGCAGCAAATCAGAAAAGGACGAGGATGCCTTCGAGCAAGCCGGTCACGCGTGCGACGTCCGAAACATCAGCCGCTGCAAAGCACAAGAAGAAGGCGCTGCCATCTCCTCCAAAGGAGTCCGACAAGAAAACCGGGTTCAAACAAGTCCTCAGAGGCGGCAGTCAGTCCATATCGAACATATGGAATCGAGAGCCTTCAGCAGCCTCCAACCAAGGCAGTGCATCCCGCTCTCAGGGGAAGAGTGTTGGGGCCAACGCGCGAGGGTCGTCTTCTAAACTCCAGCCGCCGCCGTTCCCACGTAACTATCGACCTTCTGAGCAGCGGCCGGCCTCATGCAGCGGTCACGATGTAGACCCGGAGCAGATCCAGCGAAGTTCGTCGCGGGCCAGCTATGTCTCTGTCCATGAGCGTCGGCGCGACTCCATGGTATCACAGACCGACTCCTACTCAGTACACGCTGGGGGAGACTTGAGGCCCGCCTCACCATCGATATTGAGAACGGAAGTGCGAGGCGGCGAGACGAGATCACGGCAACCCAACGATCACCCGCCATCATCCACCTCGCCGACGATGACGCACCACAGACGCAACGGCTCCCACGTGCCGAGCCTGTATAGCCTCGCGGGGAACGACTCGCAGTCGTCCCTGGTTCTCTCATCGTACTTTCAGAAAAGCGCCTACCGGAGTACGGACGCGATGCGGACTCTTCGTCAAGCCGGCGCTGTCGAGGGCACCTTTCCCTCGACACATTTGCTCCGCAACATCTCCCGCTACATGCGCTTCTCCTCTGCATCGTACGGCTCCAACTTTCTCAAACTCCTCGGCATCTCCAATGACATGCCCAGTTTGCAAAAGGGAGACGAGCCCCACGACGACATTCGCCATTTTCTGCATCACACTGATTCGTGCATGGGCAATGTGCTCTTGGCCTCGTTCGTGGATGCAGGCGGTGGCAGCGATGCCCAAGGGCACACGGACTCTGGCATGCCTCTGGTTCACTACATCTCGCTAGACCACGAGGCGAAAGCCGTCGTCTTGGCTTGCCGCGGAACACTTGGATTTGAAGACATCCTGGCGGATCTGACGTGCGACTACGACCAACTCCAATGGAGAGGACGATCGCACCGAGTGCACAAGGGTGTGCTTGCGTCGGCGCGCAGGATCCTGTACGGCTACGACGGGCGGGTTCTCGTCACCCTCCAGGAGGCGCTGAAGGAGTTCCCCGAGTACGGACTTGTGCTGTGTGGTCATTCCCTCGGTGGCGCAGTGACCTCGCTGCTTGGTGTCATGCTGTCCGAGCCGAACCCGCACGGCACGGGGTTTGTGACTACCACCACGCCGCAGGCCAGGTACATGGCTGGCAATCATGTCGACGACAAGCTCAAGCTGCCGACGGGAAGACCGATCCATGTTTTCGCGTACGGCCCACCAGGAGCCATGTCAGCCACTCTCAGCAAGTTGACCAAGGGACTCATCACGACTGTCGTACATGGATCGGACGTTGTCCCTCACCTCTCCCTCGGACTGCTGCATGATTTCCAGGCAATGGCTGTGGCCTTTAAGAAGGGGGACAATACGGCCAAGACAGACATACGCCAACGCATCTGGCAAGCATTCCAGACCAATGTCACAGGTAGACTCTACAACACCCCGGTCCCGCTGGAGGTGCCAGACACCGATCTCTTCCCGGCCCTACAGACCCTTCGGGCAACGCTTTCTCATGAGAAGCTCCTGCCGCCGGGTGAGGTGTTTGCCCTCGAGACGCAGCGCGTTCTCCGCCGTGATGCATTCCTTTTCCCACAAGAGAACGATTTTGGTCAACCGGCCAGGCGGATGGTGTTGACCTATGTCAAAGATGTGGAGGCTCGATTTGGAGAGGTGAGGTTCGGGACTGGCATGTTAATCGACCACTCGCCCAAGAAGTACGAGGATGCTTTAGAAAGGTTGAGGCGGGGCGTGGTCGAGTAACGGCCCCCCTTTTGATAGATACTCGTAAACGTAGATACCCCTTCAGCATACTGAACTTCATTTTGTTACGCAACACTGGGTCGGCGGAACTTAACCATGAGATTTATCCAACAGACTTGCTACTACGTATGTACTATCAAGTATGTATGCCCTTGCGGATACGTACACCACTTCTTGAATTACCCGACGATCCATTTTATCATGCGTCGTCCAACATTGGCATCACCATCATCAAGCGGGTGGGTGGGGTAACGGGTTCACACATGCAATTCAGCCTAAACGCTGAGCGGGACAGTGAGTGAGCGAACCAAAGTCAGTGGGGCGTTGATGAACGTATACGTCTTCTCAGACGATATAAAATGCGCTGTCTCGTCTCGTCACGTCTCGGTTGATGAAGCAGGACGCGTTGCCCCTTCCTACACTCATCTGCCCATGCAAGACCGCGAACATGCCGCCCCTCATCACCTCCATTTACACTGCTGATCCCTCAGCCCACGTCTTCAATGATAAGATCTACATCTACCCATCTCACGACCGCGAGACAGACATTGCCTTCAACGACAATGGAGACCAGTATGACATGGCCGACTACCATGTCTTCTCCACGTCGGACCTGAAGGAGGTGACCGACCACGGCGTCGTGCTCAAGACAGAGGACGTGCCGTGGGCGAGCAAGCAGCTCTGGGCCCCCGACGCGGCGCATAAGCACGGGAAATACTACCTCTACTTCCCGGCACGAGACAAGGAAGGCATCTTTCGGATTGGCGTGGCCGTGGGTGACAAGCCCGAGGGCCCTTTCACCGCCGACCCAGAGCCCATCAAGGGCAGCTACTCCATCGACCCGGCCAGTTTCGTCGACGACGACGGCCAGGCCTACCTCTACTTTGGTGGGCTCTGGGGTGGCCAGCTCCAATGCTACCAAAAGGGCGACGACCAGTATGACCCCGAGTGGCAAGGACCCAAGGAGGTCTCTGGCGAGGGCGTCGCGGCGCAGGGCCCCCGCGCCGCCAAGTTGACCGACGACATGCACCAATTCGAGTCGCCGGCCCAGGAGCTCCTCATCCTAGACCCGGAGACCAAGAAGCCCATTCTCGGCGACGACCACGCGCGCCGCTTCTTTGAAGCCGCGTGGATGCACAAGCACAATGGCAAGTACTACTTCTCCTACTCGACGGGCGACACGCACTTTCTCTGCTACGCCGTGGGCGACTCACCCATGGGCCCGTTCACGTATGGCGGCAAGATCCTGGAGCCCGTGCTGGGCTGGACGACGCACCACTCGATTGTCGAGTACAAGGGCAGGACGTATCTCTTCTTCCACGACTGTGAGCTGAGCGGGGGCGTGGACCACCTCAGGAGCGTCAAGGCCAAGGAGATCTTCTATGATGATAAGGGGGGGATCATTACGACGAAGGCAGATTAAAAATAGGCTCGTGAATGAAATGGCCATCCATCCAAGCATATGTCGTGTGTCGTGTTACTGATGATTGTGAACTGGAGAGGGCGATGTTGTAGGAGGCAGATGGAACAAGCGGCCAGTTTGTGGGTCGACGTCATAGCACGCAACACACCACGGGTGAATTTGCTTCTCTCGCTTTTATAAGTGCTACGTACTGCCGCTACTGCAACTATTTCATCGCCAATCTACAGAAGCCAGGTGTTGTGTGGACCCTGAGAGATATGAACTCAGGCGCAGATTCCAGTCTGGACCGGCCACTGCCCCGACCGCCGAGGTCACCAGCCCACGCTCAACGGGTACGCAGCCAAAACCGACGGCGACAGTATCTCTATCGTCACCCGTCGTATTACAGCTCACTTGACCATGAGCTGACCAGTCTGTCACGTCTTTTCTGCGTTTCTGTTCCAAGATAGAAATTGACGTGCCCCTTAGATCCTGTGCTGTATGAGAGACTGGTGAAGCGCTTCCAAACTGCGGCGGAGAGGACGGCAGACGCAAAAGACAAGGGATATGGGCGCACGTTGGAAGCATCGCTTCTGCGAGGCGAAGATACTCTCGCGGGGCTACGGTCGCAAGAAAGCACGGCTACGCACACATCAAGCCAGGAAGCAGTGACGCCGACTGTGCAGAACAACGCCATGCCAGAAAGTGCGTGGGACGCACCAGCGCGCGACAAGGAGCACGGGTCATCGTTGTGGAGGGAGTATCTCGAGGATCGCTTTGTCCGGGGAGGCGACGAGGACTTCGACTACAGCACAGTCGACGCAGATGAGGACCTGGATGTCATGGCGAGAGACGAAGAGGAAGAGCGATGGTACGAGGAAGAGGAGCCGCAATGGGCGCTAGAGAACAACTCTGACTCGCCCAAGAAGACGCTGTCAGGCCAGACTGGAGTACAGGATTTCTGAGCGCTGAGGCAATTCAAGTTTGAAGCTCTCGCGGACGGGAGTATTGGGCAAAGTGAATCGGGGTACAGAGTATCGAGGGCGGGGTATCGAGGGTGGTGAGGCAATCCAATCCAATCCAAACAGCCCTCAATTTGTCGTAACCGCCAATGGGTGTGGGAGCTATCGTCGTCAGCTTAAAAGTGAGGCTGTTTGACAATGTCGCGATCCTTGGCCCCCACCAACGCGGTCGATGGCGAATGAGACGCGCGGCGACGTGGAAATCCATCGGCGGCAGTGATCCTTGGTGCGGATGGGTGTCCTCGGACGGAGTGGATGTCCATAATGGTGAGAGGGAAGAAAAGAAAAACATCAATGCAGGGCAGCATTAGACCTTGGCACGTCCATCGCGTTATTGTCGCTCTGGTTGGTGTGCCGCGTGCGTGTCGGGCTCAAGTCAAAGTCCTCTGCCTTGTTGTTGCGTCCATGTCCGGGGACTCCAGACTCGCTGTGCAGGCAGGGCCTGCAATGAATCGATCAGATCGGGAGCACAAAGACCGAATTCCTCCACCAGCATCATCTCGCCCGCGCCTTGCTTGATGTCTTTTTGCTCGTCTGTCCCAATGATGGCTGCGAATCTAGTTCTGGTCATCTCCAACATAGTATAACCATTACATCAATCAGTGCCACAGTCTTGGCGGTGCGAGGACGCCCCGAAGCAAAGCAAGTACTAGCACCACCACGGAATTGCAGCGACGAGCGCACGACTCTCTTCAGCATGGCGCACGACATTGCTACACGCATCAAGTCCAAACTCCTCCGACGTCGACACTCTTCGTCAGCAGCCCCGTCCTTGATCTCGAGCAGTCGAAGCATCGCGTCGTCCACCGACAACCACAGCCTGCTCACACCCCAGAAGCCGGCGGCGGTCCAGGCGTCGCGCGAGGCCTCGACAGCGTCCGCCGCCAGTCGCACGCAACCTAGCGCGAGCGAGCGTAGTAGCTTTCTCGTGACGAACAAGAGCGACAACTCGAACAAATGCAGCTCTAACAGCTCGAATGCGGACGAGGACAAGGACGAGGACAGGGACGAGGATGGCGAAGGCGATGGCCTAGACGCCAAGCACCTGCACAATACCGTGGGCACTAGTGAACCCAATGCTGGCGACCCGCAGCCGGCGGCAACACAACCACAAGCGTCACATGAACCGCTTTCGCCATCGCCATCACAATCACAGTCACCGTCACAATTCCAACCATCTCTCCCACTGCCGCTCCCATCACCACGTCCGCCTCAGTCGTCGGCGGGCCGTCTGCAGCGCATTGAAGAGGGTACCAGTCCGACCTCTCCCACCAGCGACCGTGCACACCAGGAGCTCGCCACTGCCGCCGCAGCAGTTTTGAACCGCAGCAAACGGCCAGGCCCTCTCGAACTCGACCCCGTCCCCCGCGCCCCAGCATCCTTCATCCAACTCGATCCGTCCTCTCAGTTGCCCTCGAACGCGAATACACCCGCCGCCAACCCAGCATCCTTCATTCAACTCGATCCGTCCTCTCAGTTGCCCTCGAACGCGAATACACCCGCCGCCAACCCTGCTGCCTACATCCAGCCGCCTCCTCTCCCCCGCCGACAGAGCCTTGTCTCCCATCGCCATATTGGCATCGCCAAGGCCCTCCTCCACGGGCCCTCGACGCATGATACTGAGGACGCGCACCTCGATCTGGACGCCGTGATGGTGAGCGCCACGCGGAAAATCTGGGTCAAGCGACCGCATGCATCGCCCACCCTCGTGACCATCAACGAGGACGATCTGGTCGACGATGTGCGCGACATGATCCTGCGGAAATACGCAAACTCATTAGGCCGCTCCTTTGACTCGCCCGACATCGCCCTCCGAATCGCCCCCCGAGACCAGTCACAGAATGAGCGGTTCCTCGGTCCCGATGAGCACATGGCTCGCATCGTCGACGCCTATTTCCCCGGCGGCCAGACCGTGGACGAGGCCCTGGTGATTGACATACCTCGGAGAACGCCCAAGCCGTCGCCGCGGCCGGCAGGCTTGTATCCTAGCGAGGATGGGCGTCCGTCGGAAGGAGGTGAAGGCTACTTCCCCCCCGTCAACGGCAGTGCACACTCACCGAATCATCAGTTCGCCGTCCCCGTCCCGGCACCTAGCGGCATACCGCACTCGATATCCGTTCTCGGCACGGGCCACATCCCGGCTATCCCGTCACCAGGTAGCTCCCGTACGGCCCGACAGTATCGCGAACGCGCAGATCGACCTCGTCTCGGCCGCACACACACATCCTCACCCAACGTCCTCTCCGAACCCAACACTGGGGCGCCCCCAGCACCAGCGGATTCCTCGACGCACGCGTCACAACAGCTCGGCCACCGGCCGTCACACTCGCGGGCACACTCCAACTCCTCGGAGCAGAAACCATCGGTGCCTGCGGGGGCAGCACCAACGTCACCCGCAGCCTCGACGGGACACGCTCGGGTGGCCACTCCCCCGCCACGCGTCTCCTCCCCTCGCCCATCTGCGAACCGGGTGAAGAAGGTGAAAAAGCCGGCGGAGTTTCCGTCGAACATGCCCGGTATCCTAGGAGGCAGCGTCCCTCCCATCAGCGTCCTCATCGTCGAAGATAACCCTATCAATCTAAAGCTACTCGAGGCTTTCGTCAAGAAACTCAAGGTGCGATGGCAGACAGCCATGAATGGGAAAGATGCCGTGGATCAGTGGAGGACAGGCGGCTTTCACTTGGTATTGATGGACATTCAGCTACCGGTCATGAGCGGTCTGGAGGCGACGCGGGAGATTCGGCGGCTGGAGCGTCTCAACTCCATTGGTGTCTTCTCATCAACGTCTTCCTCCTCCGGCAGCCAGCCCGAGGAAGACAAGGAGGAGGTGGCCGATGCAGATCGACTCGAGAACATTGGTCTCTTCAAGAGCCCCGTCATCATCGTGGCCCTGACGGCTAGTTCGTTGCAAAGCGACAGGCATGATGCGCTGGCAGCTGGTTGCAACGATTTCTTGACCAAGGTAAGTTTCGTGTTCCCGCGGTATGTATGCACATCAACTGACAACGGTAGCCCGTCAACTTTGTTTGGCTAGAACGCAAGGTTATGGAATGGGGCTGTATGCAAGCACTCATCGACTTTGATGGCTGGCGCCAATGGAAAGACTTTTCGCAACCTGTCGAGGAGAAGGGAAAACCCACCACGACCAAGGCAAAGACTAGGAAGAAGTCGTCTCTGGCCGTGGAAGCGTGAGAACATGAAAGCAGGAAGACAAGCATCAAGGGGTCGCTGCCCAGTACACGACATTGGCTGGGGACGGGAGTCGGAACATACGGGAGACAGAGCGGAATTGTTTTTCAGAAGTACGCGGTGGATTGTTGTCGTATGCCGAGGTGCAACATTGGTAGACAATGACTTGGGAGGTTGTTGTAATGTTAGTTCCGGACGCGCCGATGAGGCTGCCTTTGCTGTCTGTACTTACAGCATGTGGCGGCTCAACGGTTATGGGACATTTTACCAGAAGGTTGAGAATATACACGCAACCCCCCTGGCTTCATCTCTTACATCCAACTCTTGAAATGGCGGGTTTCATGTGCACTCCTGGTGATTCCAGTCTGAGGTGGCTGGTCACACGCACGTTCCACGGACATGGCTCTAACGCCAGTCTTTCCGACTACTCACAGCAGCTAACACATTCAATCAGCCAACCCGGAGCCTCAGAATACTGCAATGCTCCGAGTTCAAAAATATCATGACGTGGATCGTAAGAGCCAGCCAACAGTACTTGTTGCTGGGTCCGTTCATATGCAGCACGGGCGGCGTGCTGCGAGCGCTCGCGGCTGGAACAACTCTCTTCCGAGCACCCGAGAAAAAACTCGGGAACTCCAAGTCCTCCTCGCGTTGCGGGCAGGCACGAACACCACGACGTCCAGCCCTGCAACAACCATCCAACTTCCATCGTAGCGGGCACGAGTTCTTGGACCGCCGCATGCAACAATTGAGCGATGCCGCCTAGGGTATCCGGTGCGAGCGGCTCGCTCGCGTCTCTCGACACGGCCCTCGCGTCCTCGTCGTCTGCCTCCCAATGTGCGCGACGCACCTTTTCGACAACGCCGGCGACATGCATGTCGCGTCGTCGCTATGATATGCACAAGTGGCTGAACGAGAGGGCCACTCGTCTCTACGACCAGAGCTCGCCTGGGCCGCGGTACCTCGGTGCCCAGAGCGATCAGCCCTTCCCCAACAACTCACTCTTTCGGAGTCAACCTGTCCTGTCGGACATGCTCAAGGAGGAGATCTACAACCGAATTGTGGTCAAGGGCGACGCCATAAAGAGTGTCAGTCGCGAATTCAGCGTTGACGTGAGGAGAGTGGGCGCTGTTGTCCGGTTGAAGGAGGTGGAGAAGCGCATGATTGCAGAGGTAAGCCTTGACGGATTCTTTCTTTTTGATTTCTGCTACGTGATGATACAACAAATTTTTCGATTAGTCTTGAAGACTCACACCTGGTTAAAAACATTTTCAAAACCTGACAGCAGCAAATTCTCCGATCCTGTGCATCTACCCTGGTTTGAAGACGTACTTGCTAACATTGTTCTGCAGGGCAAACCACTGGCTACCCCCTATGCGCGTGCGATCAACTCTATGCTCCCTCAGACGCGACTGCCCACACCTGGCTCTGACGAGAAGCCGATTCCCCACGAGCCCATCAACGAGATTCCTGTGCATCGGCACACCCGACGCCAGCTCTTTGTTCCCGTGTCTGAATCACGGCACTTTACCCGTGCCGACGCCGCGCACGCCTTTGACGAGAACCTCCTACCTGTCGACCAGAGGTCGTTCCACCAGGAACTCATCGCGGCGGAGCGCAAGATTGTCAAAGGGGAGCAGGATCGCGGCGAGGCGATGAAGGCGTGGGAGCTCGACGTGCAGGCCACGGAGGAAGCACACGCGGCCAAGGTGGGCGAGCAGCTCGAGAAGGAGAGGAGCCGCGTCAAGAGCTACGAGACGGGGCGGGCGGCGTACCGAATCAAGGATGTCAGCGTGGACGACGCGGGTCGTGATGGCAAGGGCCCCAGGGCGAGTGGCTGGCGGTACGGCGCGCCGCACATGGACCGCAAACGGGGCGCGGTCAAGATCCCGACGTCGGTGCCCTGATTCTCTGTCATGTACGTGCTTCTGAGCGTGTTGTATTATGAGTGTATCACTACAGCAGGCCGCTGATGGTGGCCCTGAATGACTTATGGCCTGGCCTGGTCTGTACAAAGGTTGTTTTTGTATGTACATAATATGTACGCGTGCCTAACTCACATGTTGGTGATGAGCCCCAAGATGATCAGGTAGCCACGCCCAATAGCTTTCGGTGTATGTACGTAGACAAGGTGAATCTGATGGACAGCTGTCGACATTGGTCAATTGTCGTCAACAGCCTCTCTGCACGGATTACCATACTCAAATATGCACGACTATAGTGCAAAGGTTTAGGCCTTCTACAGCATTGTAGCCTCTAGGCCTTATGATGCTTTATTGCCTAGCTAGACACACCACCGCTGACGACTTTGTCGAGTGAGCTCACGGCTCATGCACAAACACCCCTGTGGATACCGTCCCCCTTGTTGGTCACGCACGGCACCGCTCCAATCTGCCGAGCGCAGCGATGAACGCCAAGATCCGCCAACAAACACGATCTACGTCATCGTGTCTCTTAGACGCCCATAGTCAAATCCAGGAATCAAAATCAAGGGGGCCCTCGCCCACATTGCATCACGATGTAATCGACATTAAAACCCCACAGACCCTGCTCTCCATTCTGTGTTTGCCTTTTCAAGATTCTACGACTGAAACACACGCGCACCAATTCAAATCACAATCAAGACGTTTCCAAGGGTGGTCCTCCTCACCTGCCAGCACAATCACAATGGGTCTCCCTAGCTTGTCCAAGAGCTACCTGTTCTTCACCGTCATCCATGTCATCCTGTTCGCCCTGGCTCTGGCGGTCTGCGGCCTCTATGGCAACGACCTGAAGAGGGCCATGGATAGCGACGTCGACACGGATTCCAAATGGGTGAGCCATGATTACCCTCCTCGTCTTGGGTGATTGATTGCTGACCCTGTGCCTGCAGATATTCGCTGTCGTCGTCGGCGCGCTCTCAGCTGTGACATGTGTCATCTACTTTATCCCATTCATCCTCCGCGTCTGCGGTATCTTCATCGCCGGCTGGGACTTTATCCTGTTTATTCTCTGGATCGCCGTCTTTGGCGTGTTTGGCAGGGTACGTGTCTCGCTCTGCTGTCACTTTAGAAGAAGATCAAGAAGAAGCTAACCACGTCGCAGATGTACATTGGTGAGGATCCCGAGGGCGTCGGCGCCATCCGTCTCATGAAGAATGCGGTCTGGGTTGATCTTGCCAACGCGCTTCTCTGGCTCATTCTGTCTATCGGCATGGCCCTGTACTGGTGGAAGGGCGATCGCCGCTCGAGGTTCACTGGACGCGCGCACGTGTAGGGTGATGCGCCGCCCGAGGGACGAGCAGACGACGGAGCGGGTGTCGCAATAGGAAGCAGGACGTGAAGTCGTGCGTTGTGTGAATGACACAAGGATCTCTTCTTGTACGGGGGGCGTTGAGTGAGCAGGGCTTTTGGAGTGATCACTAGTAATACCCCAGGATTCGGACGGAGTTCTTTCTCTTCTATACCAATTCAAGTCGCATCAAGCCTGCATCCGATCAAAATACTCGTGCACTTGGACCAACCGCTCCTCGTGTGTGGCTCTTGGGCTTGATAACGCTCACAGGCTGCGATTCTGACTCCATATTGGCACTACTCTCAACAGGGTTATTGCCTAGCCAGACACATTAGCGCAGGCGACTTTGTCGAGTGAGTACGGTATACCAACTCAAGTCCCGTCAAGCCTGCGCCCGATCAAAGTACTCATACACTTGGACCAACGGCTCCTCATCCTCGCCGTCGCCGTACGCATCCCCCCCATACTCGAGGTAGCCGCTCACATAGGGCGGCTCGCCAAGAGCCTTGAGCACATCTTCCCTCTCCCCAAACACCCACACAGTGTTCATGCCCATGACTGCATGCTGTGCGATGTGGCAGTGCATCATCCACGCGCCGACATTGTCCTCCGTGATGCGGATGCGCCAGGCCCGCCAGCCGGCTGTGGTGTGAGGTGCGCCCTTGGTAGTGTACCTGTGCAGGATGGACGTATCCCGTCGAGCAGGGACATGTGTCGAGTTTTGAAACTTGACCTCGTTCATGGCAGCGTCGTATGTTCCGTTGCCTCCGCCGAGATCGTACACGTGCTCGCCGTGGACGTGCATGGGATGGAAGTCGAAGCCGCCCGTCGGTCCGCTGTTGCTCTGCCAGACAATGTCAATAACCTCGCCCGGTACGGCGGTGAATGTTCGCGAGACAGGGTCGAATCCGTCGTTGGGAAGGGCGCGCGTGTGATTGGGTGCCCAGTATGGGGACGTGTCGGTGTAGTAGGAGATGAGGTAGGGTGCGTGGCCAGGCGATGCCTGGACGTTTTCCTGCCAGGTTTCGTTATTTTGTCTGTTGACACCGGTCAGTACTGGCCACAGCGTGAAGAAGACAAGGAAAACTTACACCCAAACGACTGGTCCCTGCAAAGTGCCGTTGACAAATGCGCCGTGTGTCAGCTCCTGATTCACTTGAATCGTGACGGTTCGGGTCACTTCCTCCAGGCGCGGAAAATTCTCGCGAACAGCCGGATTCAACGGTTGCAGCACATCCTCGAGGTAGTAATTTGTCGTTTCCGGTAGCTCCACAGGCGACTCGTCTGGCAGATCCGGTAGTTCCCCCGTCCCGTTGCAAGACTTGTATCGCAACAGGGCATAGCCAGTGATACTAGTCGGACGCTCATACGACGCGTACCGGACCCAGAACTGCCGTTGCCCCTCGTCCTTCAGCTCAGCCTTTGACTTGGTTCTAAGCAGATAGCTCTGCCGCTGTCCGGGCGCCACTTGGATGTGGTCAATATTCGCTGGCTGTGTGTACTCACCATCTGCCTCGATCACTGTAAGCTCGTCATGGCCCTCAATGCCAACTTTGACCAGTGAGATCGCGGCACGACCAATGGCACGGATGCGGTACGTCGTCTCGGGCTTGACGTCGATGAGATACGGTAGACACGACTCGTCTGTGGCATTGTTGAATGAGGCATTGCCACTCCTGCCGTTGATGAGGACAGCCTGGGGCTCGCCGGACCACTCGAAAGGGTCCGCCAAGAGGCCTTTTTCAATATCGCCGTCTTCAGCTTCGTAAAAGTCCCCTATGCTAAGCAGGATCTCGTCGTCGTAGTCATAGGGCGCAGGGCCCGCATCACGGACAATGAGCGCGCCGTGGGCTGTAGACTGCTGGAAGCCAACGTGCGAGTGGTAGAAGTACGTCCCTGCGTCGCCAATTTCGGGATGAATCTCGTAGTCGAAAAAGCGACCTGGTGGGATAGGCCACTGCGAGACTAGAGGCGTGCCGTCAGAGAAGGGCGCTGCACGCTGTGCTAACCCGTGCCAGTGCTAATGTCGCCGCGTCAGCACACATTTGTACCCGCCAGATCTCCGCTCAGTCGCCAACTGATATTTGGCTGTTTGGCTTACCAGGGTGAAATTCTGATCTGAGATGTTGTTGTAGACGCGGATCCAAGTGGTTTGGTTCTCGTGGAGATCCAACGTTGGGCCAGGCGACGTCCCGTTGACGACGATGGAGCGGCGCGCCTGGCAGTTTATCTGAATGTCCTGCTCCGTCGCAAACAGCGTGTAGTCTGGTGTGAAGTTCTCGAGGTCGTGGACGACAGCAGCTGCTATCGCTGCGAAGAGTAGAGCGGCCCTTGGCGACACCATGTCGACTGACTTGAGTCAACCTCGACGTGGCTCCCTTGGAGGTCCTGGCGCTCCCTGGGGGGGGCGGGGATTTTGTACGACATTGCCATTCGTCAAGACATGGCCATCCGTGTGAGCCGGGTGATCTTCATTGCACGTGGCGGGCACTGACCTTTGGGGGAGAATGAAGGACGCGTAAGGTCGCAGTATTGCAAAAGGATCGGTTGGGCTCATCAGCGCATGCGGTGGTACTTTATGCAGCCAGTAGGATAGAGTGGATTGAATTGAGCGCCCGTCAACACGATGGCTACGGGACCTACCCTAGACAAGCGTGTGGGAGCTCTCTATCATTCAAACGAATACCATGTTTTAATGAAATGGAGGAAAATACGTTGGAACAAAGATGCAATGGATGTCTGCGTGTGGGTTGGATAAGCCACTTTTGGTTATTAGCAGGTTTCAACTGTTGATTACTTCCAAAGCAATCCTGCACTTCTCGACTTCTGTTCACAAACGAATCACCATGTCGTTGCATCGGCAGGCTACCCCTCGTCGGAACGCCGATTTTAACATCGGTCAGCCCAATAATCGGTCAAGTGTGACATCTATTTGTCACCACTCATCTCTATTTCATGGTAACTGCTACTAGATAATTGACTAGTACTGTGATTAAGCTCTGCTACTTGATATCACCATAGTAAAGTAATCGCCGCAAGGAGCTCCCTAAACTTCGTGCTGTTACTGCTTATGCCAACCGTGTACAATGATTGGTGGCCCACCACGGAAAATCGGCACCGCAGCCACGCCAGGAAAAGAATTGTGGAATTGGAGTCTCGTCGCGTTCTCCCTCGTACTTGCTACATATACCACCTCGAGGATGGCATCGCCATGAGGTCCCGACGCGGAGAGCTTACCAGTTGATGCTGCCAATACACTGGACTCTGGATCCAGCGGAATCACCTGCGACGCGCCAGCTGACGATTGACGACTGGAACCACGAGCGCGGAGGGGTGGGCGTTCCACCGGGTATTTCGGCCAAGTCAGGGCCCAGGCACACGTGCAAACAGAGGAAGTCGCTGCTTCAGGAATAATCCAGACCTTGAAGCTTATCCTTGATCTTACACCGTTGCGGGATGCAGACTGCAGATAGCACTACGGATAAAATAACTCAATCAGGCTTTTAGTCCGAGACCGATGGCCGCGATTCCTTCCACGTGTTTTCTGGAATGCTTCGAAGAAGCTGGTTTGACTCTAGACCGTCTACAGCCATGTGCGGACTTTAGGTACGTACCTTAATAATGTTCATAGGCTATAAGTATCGCCCGGTTTTCGCACTGCCCTTGACAAGGATATTGTCTGCTAAGACAGACCCGCGCTAGCGACTTTGTCGAGTGAGTACGGCAGTTGACTCAGTAGGGCAAACTCGATGGCTGCCGTGGGAAATAGCGAGTCTTCTTTACCTGTGATCTCGTTATCAACGCCCCTCACTTTTAGGCTTTGAGATGGTCAGTCGCGTTAATAGCATGCTCTGGAGTAGAATACAAGCGTACCGTACGTACCGTACCTGCAGCTGCTCCAGGCCTTGGCAAGCACGCACAACAACACGGAAGGTGCTTGCATGCCCGGGGAGGGCATGTAGGGGGTGATGTTATTGTACAAGGTACCTCCAATCCAGTCGAGAGGGGGCAGAGCCTCCTCTTGATTCTTCATCATCAACTCCCCCTTATTGATCCAGGGGCCAGGTCCCAGCCACAAGCTTGCCATACCATGCTTGCTCTTTTATATCCCTTCAGTATTATCTTTTCATTCAAAACAGAACTGCGTGTTCAAAATGATTTCTAAACACGATCGAGGGAGAATTAACACTCCATACAGCAATAACACCAACTATATCAACATCGACAGCAGCAGTACCGCACCAGCAGCGCCAGTCCCGCCAGCCCCAGAAGCACAAAGGCCAGAAGATGCTGCTGTTGCGTCAGGAAACGCAGCACAAGCACGGGCTGAAGCCGCTGCGTACAGACGCCGGGTGGATGAAAGAGAAGAGGCCCGAGGGTCGGCGTCACGGTCCCCAGTCCTGGTAGGGAAAAGAGACGCCGGGAATGATCCGGGTCATTTGGCAGTGGGCACGTCCTCATTGATGTATATAAGGCTACAGCAGTTAACAACAGTGCCAGCAATGACATCGCCTTATCAATATCAAGCTAGCGACAAGGCTCAAGTAACTATCCATGTTCGGGGCCCCAAAATCCCGACCTGATCGCTGTATGGAAAGAAAAGAAATTTGTCAACTTGGGCCTGTGTCTCTGGAAACATTCCCAGCTGTTGCGGGTCGGAGAGTGATACGGGACAATGCGCGTAGGACTGATAGTAAGGCGAAACGGATGGAAAATTTTGTCAGCTGTCCTGATCGCAGCATCAAGGTTGATGGGCCGACATTTGGATTTCAACACGACCGCTGGGACGCGAAACTCCTTATTGTGAATAACCCGCCACGATGCGACATGCATTTTGGTGGTATAGAGTGGAACAGTCTGCACGGCCGTTACGTTTAGACGAATGTTTGTCGAATCTGCCACTGTGATGCGGAGTGTATCATTGCGCTAGAGGATGCCGCCGTCTTTGTTTGGTACACATGCTACAAAGATCTTGGCGCGTGCAACGCGAGCAACACAGACGCAAAGTGGATTGCCCTCCTCACGGTTCGAGGGGCTTCATGCAGGAATACGGAGAGCTTCGCACTGTACGCTCGCGTCTGGGGAGCCGCCCAATCCCCCCATCAAGAGGGGCTCGAGGATGTGACGCACCACAACTCTCGCGGCGCTTCCAATGCCCTCGATCAGTGGGTGCAGAGTCAAGAGACTCGAGACCAGGAGCCTACATATATGGATCGAGGTATCTGATGTGAACAGGCCGCCAATCGGAGGATGTAGGATAATCAGGAGCGGTTACCTTGGACCTGGAAGCTGGACCTGGACCTCGCTTAATCTTGGCACGCCTGGATGTTACTGCCGACTACATGGAAAAGTTGGGTTTCATTATGCAGTTGGTTCTGTACAAAGTGTGGACGCTGCAGCTCGCATTCCACGCCACTTTGGCTTGCCACCAACGAGACTCGATGGCACGGACCAACAGTCCTATTCAATTGCCTAGGGCCTGGGCTCGACTCTCGTCTCAAGGCTAAATTGTCATTTAGTAGCCTCTCTCGCCCACCATGGCTTAACAAAAGCATCGTGAAACCATGCACTTCTCGCCATATTTCGTCGTGCGGGCGGCTGCGCGCGTGGCGTTCCTGCTCACACTTCCCGCCCTTGCTGCGCTGCATCAGTGGGTCGCGCTGCTGCTGGTCATTGCAGTAGGCTGGTGTGTCAAGGACTGGGATGAATCGCCATTGCGAGGCATCCCAGGCCCGCCCGTCGCGGCCTGGACTAGGTTTTGGCATATTATACACGTCCTGCGAGGCGATCAGAACACGGTCCTGGTGGATCTCCACGAGAAGCATGGTGCGGCGGCTCGGTCCCTTGAACAAGCTACGTAGTCTTGAAATTCACTAACGCATGCCGAGCAGGTCCCTTCGTTCGCATCGCCCCAGACGAAGTTTGTGTGAGGCATCCGGATGGCGTCAAGAAGATTCTACAGGCGCCACTGGCCAAGGCCTACTGGTACGAGGGCTTGACCATGCCAGACTACAGGTATCGATCACCCATGTCCTTGACCGACATGAAGCGCAAGAACGAGCTGGCCAGGTGTTGGTCTGCTGGCTATACGCTGAGCAACAGTCTTCAGAGCGAAGGCGCGATTGATGAGGTAATCAAGATCTGGCTCGAGAAGCTGGACCATTTCGCCGAGTCGGGGGAGGCTTTTGACCTCGACAAGTATCTGCACTTTGTGGCATTTGACATGGTCGGCGAGTTCCTCTTCTCGAAGCAATTCGGGTTCGTCAAGGAGGGTCGCGATATTGGCGGCATCATAGGGAATAATATTCCTCTCAGCGCCTTCGCGTCCATTTTGGGGTTTAAGCCCATGCGTTGGCTCCATTTCGCAGTGTTGGGCAACCCCGTCGTGACGACTCTCAAGCTGCTGCCCGCTGGCCACGTCTTCGAGACGGCCATGGAGGCTCTTGACAACCGCATGGACAACCCTGACAGCCGCTACGACGCTCTGGCGCACTGGATGCAAGCGGTGGATAAGAATCCAAACATAGTCAACAAGCGAGATTTGCAAGCAAACGTGATGAGCGCCGTCGCCGGAGGAAACGACACAGTCTCGTGTGCTCTTCAGGCATTCGTGTACTATATGAACCGCCATGCGGACGCTTGGTTCCGCGCGTGGGAAGAGATGGATGCCGCCATGAGCACAGGTCGCTGTCGGGACCCGGTGGTCAGCTTTGCCGATGCGCAGCAGCTACCGTTCCTACAGGCGTGTATGAAGGAGGCGCTCCGCATCTTCTCGCCCGTGCCAATGGGCCTGCCACGTAAAGTTGGCGAGGGAGGCCTTTCCATCGGCGACCACTTCTTCCCCAAGGGCACAGTGCTGTCCATCCATCCGTGGGTCATCCACCATAGCAAGCAACTGTGGGGAGACGATGCGCAAGTGTTCAACCCAGATCGATGGTTGCAGAGGGACATTGCCTCTCGTGAGAAGTTTTTTCTTCCGGTAAGGGCTCTCAACTGAGAAATCTGATTCTGCAAATATACTGACTCTCCATCGCAGTGGGGTCAGGGATCCGCGTCCTGTCCTGGACAGCATTTAGCACGCATCGAGCTGTACAAAGTGACAGCTACACTTGTCAGGGACTACATTGTCCATCAAGCTGATCCGACGCAGGAGTGGCGGTGGAAGGCGTACTTTACAGTGGTGCCGCACAGCTGGCCGTGTCGCATTCGGAGACGGGATCAGGAATCAGTCAAGTGATATGGAACTGATGGCGAGGCGGGTGGGCAAGCGCGGGTTGGTGGAGTTATTGGTTGTGATATACCGTACTCACTCGACGGAGTCGCTAGCGGTGTGCCTTAGCGAGGCAACATCCCTGTTAGGAGTGATGCCAATATCGAGCAGAATTGTAGCCTATGATGCCCAAGGGTATGACGAGGATGAGTCTGAATCATAGAGGGGCTTTTCCTCAAACTCCGAGCTGCCTGGCTCACGTGATCGCACCTCCGTCCCAGCCGTACCGTCAAAATCGACGAAGGTGGGTTTACATGTGAGCTGAGCTCACGGCGACTGGAGTAAGCAAGATTTATGCATAGTGGAAGAGCCGATATTCCAATCGCAGGCTCTGCCGCTAGACCTTGTAGCTTCTGAGGGCTCCAAGCAGCAATTCGTCGACGAAAGATCACACCAGCCTCCCCGGTCTTTTCGGGTCACACAACGTCTCATCACAACCTCCCACGCTCATCATGTCGCAGCGCATGGGTGAGTTTTTCCAAGAGTCTCACAAGTGGCTGGTGGATAATAACGCACTGACAGCTACCCAAGAGAAGCCCATCAACACTCAAGCCGGACGCCAGTATTGGCAAGCGAGCAGCGCTGACGATGATGGTATGCTAGGAGGCGTGCTTTCGCAGCAAGGCTTTTCTTCCGTCTCCCGAGTTGATCTGCAAGGCTCCCGAACATTCTTGGCAAGGCTTGGAGTCGGAACCAAGCGTGGTCGCAAGTCACTAGACTGTGTGCTCGAAGGCGGTGCAGGGTAAGCCAAAAGAAACTGCTGTAGGCACGTTGATGTTGATAGATCGTTTGCAGCATCGGAAGGGTGACCAAGGGGCTGCTCCTGAATGTGGCAACAGATGTGGACGTTGTGGAGCCTATCGTCAAATTCACAGATCAGATCAAAGGGCATGAAGGCGTTCGACATATCTTCAACGTGGGCCTTGAAGAATGGGAACCCCCCGCGGGTGTCAAGTACGACTTGATTTGGATGCAGTGGTGTCTCAGCCAACTCTCAGATGCGCAAGTGGTCAAGTGCTTGAACACCTGCAAGAGAATTGTCACTTCACCGTCGACCCTGGTCATCGTGAAGGAGAATCTCAGTACGAGTGATGGAGATATCTTCCACGAAGAGGATGACAGTGTCACAAGGTATGTGCAGTCAGTCCTTTTGACAATTTTTCCGAGACTGAGTAGGGCATGCAGGACGGATGCGAAATGGCGTCGATTATTCGCAGAAGCGGATATGGTCGTTGTCAGCACAGAGCTGCAAAGAGGGTTCCCCGAGGGTGGGGGCCAAGCGCTGCTTCCTGTGCGGATGTATGCATTGAGGGCACAAGATTCTAATTAATCTGTGAATCATCACTCGTTGGGGAGATTTCGAGATTGATGAGTGACTACGGAATTTTGCAAAAGGAATGAGGTTGACAAGATCAGATTTCTGTCGATCGCGGAGCATTCTTTCCGACACACGCTACGCCGGCCACAAATTCACAGCTCGAATACCTCACCCCGTGTTCAGTCTGGGTCATGCGTTTTAGTCCCGCGCGGCTGCCCAAGACGGCGTGACTTTTGGTCTGAGGATTGGCGACATATCATCGGTTGTTATTGGTGTAGCAAATTTGCCCATTCATGTTCGCTTTTCGAGGTTCGCTTTTTGCTTGACGCCGCTCGCGCAAATGACGTATCATGCTTCACCACACATCACTTATCGCGCCAAGACCGCCAGACCCCCTCACCGGCGGGACGCGCAAAGGGCCGCGACTTGAGGCTGGACTGCTGGGTTCATTGTGCAAAAGCCTTTGTCCTGTTGAGTCTGCCTACATTTTGCGCGTCCCTTCACCAATGCGTATCAGGCGCAAGAGACGACGTAGTGAACGTCTCTGGCCAGTGTAGTCAAGCGAGGTAATGTGACTGAGCGGTGACTGAGTGAGTTGCCTCTTGGCGAAAGTGTCCCCCCCCAAGCCCACTGGTTTGGGAATAAAGTCAGGTAGCAATGGTCTGACGACCCCTGACACCACTGACCAACATGCGCCTCTAAAATATTATTGCAGTAACAAAAAGGACGTGCACGCACTAATCCAGTCCCTTTCCCGTCCTTGATTCACCTGTGCATACCTCCGTAGATCTGCGTCTCTCTTGCCTGAGTGGAACAAAGGGCAACAGCGCTTGCTGCTGATCTCGCCTCCCCACCATCAACGCCGCCTTGAGCCAGACCGCCCGCTCAACAACAATAACTGATAACGAACGAGAAAAGTCTCCAGTCTACTTGGCTTGGCTTCAGATCTCGGTGTGCGGATTCCTGGATCTCTCCTTCTCACATGCACTTTCCCACCCACCATAAGTGCTCCGCAGTCCCGCCTTGACGTTTTGGGTGGTCGCACAAATTCCGATTGACGTGCCTGATCCTCTTCCTCTTTGTAGGCGCGTCTGGTTGCAACCTTTGATAAAGCAATTGCCCACCAACATCAAGACCCCATCGAATTTATCCAGATTGCGATAATAATAGCCCTGCCCGCCGCATTTCCACCTCGGGGCCACGCGCAGAGCACTGCTGCCAGCCATGTCCAGCTTTTCGCGCTCCGTGAGGTCGCCCTCATACCTCACCTCGTGCGGCTCGTATCGCCGCCCAGCCATGCCAGGACGAACCATCTCCAACTCGTCCGAGCGGTCGATCGCCTCGGACGACAATATCGAGGACCGCGCGCACTCGGGCCGCTCGACCCCAACGCCTGGGTACCAGCTGCGACGATATCCAACCTCGAACAACATGCAGACGCATCAGTCGTGGCATTCCAGCGCTTTGCCAGCCCCTATTCTGATGGCCGAGCCGGCGGCAGCAAGCCGGGGTGAGTGAACTAATTTTCTTGGGTGTTACTTTGTTTGTCCGCGCCCAGACTTGTGCCCCTCCTCACGCTTGGCACCTCCTCGTATCCCTGTCGGATTGCTCATCACACGGGCAGCTACGCATCATTGGCGACTTGGCCTCTCGTGCTGGCGCTATGTTGCATTCCAGAGACTTGCTGTTCATTCACAAGAGGGTGAGGGAGGTTCGTCTAGGCCTGGGCCAATGCTGATGTCAAGAGCACCGAAAACAATCAATACTCTGTCCCCGCATTGGACCTTTCCTAGCCCCGATCAACCGGGATCATCGTGGGGTAGCACGACTTAGTGGACGCCATGGCGCATGTCACAGGCGCGTTGGCCTATCACGGTCCAAGGCATCCCCTCCTCTTCCTCTCGCCAGTGCGGCAAGTCTCGTGCCTTTGCAAACCAGATCAACATCCCATCATTCCCTTAAATCTCCTAATAACCCGCCCTTTAGCGCCAAGTGTTCCTGAGAACCCACTTGAACCTCGGACTGACCTTTGTCTCGCCAGAAGCCTTCTCCCTCAACAACCACTCTTCTACCAACAGCCGTCCCGTTGCAATCGATCTACCAGCAAAGGCAAGAAACTTCAACTCGGCTCCTGTGTACACGCCTCCAGAGCCTCTTTCCGCCAGAGGTAATTTGCCTGGGTATGCCTATACTCGTCCCCATTGACGTCAGACTCCATCACTGACCTCACCAGCGGCTACTTTCCTCTTCACGAAGACCCCGAACGCAGGGTTCATCAACCACATCCCTTCCAAGCAGCTGGGACAGACCCTTCTCGCGCCCTTGCTACAAGCGAGCCACAACCAAGACAGCATCAACTCATCAGTCCATCCAAGATGAGCGCGACAGACGTTCCAATCGCCTCCTACTTCCCCTCGGGATACCACGACGACCCTCTGCCCATGGGAAAGTACTATCCTTCCAATTACGAACGGTCAACGAGTCATACCACAAGAAATTTGTCAGCAACACCGTCATCGCCAGCTGATGCTCGATCGCCCGGCTTTTCCGGGCCAGACGGCCCCACCAGCCTGTCGTCAACCCATCGCTCGTCGGGCTTGGAGCCGGAAGCCAGGCGCCAGCTACAGCTCAAGCAGTACCAGCGCGATATGATGGCGCAGGCCTCTCGGGCTGCGAGCGAGGTCATGAGTAGGAGCGCAGAAGGACAAGGAGCGGCAAAGGTTCAGCCGACCGCTCCTCCGTTCGGTACGCTCACATCACCTTGCATTCACACGGTAGAGATGCGGTTCGCGCCGCACAAGCCTACCTCGCCGCGCCTGCACCCTCTGGGTAGCCCAGGTCCCGTCACACCCATGGAGCTCGAGTCATCTGGGAGCAGCTATCTCGACAAAGGCAAGGGCCAGGGTCAGCGGACAAGCCAAGGTCTCGCGCCGCCATCAAGCGCGTTTCATTAAAGTCCAACTCACAAAGTCCAACTCACAGGTACGACGGGAGTCGTCCCTGATTGAGGCTCTGAGAAACCCTCACTTCTGCCGGGGTGGAAGCTGGGAACTTGCTGCGCGGCATCCCTAGCGTCGGAAGGGCACAATGACGACATTGTTCGTTTGGCGGGGCCGCCAACATTCAAGAAACGTAGAGATACGAGATACTTGCATCACCATGGCTTGGCATTGGAATTCTCTTCACTCATTGTTCATCGAAGAGGCCTGACATGCCATCCCGCATGTGCAGGTCTCTTCCCGGAGTACAGGCATCGTTTTGGGGCATCGGAACATGGCACAGCGTGTTGCATCATTTTGAGGGTACCTTACTAGTACCTGTAAGACCTCTACAGTAGAGGCGTAACAGCATTCGCAATGACATTCACATTTGTTAATATTTGTGCTCGCAAGGCCGTGACATGACAACGGGGAGCCCTCTGATATACTATGACAGATCCATTCAAGCATGACCTAGTGGGTATGAGCCCGCCGAGCAAAGTCAAAGTCACCCGCAACATTGAAGCCGTGGATTGTCTACTTAGGCTCGGTAAAAGAACGCACACAGCCGTGTAATGAACAATTGGTTCTCCACTTCCTCCTTGTCTTTATCGTATTCCACCTCAAGACCACGCAAGATAACGTTTCGATCACACAATACATCTTGAATCATTGGCCGAAGGGCTTTGTTGCCCCTAAGGTCTTTGTTTTCGGCCAAGCGTTACAGCCCTCTCCTGAGCCGCACTCGTTCTGTCAGTGCACGGGGAACTTGTACGAGATGGTGGTTTTCAATGACCGATTGGGGCTCACCGCATGTATGTACCGTACCAGGAACCGTAGTCACTCAACCGAGTCGCTAGCGCTAGTGTGTCTTGGCTACTACCTGGTAGGCAGTATCCTTGTCAGCGGTGGTGCCAATATCGGACAATGCGTATTAATACAGTCTACAGATACTAAGTATTAGACTCCGCACAGTGATGGAGAGAGGTCTGGACCCACTATGTGGTCTTTTGCCAGACCCACGTGATTTGGCGCATGGAAGGCGCACCCCACCACGTCACGCGTCGACCTCTTTACGCGTCTCCCAGATGTTTAGGCGCCAGCTGTGAGTTCTACACGACTGCGCAAGAGAGAGACCAAAGGACGACGGCGATGGTTGCCCAGCATGTCGTACCCAGTTCACCGCCCAGTCGCTCCGACAACGACCACCTCCTCGATTGTCGAATACATCTGCCTCTACACGCACGATCTTAAGCGCAAAACGAAACGATGGCAGGATGGCAAGCTCAACTTTCACGCCTTCAATAACCGGATCATGGTATACGATGAACGAGGCGGCAATGTGGGCGACGCACATTTGTCCTCCTATCAGACCTTAGACGAGGGGGAGGAAATCAACCTCGATCGAGGCGGGGCTATTGTGCAAGTCTGTGAAAGGCTCGGCGCGGTGGAAGTTGACCTCGGGGAACTGGTAGACAAACGAGCACGCGAGGTTGAGAAGAGGAGGAAAGAAGCTGCGACGAAAGCGCCGGCTGCCACAAGAACCCCCCAGCAGACGCCGGGGACTGAGCGATCAAGCGGTGGCAATGTGCACTTTCAGCTGCTTCAGAGGCCACTGGGCGAGATTGTGCAAACCCCCGGTCGCATCGGGCGAGCGAACATTCCGAAAGAATCGCCGTTTGAGAAGAGATTACAACGCGAGCGAGAGGAAGCGCCGCCGCCGGCAAAGAGGAGGAGGAGAAGTCCGAGTCCACCGAGCAAATCGAGTCATGCGACATCGCTATTCGGCACGTCTTTGACGCTTTCGGCTCGGCCAATTAGTACGTGGAGTGGTCGCGGACGCGGCCTTGCGAGCAAGACAAATACCGAGCCGCTCGAAATAGAGGATGACGAGGACGGCGTTGCTGATGAGGCACGCGAGCGATCGCGGCAAAAGGAAGCCCGGAAGCTCAAGGACCAACCAAGCAAACCCCAGACACCCATCTCCCGAGAGCAAGGGGCAGCAAATTCCGCGAAGTTGACCGAAGCGCAGCCACCCGCGAAGGTGGTCGACGTCGATGACACTGCGGAGCCTCATGGCCAAGACCCTATGCCGACACCTAGGCGCAAAGCTCCGAAAATCCCACCTGCTATACGTAAGGATGCTGCGGAGGAGAAGGAAGCCAGCAAGGCTGCAGTCAAAGTTAATAAGAGGCATCAAGTTGCTGTGGACCGGATTGAGCATCAGTCGGTGGAAGAGCAGTTCCCGAAGCCCGATCCCCAGCCTCGGACTGAGCTTCGCATCAAGTCGCGGAAAAGGAGAGGTTTGCTCATGCTTTCTAATTACAATGACCATCCGAACCCCTACGACAATCCCGTATGCGAGGCCCAAGTCAAGACTCGTCCATCAGAGGCTGGAAATACCGAAACCTCACTACAGGCAGCATCCATCTCAAACGAGGAAATGGAGGTCGAGCGAGCTGAGAATGTGAAAGCAGTTGAAGAAGTGTCCGCTGATCACCCTGTAATGGACGTGGATGCCGTTGTCGATTGCCCTAAAGGTGATGCTGCAAGTCATTCATCCAATGAGACAAGGGAGCCCACGCCTGACGAAGAACATGTCGGCTTTGAGCAGTGGTTATCCAAGGCGCAATCCGCAGAGGTCGAAGAAGAATCTGATGGAGATCAGGGGCTCTCTTTCAGCCACAATCCGATTGACAGAGACGTCACAGTGTCGCCTGCGCGGAATCTCACAGAACCCCAAGCAAGACAGACGACAGCTGAATCGCCACTATTTGTCCAGGCGCCGGATCCTGAGCCTCGGTTCTCGTACCACAAGACTGGCAATGATGTAAACAAAGACCGGCCAGCCAAGCGCAGAAATCCATACAGCATGGTGAGCGAGAGCAAGAGCGAGAGCGAGAGTGACGCGCCAACTACGCGCAAACGGCCACAACGCCCAAAATCCAAAATCACAGCCGAAGAAAGCAAGGCCAAGCCATCAGACTTGCCGAGTGACGCCTCCCAGACTGAGGATGACTGGCTGGGTCCGCCTCCTGATCCTTTGCGAAGCAAACAGACGCGACCCAAGGAGGTTACCCGAGGCAACAGAACGACGACCAAAGTCCGCGTCTCGCGTGTGAGCAAAAGTTCAAAAAGCAAGGAACTCATTGGTTTCAAGTTGCCAGACATTTTGCACTCGATCCCGGACGCCTTGGCTTCTGCAGCTACCCGGATAGGATGCACCTCGAAGCAGGCGAGTGTGCCGCACGGCTTCAGCACGGCAGCAGACGCCCTCGCAGCAGAGGACACTGGCAAGGACCAGCCGGCTGCCTACTCACATTGCTACGATGCTGTTGATGCTGCCGATAGTGTCTCATGCGACGACCCGCCAAAGGCTGCAGGTACACTTCGTCTCGCTAATCCTGCGACTCGTGGTCGGAAAGCGGCCACCAAGAATGATGCGGTGGGTAGACCGCCCCAGGTGCTGGTGCCTTATGAGCCCGTTGTCGCGGGTCGGCCGCCACGGTCGCAGAGAGCTGCGAGGCCACCACTGACCAACACGAACACAGAAGCAGCGGCGTCTCCCACCTCCAGGCCGATAGCTGACGGTAGGCCGGGATTTTCGAAAGCAAATGGCGGAGCTTGGAGCCATCATGCCACGGACTTGCTAGGCATGGAGCGACCAAAGTGTAGACAACGTGCATGAATGAGATGAGACATGAAACACTATTTGGTCGAATAGTTTGTGCGTGTTTTTTTTGCGTGTGTGAAGGCGCAATGACGTTGTGGTGCTAAGTTCACTTTGGGCATGTGCATGCCTTCAGTCGCAGCCATCAGACGCAAAGAAGGTCAACTTGTAGATCACCACATAACACAAGACATACATCATCCGCTAGGTGAACCGGTGCACGAAAGATTGCCAGCTGTTTCAGATGTAACATTTTACTTTCACAACGACTGAAAATACACAGACGAAAGCCTGGTTACTGGCAAACAGCATGGCTCATTCGAATTTACAGGGTAAGCATTTTTCTACCCACGCATTTAAGACTGATGGGGATGGGCGTCACTGGCAGCAATGAGCAATGCCAGTGATCTGGACCCGACACTCCTGTCTCTCCTTCTTGAAAGGTCAACAGAGCGCCGACTGGAGCCAGAGCCTTGGCAAGAGTATATAAAGTCACCGTTCCCCCCCTGGAGCCTGTCCCTGGAGTATCGTCGGCCAGGCGTCCTATGGCTACGAAGGCGAAGAGCAAGACGTCCTCGTAAAGCAGCAGCGTGATCCCCACCGTTCGACCCAGGCGGGTAGTCAGTACTTCTGACGCCCTCATGTCTTCCCAAGACACACAAGTATTGCCTAGCAGCGGTTGTTGGACAGACTTTTGCTGCTGCTTTACCGGAGTAGTCAGCAGCTGAGATTCGGAACCTGGGGATGGTGGGGCCGTGCCTTTCGGCGTTGACTCACATTTTGCATTGAACTGGGAATTGGCCAATCAAGGGACCTGTGGCTCTCGCCGAAGCTGGGGCTCTTCCCATGCATCAAGAACCACACAAGAGCCAATAAGAGCCCTGCGCTGGTGCCTGGTGTGGATATTGACGTGCTCTCATTGGTCAGCTCGTCGTGCTTTGTCCGCGACGCTAGACCACGTTGAGCACGCCGAAAGACTCAACGTCGCAGGGTGCTGCTGCGCCAACTCGTGAGGCATTCTCATCCATCAGCTGTCAGACTTAAGGAAGAGTCATCCTGTCGCAACCTCAGGCCTGGCTTTCCCTCCTTTTCTCTCGCTTTCCACATCAATTGATCCTGATACGAAGCAACACATCAACATCACCCCCTTGGTTCTCGACTGGAGCGTCGCAGCTCGGTCCCCTGCCTCATTAACACGACGTTCGCCCTGCGAGGCCAACGCGCAGCGTACGTTGCAGCACTCAATTCGCTGCCTTATTACGGCCCTCACTCACACGGCAGCAGGCGTCCATCTTGATCAAAGTTCAGACAGCCAAAGAAATAGACCATTCCCAACGTACAGCAACGAAATGACGTTCATGCATAATCTCCCCCAGGGCTTCACCGTCTTCCAGACGCAATTGGGCGCTCCTTTGCAGTTCATCCCCGCCCTCGGCACTCAGGAGCTCGACGACATGGTTAGCATGTACGTCCCCGGCAGCGCACCTCTGAGCGACAAGCGCGCCACCATCTCCGTCGACTTCCTCGAGTATGCGCAGGTCACTGGACAGGCCTTCAAGTTCTACGTCGTCCCCGGCTACGTCGCTGCCTCACCTGCCGAGTCTCCCACCACCGCCTCACTGTCAGCCTCCTCCATCAGCGCCAGCCCCGTGACATCGAACTGGGACTGGAGCTCGGTGACCGGCGGTCCTTCGCGTTCCGCCGCCGCATCCCGCAAGGCGTCCGGATCGGCAAGTTCGCGCCGCCCTGCCGCGACCACCAGCGACTTTTCGCACCTCCCCGGGATGAAGATCCTCACCAAGGACGGTCTGGATGTGACCAACGCCGCGGCGCGCGGATCCAAGACCAAGGAGCAGCGCGACCACGCTCACTTGATGCGCGTCATCAAGGCCTGCGAGAGCTGCCGACGCAAGAAGGTTCGTTGCGACCCCAGCCACAAGAAGCGTGCCGCCACGACCGCTTCGCAGCCTCAGCAGCCTGTCGTCTCGGGACGGGTCGCAAAGAAGGCTCGCATCAGCCAGGAGAAGACGGTTGGCCCCAGAGCTACAAACACGCCCTCGGCCACCCCTTCGTCCGATATGCTGGCCGCATCATCATTCGACACTGAGCTGGACTGGGATGCCTTCCTCAATATTCCTGAGGCCGATGGCACCTTGGGCATGACTGCTACTGGCGACGAGTTCTGGAACGACTTGAGCATCCCTCACCCCGACGACGAGGATGACTACAACTTCTTCCATGACCCTCAAGACGTGCTGTCACAATCCGTGTTTGGGCACGACGCCTTTGCGACATCGACTAACAAATCCTCATCGGCACTGGGCGATTCGCTGTCCTCTATCCGCTCGACATCAAGCAGCGACCACAGCCCTTCGCTCGACGTGGTGGAACAATGGTGGTCGCCAGCATCGATAGAGGGTGACTTGGGCAGTAGCGGCGAGTTACTGCAGGCCTCGCTGTCGGCCTCGCCCGGCCTCGCCAAGGATGAAGAGACCTTCACCGCCCCTGCTCCTATGGCTGGGTCGTTGGTTAGTCTGAATGTGTGGTCACCCGACCCTGGTTGTGCACCACTGTCGTCACCGTTGCCTGCGCCACTACCTGCAGCATCGCAGACCATCCTGGGCGATAGCTCTGGCCGCTCCGGCGGCCTGTTGTATTACGCAGCTATGGCGGTGATGAGTGCTACGACGAGCAGCAGCAGCGGCAGGAAGCAGTCAAAGTCCCATCACGGCGTGGCGCATGGCGCTTTGTCTGGGTCCCTGAGAAGTAGCCTTGCTGCGATTGTGCCAATTCTGGCAATGTCTTTTGTTGCAGCGACGTCTTGGTTGACCTAGTGCAGCCCCTTGGGCGATGCGTGGGCGTTAGCGGGATTTGAGCGTTCTTTGCATTTTGACAGCGTATTGTAATGGAGCAGCAGCCCGAGCAGTGGCTTGCTATTCTACCACAATATGAACTACCAGTGCTTCATGTGACAAAACTGTTTCGCTCCAACTTTCCTTTGTCGCCTTCCACCGTTACCTTGTCGTGTAACCACAAGGCGTGTTTGCTGGTCATGTGACCCGCAAGCGGCATCTTAGAATTTTCGACAAGAAAGTATTTTACCATGATCCGCATTAAGTACATTGTCTAATATCACTGCTCCCCTGGCGACAAACAACTATTGACCAATGGGCTCGTAAGGCTTGAGTCATCGTCGCGCACGGCTTGATTTGTATCCGACCAGTGTTGGACGCACAGAGTCACAGCGGAGGAGGGCTCAGTACTCACGGTACCACGTCAAAGAGACCAGAGGTGCAGCTGGCCGTCATCCCTCGCTGCTCACGTTGCATTTGGGCAGCAAACAGAGTTGTATTCTCTTTCTCTCGGTGTCTACTGCCAAACCCTGTCATCAATCAAGCCTCTTCAAGCGGAATCCTCCAGTATTTGCTGACAGGTCGATTGCGATATACAATATCCGTCTACGGGCTGGACTCGAGTGACTGCTCGAGTTCTGGGCCATCAAAGTGGAAGAGGTGTAAAGGAGGCAAATAACTCTGCGATCTATTGATAGTCACGATTCCGAGGTTCAAAGCCCGGACTTGTTGACGGTTACGTATCGCAGGCCGTCATTCTGGGACTGAGGTCTTTCTTCCCTCCATAGCAGACGGCTGGCTTGCCCAGCACGCCAGGGCTCAAATAGCCGCTTTTGCGCTCTTGCAGCGGGTCAAGATGAAAACAATATCGTTGGCAGGCGCCAAGCGTGCGGGCGAGGCAACCACAAAGGCTTTGCGCAAGCTGTTTGGTCGTCAAAACTCGTCAAAGGAAGGAGCAGCTTCGGCCGAGGGGGAAGAGTCCGGGTCAGAGCTCACCCAAGACTCACCCCAGCCTGACAAGCAACTCGCACGGGATAACCACGACCATACCGACATCAGCAGCAATCCCCAGCCGGCCAGGGACGTGGAACCAGACGAAACCAATAATACCATGGGGGCCGATCAAAAAGCTCTCCCTCCCATCGCAACGCCCGGCTTGCGGCAACTGCAGAACAAGATGGCGGCATCGCAGCAGAAGCCCACGACTGTTGGCAAGGAGAGCCAGCCACCTGTTCCTGCATCTGTCGTCAGCGAAGAATCCCAGCCATCCGCCCAGCTCATTGACGATCTCATCGATCACACCAAGCGTCTTGGAGTGGCCGAGGTGCAACAGCCCCCCACCGAAGAGTCCAAGCCCGAGGAATCAGCCCTTCGGACGCTGACGCCTGATGAGTTTCTCTCAGAAGAGGAGAGGGCGTACCGAGCGGGTAGAAGGAAACATCTCGTGTTCATCGAGGAGGCGCTCGATATGGTACGTAAAATCTGTCCCCCCTGAAAACATTGTCTAACACACCTAGGCCCGGCTCGCCCTCAGGATCAACGAGACGCCCGTAGGTTGCGTCCTTGTTTATAACGGGCGGATTATTGCCCGCGGCATGAACGCGACAAACGTCACCCGCAACGGCACACGACATGCGGAGCTCATGGCGCTCAACGCGCTGCTCTCGAGGCCAGGCAAGACCGGTCCGCTCACGACATCACTGAAACCCACGGTCGAGCGCAACGACGAAGACAGCGACGACGGCACATCGACAGCGGCAACACTGCATTACGAGGGCAACGAGGATGGCAAGAAGGGACATTTGTATCCCTATGGCCAAAAGGAGATTCCCGACGAGACCTTTGACCGAAGCATCATCAAGGAGTGCATACTGTACGTTACGGTCGAGCCGTGCGTCATGTGCGCGTCGCTGTTCAGGCAGCTGGGTATCAAGAAGGTGTTTTTTGGTGCCGTGAACGACAAGTTTGGCGGCACTGGTGGTGTGTTCAGCATTCATGCCAACTCGCTCCCCGTTAGAGAAGATGGGCAGACGGCAAGTGCGCACCCGGCACCACCTCCTATGCGTCTACCGGACGGCAAGCAGGTACTGGGGCTGTCATTCCCGCCTGGTGGTGGAGATGGCGGCAACGTCGAGCCAGGGTACGAGATTGAGGGCGGATGGGGACGCGACGAAGCTGTCGCGCTTTTGAGACGTTTCTACGTGCAGGAGAACGGGCGGGCCCCGGTTCCGCGCAAGAAGGAGGGCCGTGCGGCACGTCTGGCAGCTATCGAGGGCGGTGAAGTAGACAATGCCTCGGTCAACTCGGGCTCTGGCGTTGGCGGCAACGGGACGATGGCTGATGAGGACGAGGACGAGCGTGTCTCCGGCTATGGTGTTTCTGGCAAGAATGGTCCCATGGAGGACTTGAATTCGCCGTCTGGTGATGGAACAGCTCTCGGAGACGCGAGCGCAGGCTGGAAGTAGAGTGTCTGCGCTTGAGCTCCCTTGAGGAAGAAGTGCATGGGTTGTAGAGATATGGTAGAGGGCATAGACAAGTGCGAGGTAGGGACGCCGAGATGAGACCCAGGGACATCCATATCTCGAGCATTGTCAGATCTGATTGGAGCAATGGTCAATCGCGGCGCGTGTCTCGTTGTTGTTGGCCCATGGAACAGGAAGCTAATTGGGACCGTTGATTCAGCTCATTTCGTACCCATCAGTTACCAAAAATATATGCTGTCGAGTCGAGCCCCTGAGATCTGACCCATGACCCATGGCCCATCCTCACTTGCTTACTACGTACTACCTAGACTGTCCTTCAGGCGGCCGCCTGTTATTCAACAACAGGCGTCGAGTGTCTTGTGATGAATCCCAAGGGCATGGCGCTTGCCTGCTTACTTGGCTTCAGGACGTTTTGAGTGCTGTTCTGCTGCCTCAGACACGCCTTGGCCTTGGCCTTTGCGTGGTTTCATCATGGGCAGCTTTACTTGTTACGCTGCGAAAGGTCTCGGAGCCCTTTCGTGATGCGCTTCAACGTGAGTACGTCGTTGACGTTATGTTCATCAGTTGCCCCCGTGTGCAGTTCCTTGTCACGGCTGAAAACAAGAGGCTTGTCAAAGGTGAGAAGAGGGAGCGACTGAAATACGTTTTTGGCCCTGCTGTTTTTGCATTGGCCAGTCTCTTTTGCTGGGTTTGTGCGCATCGCTCAAGGTGAACCCGCGATCACTCGAAGGAGAAGCATCACCTTGAGGGACTCGATTGCTCAGAAAAGCTTGATTCTAACCAGTCGCGATGGAACTTACTACCAGGCCAGTGCCATACTAGGCAATATTCTTATTAAGGGCAGTGCCACTATCGAACACTACTTACAGGCTGTGAGCGTGATCATACCTAAAGTCGGTGTAAGACTATAGAAAGATCTGCACCTTAGCATAGGCACTCATCCATGGTACTAAGCCATAAGTAGCTCGATTTTGCTCACCACCGCTGTGCTATTACAGGCACGGCTCTCACTTTCGTGCCAGACATGGAAGTAGTCGGAACAGCGGTCGCTGCCAAGCATTATAACCACGGCTGCAGCCAGTGTGGCGCAATGAGAACTTAGCATTAAGATTGCCCTTATTATAGCACGTGGATCAGCTCGAGGACTGCAGCGGCCGCCCGAGTTCAAGAGCTCGACATTCATCTGACATTTGTGGCTTGCCTGTACGTAGTGGTGGTCAGCATCACACAGGACAATCAATGGCAGCAAGGCCCAATGACGGACAGGCAGTGAGTGGCACGAGGCGAGGCACGAGGCGAGGCGTTGCGTGCACTGCAGTATAGAGTACTGCATCGAGGCGGGCGAGGGCATTGTCTGCTGTTGGACCAAGGAGACGGGGATGATGGAAAGATCGGAACAAGGGGCATGGATGCGGGACTGCGGAAAAGAGTTGAGGCCTTTCGTGGGCTAAAGGCGCAGCCTGGCTAACCCTAGGCGGTTTGGCTGCTGGGCACCACTGCGCACCAGTCGTCTGACACCACAACTGTTACATACGGCAGAGCTTGAAAGTTAGAAATGACAAAATGCGGGATGGGGTGATGGCAAATAAAAGTACGGAGACGTGTATAGAAGTGGAAAAAGGGGGGGCGACTGTGTCTAGAATAGGGTCCCATGGCTCTCCTCTGCCAGTCCAGCAGATATCCAATGAGTTGGTCGGCTTAGCCGTCTTGGCGCTGTCCGGCATGCGCCGAGCCATCAATATTGACACGCAAAGCCGCGAAGGACAGGAGAGAAACTCGAGGCGCCGTCGCCATTGGACGCCTCCATCTAGGGCTGACTTCAGCTCTTGGTGGCGCTAAACTCTGTTGCTATACGGCAAACCCCAACCATGCATGATGCACGCAGGCCCTCACCACTCCGTGATTTTACACTTGTGAGTTGCCGCTTCTTTACATAGTGCCAAGGCTATGCAGTCATTAATTAGGCAGCCGGCTTGAAATGAGCCCCACTGCTTTAGCTCTGCTGTCAACATTGTCAACTTCCCGTTCCACCACTCTTACCCCCTGCCTATGTGTGAAGCCACAGCATGGATATTGGATCCATGGGGCAGGGGCTGCCTCACCATGTGGTGGTTATCGGTCTCTAGTCCTGAGACTGCGCTCCAGAAAGATTCATGCGGTGACAGCAGTTATAAGACCCGGCCTCTCGCCGTGATCTGCCCAAGGGGAACTGGAAGATGACTCCAGGTGTCAGCGTTGGTCGCAGACAATCCGAGAAGCACATTCATTCACTCACTCGATTCCGTATCTGGAATTGCCTCTCTTTTACTTCTTTTCTCTTCTTCCCCTATTTCTTCTTCGCGTCCATCACTTACATATAATACCGTACCTCCTTGGACACCATGAGGGCGACTCATGCTGTGCTGTCGGGCCTTGTGCTCCCAGCGTTGGCCGAGGTCCATGGTGCTGTCCACAGCAAGAGCACCACATGCGACCCTCCCGAGGTCTCTGTGGTTGAGGAATGGGTCACCGAATGGGTGACAGTCGCCTCCACCGTTACCGTCTGTGCCACGACCACAGGCACACTTGCTTACACCACCAGCGGCAGCGACAACGGCGGTTACAAGGGCGGCGACGACGGCAGCGGCCATGGCAGCGGCAACGGCGGTAACAAGGACGGCGACGACGGCAGCGGCCACAGCAACGGCAACGGCAGTGGCAATGGCAGTGGTAGTGGCAATGAAGGTGACTGTGACAAAGGCTGCGTTGACGGGGACGGAAATCCCATCTCGACTGCCACCAAGAAGACTATCACCGCCACCTCTACGACCTCTGCGACGGCCACGGCGACGGAAACCAACAGCGGAGGCGGCAGCGGAACTGACCTTGCCCTCAAGAGGGATTGGGACCTTGACTGGACCGACATGAGCCAGCTCGAGCTCAAGAAGTCCTGCCGCATGCTGTACACCAAGGAGGAAGTCCCTTCTGGCACAAGTACGAAACAACCAGACACATGCCCCCAAGTCCAAATGTAGAGCCTGCGCTGACTTGACAATCATCTAGAGCCCGCGGACGGTGAGCCCTATGCCTGGTTCAACGCCAACGACACCGAGTATGCCAACCTGCAGACGGTCAACTCCAAGTACTTCGAGAAGGTGTGGTGCGACATTGATGCCGGCTGGATCAAGATGCAGTTCAGCGACTGGGACGCGTACAACCACGCCTGGGACAACTGGCACGACGTCGCCCGCCCGAAATGGGGCGACTATGCAATCATCACCCCGGCGAAGTCGTGCCGCAACTACGGCGACAAGGACCAGCGCAACTTTGTCCTGGCCACGGACGAGGAGCGCGACGATGACAGCCAGACCATCACCTGCCAGATCAAGGACATTACCATTGCCGACACGGTCGGCGACGAGAACCCCGTCGACATTGAGTTTGAGAACTTTAACCAGCCTGGTGTCTCGGCGCAGGCCAACGACTCTCCCGGCAGTGACGGCTTTGATGACCTGGGCGGCGAGATCCTCAGCGACCCCAGCGGCGACTCGGACTTTGACTGGTTCCTCGACAACAAGATTGGCAAGATGGACGTGGAGACCCTGAACAAGAGCGTCATCGCCCAGTTTGGCTTCACCCTGGACGACATTTATGGCGAGAACGATCTGCCCGATCTGGCCACCGCGAACCTCGTCAAGAGGAGGTTTGGGCGTCGGTTGAGGAGGGCGTTTAAGAAGGTGTGTAGCCCTAGCCCCCATCTGCCCGTGCTGATTTGAGACTGACAAGGATTCCAGGTCAAGAAGGCTGTCAAAACGGCCGTCAAGAAGACCAAGGAGGCCTTCAAAGTTGTCGGCACCGCCATCAAGGAAACGGTCCAGAAGATTGGCGACGCCATTGCCGACTTTACCACCATTGACCGCACCATCTCCCGGGACATTGACTTTGACACGACCAGGCTGGGCAACGTGGTCGAGACGCCCTTTGACGGCAAGACGGGATACGAGCTCTTCTCGGGCGAGTTTGGCGAGGAGGTCCGCAACGGCACCGAGCTCTCGGGCGCTCTCGACATCTACTGCGTCGACTGCGGCGTCGAGGGTGACTTTACCCTCCGCGGCAAGGTTGTCTTCGTCTTCTCCCGTCTCAAGTTCGAGGAGGGTTTCGTCGAGGTCTCGGGCTCGCTGGGCGCCGGTCTGGGCCTGGGCATTGTCGCCGAGCTGAACCTGAACAAGGAGTTCAAGAAGCAGATTACGTCCCTTCCCCTGACGCCCTTTTCCATCCCCAACATCTTCGTCCTCGGCCCCAAGTTTGATCTCTCGGCCGGCGTCAACTTTGAGCTCGACGCCCAGGGCCAGCTGCTCGCCGGCGTCCGCGCGGACTGGCCGAGCATCAATGCCAGGATCGACGTTGTCAACTCGGGTTCCTCGTTTGCCAACGGCTTCACCCCCGAGATCACGCCCATCTTTGAGGTCGAGGGGTCCATCAGCCTCACGACCACCTTCTTCCTTGAGGGCGCCCTGGGCATCGGCATCGACATTGCCAACGGTCTGTTTGACAAGTCTGTCGAGCTGATTGAGAAGCCAGGCATCTTTGTGTCCGCCGGCGTGGGTGCCTCGTTCAGTCTCGAGAATGGCCTCGAAGGCGTTGGTGACAGTGGCTGCTTGGGCGTCGAGATTGCCACCGGCTTCACCAACGAGGTGTCGGTCAACGTGTTCGACATTGACACCCTCAGCACCGTCATCGACACGCGGTCCTTTGACATTGCGCGCGAGTGCTTTGAGGTCTTTGGCAAGAAGCGCGACATCGACTCCAGCTTCCCTCTGCTCGAGGCCCGCCAGGACGACGATGGCGGCCTGGGCGACACTACCTTTGACGGTGGCATCATGTCCAAGATCACGACCCGCGACGAGGAGCAGACGCTGCGTCTCCGCTACTCGCCCAACGGCAACATCTACGCGGTCCCGGACAGCAAGGTGCCCCAGGAGGACAAGGACAAGGAATGGTCGGGCTGGTTCGCGACGGACGAGTCGGGCATCTTCATCTTTGGCGACTCGCATGCCCGCTTCCTCCACGGCTACCACGACACGCTACTCGAGATGGGTGTCTCCCGCCTCCGCCTCCACGAGCCCAACGCGATGCCCAAGACGTCGCAGCTCATCGTCCTCGCCACGGTCCAGGACGACGAGGGCCCCGTCGACACCCCCGGCGTCGGGGCTGAGGTCCCCTACCTCGTCAGCAGCGACCTGGGCGGCGACATTTACTACCCCATCATGTGCACCTATGCGAGCGGCGACGTGTACCCCAAGATGTTCCTGGCCAACGACACCGAAGTGGGTGTCGAGCGGCTGATGAGCAACGACGCGGACATTTTGGATCTTGTCACGGGCGCCGAGGTGGAGGAGTGTCAGTACGCGCCCCTGACCAACTGGAAGAATGTCGACGTGGATGATCTGGAGGAGGATCTTGAGGAGGATCTTGATGACGAGTAAGGGAGACGTCGTGCGAGGGGCTGTGCCGGCTGAGAGGTACGCGTTTATCTATACCTTTGATTCTGAGAAATGTACATATATATACACTTTGGTTCCAAGAGATGTACATATATATACGTAATTAGAGGCTTAAGCCAGTCTGTGTTAGCCTTATGATAGCAGTATGAGACGTATATTGCATAGTAAACCAATTATTGTACTGTCTCTTGGTATAGAGAAGATGTTGTCGGGGAGGGATATGTTCCTTTTCGCTAATGAACATTTATATGTCCTGTTGAGTTAATAGCCAAACCACTCGGAGCACGACTCTATCTTCAGTGCACGATAGAAGAATATGTTCCATTTAGCAACAAACTATATACAGGCGAATGGTCCCCAATGTCTCTACATACCCGGCACCAGGCCAATGCTCCTGCATCGCACGCGAGATGTCATGAAGACCAAGATGTCATAAAGATACGTCCACTACCAAGCATGAGACGTTTTCGTGCCGCCGGTCCCCTAAGGAGACCAGACAGCAGGCCCCGGGATGGGGTAGGAAGAAAAGTCCTGGTAGAGGCTGAACTGGATGCCAGGGTCCTCGGGTGTGTAAAAGGTAGTAAAGGGGGCGCCACCGCCGGGCGTGGCGGACCCGGAGCCCGTGACCTCAATGTTGATGCACTGGGGGTAGAGCTGTGCGCCGTTGACCTGGGCGGCGGAGTGGAGGGCGATGATCTCGTGGCGGAGGACGTAGTTGCCCGGGGCGAGGTTGGCGGGGATGTCGACGGTCCAGGCGTTGCCGTTGGCGATGAGGTCGTCCGAGGCCCAGTCACCCGGGTTGTTGCCCGAGTTGAGGCCAGCCTCGGCGAGCTTGACGAACTGGAGGGACGTCTTGTCGATGGAGCTAAAGTCGCCCGAGACGGGGGCAATGTAGTCAATGACGGGTCCGTGGTGGGAGACGGGCCAGGTGTCCCACTGGAGGGTGAGGGAGGAGCCAGCGGAGACGATGGCGGCGTTGGAGGCGGGCGTGGCGCTCTTGTGGCAGATGACATCGGGCGTGTCGGCGGCGTTGGGCTCGACGAAGCCGTTGTCCTGGTTGCCGGCGGCCCAGCCGACAGCGTCCGCGGGGGCGGCGTGGGGGAGACCGCCGGTGTACTCGACGCCATCGGCGATGACGGTCTGGACGTGGCCGTGGGCGCTGACGGCGGTGGCGAGAGCCACAACGGAGAGGGTCTTTGCGAACATGATGCGGCGGGTTGGGAGTCTGGGACGGAAGGCCAAAGTAGCTGGCAGTTGTGGGTGGAGAATCAGGTGAGAGACAAGAGAGAATAGAAGAGAGCTGTTGAGGATGAAGAGGAAGGAGGAAGGATACTGGGTGGAAGAGTGTCCTGGCTTTATATATAAGTCGAGGAGTGTTGTCCATCTGCTGGGTCGTACAAGCCCTCGCGCTCAAGTGGCATACTGGGAACAGGATGCCTTGGAACAGGTGTCGAAACAAGCTCTAGGAGATGCTGGTTGGCTGGGGTAAAGGCGTGTCCCACCGATCACAGTAGAAAGCTTCATCTATCTGTCATCCAAGCACAGACGACGGCGCTGCCTCCCGTGGTGCCGACTGTGTGAACATGGGGATCGACGTTCATGTTCGAAGGAATAAGCCCTCGTGTGCCGCGATCAGCCGTTCCACTGCCGGAATTGGATCATGGATGGAGCCTCATTGCCGGTTTGGGGCACCCTTGTGTCAGGACTGGTCACGGCTATGCTGACGCGCTGATAGGTTCGTCCTAGGAGAAGCATGGATGTTTGTGGGCGAGGTGGGTATGTTCTCGGATGCTGTAACAGAGCCTCATGTCTATGAATTTGTGCGAAACGGAGTGGTTCTGTGTTTTGAACAACAGGAGAGAAAGCATGTTCGATCCGCAGAATGTCCCTGTCGTCTGTATGTCCGGTAGTTGACCAGAGAAGAGGAGGCGAGTCGTGAGCTCAGTTGGCACGCCTGGCTTCACGTCCATGGCGTGAGTCCATGATGTTTCTGCCCGTGCCAAGGCAGCTCAAACAAACAAAGTTGCAGAACAAAGTTGTGGGGTACATCCTGGGCGTCTGACGTGCGAGTATGTCGCCTGTTTGATTGGCGAGAGTCTTCTCCTCCCGGCAGATGGACGCCACCATCGCCGGCGGAGCGTCTTCCTCCGCGATCCAAAAATTCCCTTTGGCTTCGAGATTCCTCTTCTCCATTCACCCGGCCACGCACTCATTAGCCGCTTTGCATGGAAACAACACGACATGAAGGACGCTTCCGCGTCGGAGGTACCATGCCGTCGCCAACGCATCGTCGTGTCGACCAATATGCGCCGTGCTGCGTGGGCGCTGCAATTTACTCTGCCCGGTCAATGATGCAATACCTCGCCAGCAGGAGGGTTTAGAACAGTGTAATACGACCAAGGCACTCGACTGCCGCCTTGGTGGTTCCCCAAGGAGCGGTGCATCAAGGACTATTACCGACTCTGCTGATGTCTGCCAGGAGCAGAGTATCTACATGGAGCAGCAACATTGCGCAGTAGCGGCCCGTGCACAACTTGATGATCGGCGCCATGGCCTGGTGCGTGATCATTGATGTTAGGTTCAATGTCTTGCAACTTCTAAGCTCCGGCGGGAGATCGATCCTTGGCGATTCCAAGTTCCCAAGCAGAAGGATCCAAGTGCTTGAAGGGACCCTACCTGTTTGATGCAAGCAAAATATGGCTCTTCAGCATGCCAGTGTTCAACCATCCTCTGAGGACAAAGCCATGATGGGCAGGAGGTCTGCTTGCAAAGAGGCGAGCAGCTGAGGTTGTCTGTCGACCAGGTTGGCTTCCTGCGCGCAGATGTCCAGTGTACTTTGACAATATCTGTTTCGCAATTAGCCTAAAGATCAATGGTCGACTACGCAGACGGCGGGCTCGCCGCCGCGCCTCGTAGACCCAGGAACTGTCCCATGTATTTCGCTGGATCACGAATGTCTGCATTTACATTCCACCTCCGTCTTCATCTCCCGAGTCATGCAAAGCCTCAGACGAACTGAGACGTGGACTCGGACGGCTTGTGTCAACTACCACCCATATATGCATAGCCGAGGGGTGCTTCATCTACCACACATGGACAGAGTAACATGATCGTGCTGTGTGGCGGCCAAGAGCGCCCCCTCCAAAGCAGCGGCATAATGGAGGGCCAGTAGAGTTCACGACTGATCAACAAGACCAGGCGACTGAATGGAAATTCTTGAAATTGCGGTAATCTACTGTGCCTCCAAGGTCGACCAGGTCAAGTCTGAGTAGTATCTGCACAGTCATAGACTCAATGACAAAAGACGAAGAAAACTGTTGGCGGTGGCATGCATCAAGCATAGCCGTCCTTCTATTTGTAAGTCATCTATCTGTCTCATATTCGTGAAAAGCGATCGTAATCGAGCTCATAAGCATCCAACCAATTCCCCCTTTCTCCTTGGCATCCAAGCCTCTTCCCCTGATTGTCGACAGACCTCTCCATTTCCTCCCCCACCAGTCAACTCGCATACCATACAATGCGCCCTTACCCTTACTCCTCGCGGCCGATTTCCATGCGCTTCTTCAGCCTGTAGGCCAGCGCCCTCTTGCGTGCGGCAGCGGGCATGGTGAAGGCGGCGGAGCCACCAAAGGGGCCGGCGGGCGTGGAGTTGCGCACGCGCACAATGCAGACATTGTCCACGCCGCCCGCGGAGCCGTCGCAGGTCATGCCGGCAGGCATCTGGATCTTCATGGGGAAGTCGGTCGTCGTGGTCAGCGAGAGACCGGCCACGAAGCCGGGCACGTCCTGGGTGACCTCGGCCCGCTGGAAGGCGTCAATGTCGGTGCCGCCCGATGTGCCGTCGACCATGGCCTCCATGGGTCCAGCGCCGTCCTGGTTGATCTGCGTTGGTCAGTAATGGTCTCTTGATTGTAGTGTGCAGAAAAGGACTACCTGGCGCATGGTGACGCTAATCTCGCCACTGTCCGAGCACGTGGGCATGCCGTTCGTGGCACCGTCGCCAGCCGTGGCAGCGACGCTGCTCTCGACAGAGAACTCATTCTTCTGGCCGTCGGCGTTGCCGCCGCCGCCGCCGCCAAAGAGGCGACCAAGAAACTGGCGGCGGGCCTTCTGGCCACGGCCGCGGCCGCGGCTCGCGCCCCGGAGAGCGGAGATGTCGTCCTCGACGCCTGTGGAGTCGGCGGCGCCGTCGTTGGTCGGGGCCCGAGCACCACTCATAAAAGCGGCAATCATCGTGTTCGGGTCGACGGGCCCATTGCCCTGGGTGCGTCCCAGAGGGCCAACCTCGCCGCTGGCAATCTCGCTGTCCCTGATGATGGATGTGTCCGCCTGCGAACCACAGCCGTTGGACGAGCAGTCACGAGGTGTGCCGTCGGCGACTGTAGGATGTTAGTGATGAGGATCGAGGCATGTCCATGGGGCTGCGAGGTCGACGTACCGCTGAGTCCAGGCATGGTGACTCCGTTGGCGCCCTCGATCGAGGTGATGAGGCAGTGGGCAGAGGCGCTCGCGACGAGACCGAGGAGAGTGATGGAGTACTGCATCTTGCTGGTTGTGGAGTGTTGGGACGTGATGAAATAATTATAGAGTGAAATGATGTCGCCGGGACGAAGGAATAGATGGCTACCAGAGCGCAAAGGAGAAGATTGGAGAGATGGTGAAGGCGGTGGTGAGAAGGCTGGAGTTGTCTGTGTCTGTCTGTCTTGGTCTTGGTCTCGTCAAGGCGAGCGATCGTTGCTCTTTAATACTCGAGCATCATCACGACAGACTGCCTGTGACTCTGCGCCTCCATGGCTTCTGGTGTCGATGGTCGTTCGCGAGGTTGCTTTTCGCGATGTTACTTTTCCAGGTTTCCTTTTGCCATGGCGTCTGAGACTCGGGGGGCTGTGTCGATGATTCTCAGGTCGGAAAACATTCGCGCAATGAGGTCTTTTGGAAATACCCCGTCATGGTAAACACTTTTCGTCGTGCACCAGTGAGAGTGACGATATTCTCCGAAACGAATCATTCAGATGCTCAGAGGCAGACGCCTTGCTTCACCAAATGTCTCCGCGATGCCTTGGCGCCCGTGTCTGCTCAATGGTAGACCCAGCCACACCGCAGTGTTGCGCCGCGCCATCTACGGTTCTTGGACGTTGTTGCGAGGGCGTGACATTCGGTGTGGCTCCTCGCGCGAGGTCTTGGCAAGACTATCGCGGGAGGTCAAACAACCCTGCGACACTAGCCTGTCCCTGGCGGCGATCCGATCCGGACTTGGCTTCCCGACCAATGTTAGATACTAGTTTCAAGGGCAGTGAGGACTGTGAGTTCACGTCTTGTACCGAGTGGCGGAGCCTTGAGGAGGACAATGTGACTCATCGATGGATCGTCGACTAGGTTTGACTGGCACCCCTGCGGTGTAGTCCACGTCGGAGGCGGGAGAGGCTGAGCATGATCCCGAGTGATCGTGACGCGGGTGAGAGCAGCAAGATGCGATTGGCTCGTCCATCATAGGAGCAGCGAAGAAAGGCCAGTCGTCCATGTTTCGACCATTGCCCCAGCTTCAGGGCCATCCGCAAATAGACAATTGATCAGATCCGTATTTTTGATACATGGTCGGCTCTCCTTGGCCTCGACTGGGCTAAAAATAGCGAAATCAGAGCGTAACAAACTCCTCTGAGTCTTCTCGTGTGGGAAGCTCTGTTGAGGACTGCCTTTGCTCTGTGGTGACGAAAATTGAGACAGTCTGAGTTGTGTCACTGTTATAGTGCCTCGTTTAAGCCTGCGATTCTGTTCAGGGTAGGCATATTGGTGTTTGCGCCGACGGTCCCGGCATGAAGTTCGTGAACGAACTCCCAATACTCAAATAGAACAACGTGTCGTTTGCATTCGTCACACTGTAATTTGTCTTTGCTATTTTTGAAAGTAAAGTGCTTGGTCCTGGCTTGAAGTGCTTTGCAGACAGCAAAAACCACCGTCCACGAGTGGACGCTTAGGACCGACCATAGCTTCAAGCTGAATAACTACATGGACATTTAGATATAGTCGAATCCTTCCACATCTATTGACTGAAGCGCCTTCCACTGCGGACGGCGTCCGCTCCCTATTTGCTGATGGCGCAAAGTCGGACAAGGGCTCCGTGCTGGTCGGCGGCGAGTGTATCTACTCCCAGGTGGCCAGGTAGCTCTCTGGCGGCAAGCTCAAGGTCTCTGACACGGGCGCGCGGTGTATCCACGGACAAGCCTCCGCGATGGCTTTTCAGGATCTGGGTAAGGGCGTGCACCGATTACGCGACAGGACACGTGGACCTGGAAAGGACGTCTCCATCATCACCAATGTGCGCCCGAGCGAGCTAGACGACCCGAGCGTGCGATTTGGCTGGACAGAACTGAACCAGATTGGCAATCCGGCGGCCGACATGAAAAAGGCGTTGAAGAGATATTGGGCCGCATGATTCAAGCCGCTCTTGATAAGATGCACGTGGACGACGCTGCGTTCTGGAAAATCACATGCTCGTGGCCCAGCGGCATGCCCGCCAGGCAGAACGAGCCGCGCGTCACCATGATGGGCGATTCCGCGCACTCCATGGCGCCCGCCGGAGGGCTCGAGTCCAACACGGCTGTCCAGGGCTCTGCCTTCCTGGGTACGCTACTAGGGGAAGCCGGCGGGTTCCAGCTTGGGGCCACCGAGGCGTACGAGAAGGAGACGAGGGTGTATGTGAGCGAGACTGTCCACATGAGGTACACCGCGGCCAAGGGGACCTTTGGCATAGGGGTTGATGAGGAGAGCACACCTGCGGTGTAGCGTATTGTTGGAGGGTGGGTTTCATGATGGGATGCTGCTCTACTTTGACAGACAGACGAAATAAAACAATGGACCAGCTAATATTCGGACAAACAGGAGCAAAGACAATCAATCATTGCAAGAGAAAATATATAGCCACGAGCAAGCATGTGAGGATAGCTGAAGGTACTCGCGTGGACGATCAAGCTTCACTCTACTCAACTCTAACCTAGTTTCAACGCGAAAACGCGTGTTTCCGAGAGTACCTGAAACCCTGATAACCCTATTCACGACCATTCGGTTCTTCCCTGATCCTCAAGACTTGAGAATATTTGTCCAGGGCCTTGGGAAAAACGGCCGACTGCCGTGATCATGGTTCGTCGCCTCGCAGGAACAAGAATGGTCCATACTCCCCTCTGGTAGCTACGCGGCTCTGAGTTGGCGCTACGTCGTTATGCTTTATCCGAACCATGATCTAGTAGAGCGCGTGATCTTGGCTTGCAAGTCACGGCAACGCCGGGAGACGTCACGTCGACTACATATCAAGGCCTCGCCTCCCCATCGGCCTCGCTTGGCGCTCTCACTCATCACTACACCACATTTCCGATTCACTCGTTTCCTCGCAATGCGTCTGACCCTCGTTCAACTCATCGGTTGGGCGGGCCTTGCCGCTGCCTCCGAGCGCCTGCTCCAGCACAACCCCGTCCACCCGTCCAAGGCCGCCCATGCCGACAAGTGCCACTCTCCCATGCTCTTCAGGGGCAAGTACACGCTGGGGCGCGCCAGTCTCGGCTGTGGCATCCATGAAACGCACCGGTCATGTGCCTACAACGAGATGGACCCCTTTGAATTCGCCTACGAGATGTGCGAGCAAGGCGACGGCGTGTGCCCCCAGGCCATCCAGCTGGCCGTGCAGGTACAGGCCCAGCTCGACGGGGAGAAAGCCATGCACGCGGCAAAGGCGAAGCAGGTCTCGGGCGACAAAACCCACTGCTACACCCACAAGCATGACCATGCCAGGTTCGACCCCGAACGAGCCGCGGCGGCGGTCAAGGAGGCTGCGGACAAAGATGCTGCGGCCAAGCAGGTCCACGCCGACCCGCAGGAATAAGCACGGCTATGAGGCGTCGCATGTCGTCCTGCGTGTGCCCGAGAGACCTGACGCCGCACCATGCTAGCAGTCTCACCAAGGGATGTCCGAGCCGACATTTCCCTGGCGTCGAGCACCGTCACAAGTGCGCGATGAACGCGTGCGAGTTTGGAGAAGAAGAGGCGCTCTGCTCCAAGCTCCGGGGGCTGCGCGGGGAGATGGGGACTGAGAAGTACCATTGTCTTAGGGGTGGCCGGCGGGCTAGGAAGGTCAGGATATCGTCCCGCGGCCTGGAGGCGTGCAAGGGTGGCCTAATGTTCAAATGGGTGGTAAATAATTTGTGCGAGCGATGTCCGATATCGTTCCTTTTTGTCTTGATCTTATATTTTGCACATTGCTATAGAGACGTTATACTCAATTTCTTATTTTACGGGTAATAATTCACTGATGGGTGCATGTATTTTGCGCCCGTGTTCACTTGCTCAGCAATCCTTCTGTTATAGTTACCCAAGCAACAGTCACCTAGAGATGGCAAAGATGTACGGCAGAAAGAACTTCTTGCAAGGCAAGTATGTTGATGACACTAGGCGAGGCGCCTTTATTTCGAGCTCAGACGGAATATCTGCCATTATGCACGCGAAGAAGCACTCTTAGGGCCCTTTTGAGGGCCAGAACAGGATGCCAATGTCGGCTGGAGGAGATACATCGAGCACATAGTCGAACCCGGTTTCTACAACGGTCGTCAGTGAACATCTTGACCTTTGCTTGTTGACTCTTACTGCAAACATTGGTAAGACTCATGCAGCAGGACCATTGCATCAAAAGTTTTCGGCATAGTATGTTGTCGCGTATCTCTACAATAACGCCCCAAGGCACATGCAATAACTCTCAAGTATATCCTTACATCTTATATCTATAATAACGCCCGAACATGAAAGCAATCGTGAGCCCCGTGACGCCATCATCTACAACTTTGCCCACACACCCATCGAATCACGTCTCCTCTTCACCTCCCGGGCAGTAATCAGAAGTGCCACTCCCAAAGTCATGCAAGTCGCCGCGAAGACCTGGGCATTACGATAATTCCCCCCGCTCACCAGGGCTCCCGAAACCGGAGGCCCGATGAGAACACCAAAGCCGGTCACAGAGTACACCATACCAAGCAAGGTTCCTTGCTTCTGGACATCAAACTTGACGGCACCCAGAGCGGAAGGGCCAAGTGACTGGATTCCACCCATGGCCAGGCTGAAGGACACAGTCCACGCGTACAGCCCTTGCAAGGTGTCAACAGCAGACCAGAGATAGATGATCAATGCCGTGGATGCAACGTGGCCTATTTGAAGGTTCAGTGCGCCGACGTACTAAGCTAGGGGCCAGACGGCCGATAATCCCGATGCCGTTGAGGACGAGCAAGAGATTCAGAGACTCGGTGTACGTCAACCCTAGGGTGCTCCGAGCATATGTCGCCAGGTAGAAGATGGGGAAGAAGATGCCGACGAACGCCTGGGTGCCTTGTTAGCGTTGAACAACCGGTTTCGCCGTAGGTACGCCTATGAATGAGGGTTCAAAGCATACCAAGAAAGATCCACCGGCATACAAAGTATACTCGGGAATCTTGAAGGCACTCCAGTCTATCAAAGGGCCTTTGGCGTGAGGCGTAGCCCGGGGCTTGATAGTGACTAGAGCCAATGCCAAAGTCCCCATCTGGATAAATCCAATGGCTCGCATTGTCCATCCGAAGCCAATGGTGGGCAGCAGCGTTCTCGCCATACTTGGGAAGATCAGCCCACCGACAGTGCTGCCGCACGTTGCAACAGCCAACGCAACCGCTCGCTTCGTCGAGAAGTAGGTCGATATTACCGCCATGACCGGTGTGAAGATGAGACCGCTGCCCAGGCCAGTGCATACGCCCTGAGCCAAGAACACCTGCCAGTATGCAGTAGAAACTGATGTTGCGAATGCTCCGAGGATAATCAGGGCAACGCCTGTAACCACTGTGGTCCGAAAGTAGCCCGCGTCGGTCAAGATACCGCCTACGCTGCCCATGAAAAAAAGAAGGAAGACTTGGAAGGAGCCAATCCACGATATATTAGAAGAAGAACGTGCAAGGGCTGTGACGTAATGAGTCTGGAAGATGCCGAAGGATACAAAGACACCCCTATTCGAGTTGTTTAGTGATTCTGCGGTACACCTGTTTGCGGCCCACGAGTGCTTACCATGTATTCATGATGACGAAGAAGCCCGAAGCCGCTAGGTATCATGTTAGGCTGCTGCATGGAACGAGATCCGGAGACGTTTGAGGCAACTAACTAGACATCCACGCTCGAAGGCCGCCATCAGGGGGTGGCGGCAGGCTAGGGTCTGCCGAGAGAACCGGTGCTATAGTATCTCCCATCACGCTGCCACCGGTGATGGCGGGCTGATTTTCTTCTCTTCGCAACTCATGATGCACCGAAAGCATTTGCCGAGACGTTATTGGGCTCCTGGACTCGACCGTTGTATTTTCGAGACTTGGTCCGAGCATCGCAGCTGTGCATGCAGGCAGTGGAATAGAGAATCGGGAGACTAGAATGAATGTAGAAGACTATAATTTCGGTTCAGAAGAGATTGAAAAGGAACGATAGGCAAAGAACATATCATAGGCTTCGACGGCCTTAGGCTCTCTGTAACTTGACAAAGGAGCTATGGGTGGGTCATCGCTTAACCCAGGGCCCGTTAACATTACGATAGCAGAACTATCGGGAAGAAGTATTTGACTAATGTGTCTTTCGTTATAGGAAACGAAAGCAAACATTATATCACCGCCATTGGAAGTTGTTATTAGATTCTTACGTGTTTGATAGCTTAATAATGTTGATGTTGTTGTTACTATTCGCGCTAGTGTGGTTTGATGAAGCCAGGCCCAATCCGGTCGTAAAACCCGTGAGCAGCACGGCAGAGATCTAGACAGAGATCGCGAGAGGATTTTTATACCCGATGAAGACGACCGAGGCAACGAAAATGTGGACTTCAAGGATTTAGGTCTTCCGCCTGGCACGCGTATTGGTACCTAGATTGAATAAGCAACTTGTCATGCCAGGTGATTACCCAAAAAGGCTGATAAATCATTCGAACCTCATATATTTGATCGGGCGAAAAGTTTCTGTAGCGTGCTCTATGACGACGAGGTGGCCCAGGTCACAGGCCAAGAGACTTGTACATAAAGCTACATACCTTCTGTTCTCACCGAAGTCCTTTCGTCAGCACAGCACCGCTACCGATCACATCATATAGTACACATCAGAACAAGCTCCTAAATTCCTCCCAAATCCACAGCACACCAACCATGCCCACTTGTCCCGGTTTCAACAGCAATGTCAGCATCACTTTCATTGGTACCGCTACCGCTATTCTCGAGGTCGACAATGTCAGGTTCCTAACTGACCCGTTCTTTTCACCGGCCGGGTCATATTACGACATGCCAGGCAGAAACGCTCGCCTGACAGTTCGCCAGGATCCCGCACTCGCGCTCAAAGAGCTCCCTCCCATCGACGCCGTTCTACTCAGCCACGAAGACCACTGGGACAACCTCGATCAGCTCGGCCGTCACTTACTTGACGGGCGACACGTTTTCACCACCATGGACGGCGCCAAGCAGTTGGCCCCTCGGCCAGGCGTCGTTGGCATGCAACCCTGGCAAGAGAAAACCGTTGTCCTGGGCGGCAAGACGTTCCGCATCACAGCCACGCCTGCCGACCACGTGCCCGGTGACGAGTGCACGGGCTTCATTCTCACTACGGACTCCTTCGGAGTCTCACGTGACGGCCGCCCCAATGCCCTCTACTTCAGTGGGGACACGGTGTACATGGAGGAGCACCCTCAGATGGCCGACAAATTTCACATCGCAGCCGCCATACTGAATACTGGCGACGCGAGGGCTCAACTAGAGCCACCACCCGCACCACTGCGCCAAATCACCCTAGGTGGCAAGGAGGCGGCCGACATGTTCCGCGCCATCAAGGCTGACTATATTGTCCCCATGCACTTTGACGCCTGGGACCACTTCACACAGCATCAAGACGGCTTGGCCGAGGCGTTTGAGCAGGAGGGTGTTTCTGATAAGGTGATATGGCTGAATCCCGGAAAGCCTGTCAAGATCCTTTGCGATGGCTTCCAGAAATAATGTAAACAATCAACAATGTAGATACTTTAGATAAAAGTTGTTCTATTTGCTTCGTCTGCTCTCCTGCATATACACGGTCCTATTGTTGGCCTTGCTTTGTGAAAGCTAAATTGACCTACGGGGAGCCGAACTACGGCTGCTGCTCCCCACTGTATAAGCTCGAGTCAGATGGGGTGCTTCTCTTGGCCCGCAGACCACGGACGGGCCTCTCACGTTCGAGCCAAGCGTCGCATCGAGAAGGCCACCAGAGACTGACTATGCGTCGCCCTTGGAGGCTCGGACGACACGACATGTTTGTGTGGAAGAAAAGCCACGGGAACAATTCATCTGACTTTGCTGGTTCTTAAGAACGAGGGTGTGATCACCCCGCCAAGCAGCCTGGCCACATTCCTCGATCCGTCTCAGACACGACTCGCCCTGGGGTAAAAAAAGCAGTGACATTGAAAGCGTTGGTGCTGTGAAGGGCTGCCCCGGGCGGTTATTAGGTATTCAGTAGTCTCGACGCCTGCTGCGTCCCGAATCTTCTCTCCCCGATGAGCGTGGACCCCTAGGGCCAAGGAGTCGTCATGGCGGCATTTCGCACAGCCACTAACAGCCCATGGCATTGCATTGATTATTCGCCAGGCCGATCGCTTCTGCCCGCATGGATGCACATCAACAGGCAGACCCATCACGGGACCTCAAGGGCGCAGCCTGGTCTGGGGTCTCAGAAGTGCGTGCAAGGAGGCAGACATCTCTTATCAGCATGTTCGTCCCCTAGTGCGGGCCACTTACACGCAAGCGGACAAGATTCGGGGACCTTGTTCGTTGGCCATGAGGTCTCCTAGTATTGCTCGTAGAAAACGATTCGCCCCCCTCTTCTTCGATGCGACGTGAAGTCACTCTTCCCCTTCTCTCTCTTCCTCTCATCCCGCCTGCTTGTGCGTGACGCGAAAGAAGCACGCCCCAAGACCTCACCTCTACATCCAGCACATAGCACCACCCCAACCATGGGTCGCTCGTCGTCTTGGTCCATCAGGACGCCTGGCGGCTCCGGCTCGGGCGTCGACAACAGGAAGCACCAGTTCGGCGGCAACTCCCACGCCAGCATGGACATTCGCGGCCCCAAGACCTCCGAGCACACGTGACTGTACCGTGGTCTCAAGGCGCGCCACATCAGCATGATCGCCATTGGCGGCGCGCTGGCACCGGTCTCATCATCGGCACCGGTGCGGCCCTGGCCAAGGCTGGTCCTGGCTCGCTCTTCATCTCATACACTTTTATCGGCGCCATCGTCTTTCTCCTCATAGCGGCCCTCGGCGAGATTGAGATCTTCCTCGTCGCCGGCGACGAGCCCTTTGACTGGCGCACCCTCATCACGGGCTATCTGGGCATCCCGCTGTACCTGCTGCTCCTCTTTGGCCACATGCTCGTCAAGAAGTCGCTGGCCATCGCGCCTAGGGATGTCGACTTTTACACGGGAAAGGATATCATCGATCGCGAGGAGGAGGCCTTCCTGGCCAAGAAAGAGAAAATGGCCGCGAGCAGGGCCGGGTGGAACAGGTTCTACGACGGCTTCCTGCCGCCGCTGTTCTTGAGGTTGGCTGTTCCAACGTGTACATGGATAGATACCTGGCATGTTTATCCGTGAGTGCATGTGGTGAGTGCTGTGTTGAGTGCTGTGTGCTGTCCGTCTCCCTCAGGTTGCTGTCGCGACCCGTGACGCCAGAGTCCGATCACGTGCGCGGCGCTAGTGCCCGAGCTTAGACTCCAGCTGTAGGGTAGTCTCACCAGTACCGTCCTGAATCCCCTCCTCTCCGGCTCTCACATCGGCATCCTCCTCCAATCTCCACACATCTCCACCCAGCCAGCTCAGTTCGGGCGTCTCCGCGCGTGTGCCGTGCTCGGAAGCCTTGGCATCCTCGCGGTATTGAATTATTGATCGCCTGACTCGCAGTCTTGCCCTTTTTACGTACCAGCAACCCAATCTCCTCCACAGCCATGCCCCGACTCTGGCTGTCGTCTGCAGACAGCACCCTGCTCACGGTGCGCACGAGGTGACAAGAGGCTAGTCTCACCATCTCCAAAGCAGTAGCAACAAGCAGACTGACAGACTGACAGTCTCCTCCCCAAAGATATGGAGCCGAAGTCCCGATCTTATCGCTTGAGGAGGAGGGATGCACCCCGCAACTCGGCATCAGTGTCGCGTCCCCCCTGGCACTGCGCAGATACCGCAGATAAGAGGCGTGCGATCTCGGCCTCTCCAAATAAGAACCCCAATTGCAAATAACAAGAACCACGACCCAATGCGGCCCGCCTGAGAAAACGGTCCCTGCTTCGACGCACCATGCGATGCGACGTCATTCCCTCAATTTGGCTGCGGTTTGAAACTCTGTCACGACTCTTCTCCTTGCACAATTGAACAATCGCTCACAGACCACCGCAAAGCCGCCACCACCACCACCACTACTAGAACAACCAACCCGCCATGGACGACCAGAGACGAGGTTCCGCAATCCAGGCGGACCAGGCGCTGGCGCGTCTGGGCTACAAGAGCGAGCTGCCGCGCAACCTCAGCATGCTGAGCGTGCTGGGCCTGTCCTTTGCCATCATGGCGGTGCCCTACGGCCTCTCGACGACCATGTACATCACCCTGACCAACGGGCAGGCCGTCTCGGTCCTCTACGGCTGGATCTTCGTCTCGCTCATCTCCCTCTGCATCGCCGCCTCCCTCGCCGAGATCTGCGCCGTCTACCCGACCGCCGGCGGCGTCTACTACTGGAGCGCCATGCTGAGCACCCCCCGCTGGGCGCCCCTCGTCAGCTTCGTCGACGGCTGGCTCACCCTCGTCGGCAACTGGACCGTCACCCTCTCCATCAACTTTGGCGGCGCCCAGCTCATCCTCAGTGCCATCAGCATCTTCAACGAGGACTTTGTCGCCAATGCCTGGCAGACCGTCCTCTGCTTCTGGGCCGTCATGATCGTCTGCGCCCTCGTCAACGCCTTTGGCTCCCGCTACCTCGACATTATCAACAAAGTGTGCATCTACTGGACCGGCGCCAGCGTCATCATCATCCTCGTCACCCTGCTCGTCATGGCAAAGGACCGCCGCTCGGCCGAGTTTGTCTTTTCCCACTATGACGCCTCCGCGTCCGGCTGGCCCGAGGGCTGGTCCTTCTTTGTTGGTTTGCTGCAAGGTACGAAAGATACTGATTCTCCCCTTCCCCGCTGACATGCGTAGCTGCATACACACTTACCGGCTACGGCCTGGTGGCGGTCATGTGCGAGGAGGTGCAGAACCCCGAGCGCGAAGTCCCCAAGGCCATGGTCCTGTCCGTCGCGGCCGCCGGCCTCACGGGCGTCCTCTACCTCGTCCCCATCCTCTTCGTCCTCCCGGATGTCCAGATGCTCCTCGAGGTGGCCAACTCGCAGCCCATCGGACTCCTCTTCACGACCGTCACCGGCTCCAAGGCAGGCGGTTTCGGGCTCCTCTTCCTCATCCTTGGCATCCTCATGTTCGCCGGCATCGGCGCCCTGACGGCCTCCAGTCGCTGCGCGTACGCTTTTGCCCGCGACGGCGCGATTCCCGGCTACCACCTGTGGAAAAAGGTCAACCCCAAGCTCGACATGCCGCTGTACGCCCTCCTCCTCTCCACCGTCGTCGACTGCCTCCTCGGCTGCATCTACTTTGGCTCCTCGGCCGCCTTCAACTCCTTCACCGGGACCGCGACCATTGCCCTCTCCACGTCCTACGGCGTCCCCGTGCTCGTCAACCTCGTGCAGCGTCGCAAGGCCGTCCGCCACTCCGTCTTCTCCCTCGGCAAGTTCGGCACCGTCATCAACGTCATCTGCGTCGTCTGGATCGTGTTTGCCTGCGTCATATTCTGCCTTCCCGTCTCGCTCCCCGTCGACGCGAGCTCCATGAACTACGCCTCTGTCGTCTTCTCTGGCTTTGCGGCCATTGCGTTTGCGTGGTACTTTTCCTACGCGCGCAAGAATTTTACGGGCCCGCCCGTGGATAGAGAGGCCATGGACACGGTCGACGGGGTCATGGCGGCGCCGCATTCGCCGAAGGAGGGTCTCGGTGACGAGAAGGCCGTCAAGAGCAATGCCTCTTAGTCCAGACGGCGTCTGCCCTGTTTACCGCTGTATTATATGCCGTTTATAGCCTTGAAGATCTGATATTTTGCACGTGCCATGTTGGCGATCGAGTCCATAGACCCCGCATGTCAAATCATCAGACAGTATCCGTCGGCATAATGTTATTGTTTCACAGCACTAATCCAAGCCCATTGAAATCCTTTTTGCTCTCTTTCAAAGTTGGTACAGATCTTCCAACACCATCTGTCGCCAACCTTCCTCTTTCTGCCCAACACTCGCCATGGCAAACAATCAAACGCACGGCACGCCGGGCAGAGGCTCATCAGAGCCAATATCCTCTACACAGCAACGTGGATATGGGGAGCTTGGATCCGACCGCAAGTGATGAGCTCTTCCGCCACATGCTGGTGACTTGCCACCAATGCATTTCAAAAGAAGAGGGCGGCCCTGAACTGTTGACGGAGTTGCTGAGGCAGAGAGCCCTCAATATCTGCAGGTTGGGCATGCTCAAGCTACAGTTGATCCTCTACAAACCACCTCTCGCGCTACCGACAGGAGAGTTTCCCCTGATGGAAGAGTATGCCCCAGTAGGGCCATACAGGATACCAGCTTACAATGAAATCTGGAGTCTTGATGAGCTCCAAGAGATGGTGCGACGCTACATCTACTGCCTCCATGTACGTGAAAATGAAAAGAGGTATTTCATGGATTGGCTTCCGTAGTCATTGGATGGAATAAGTGAAGGAGACGTGAAGCTGACACTTGACCTGTGGAAGTGGTTACGTGACACTGCGAACGTGGCGGGAGAGCAGCCCCAAGTCTTTCTCGAATGGGCACTGTCTAGACATGGCGGGGAGCTTCATGCCGTCGCTTGAATTCGCCGTATAAAATTTCTATCTATAGATGTTTAAATCAACGCTTGAGGAGGTTGCGCGTTGCCCTCTCGCTGACAACGATCGACGTGAGCCTTGATCCTCTCCGCCGCCTGCTTCGCCTGATCACCCAAAGCAGATGGCTCGTCGGAGAACTTCAACCAGCCGCCTCCAATGGCAGTCGCACAATTCACACCGATCCCGGGGTTCGACACTTCATCCCGGGAGGAAGATGTCGCTTTCTGTGCGCCAGTCTTTCTCGGGTCGAGAATGACCGAGATGAAAGGCGATCCACGCTTGCGCGCCGCCGCCTGAATCTCTCTCTTGATCGATAACTCATACGCGTCAGGAGCGCGCCTGTTGGCGAAGATGCAAGTGAGATGAGGTCGGGAGTCTTGCGTGGCGACGTACTCCAATGCCACGCGACGCTTTGGTATGGTCAGTTTGGCTTCGTCATTCAGGAATTGGAACCTTGCGGCAGGGTGTCTGGTGTTACTCACACATTCCTTTGACATCTCCAAAAGATGTTCTTGGTGCGCTGCTTCCTCGGCCTTGCCGAGCTCCAAGCCTGCGGTCATATTCATATCGAGGACCCCTGACTGAGGGAGCAAGCGCCTACTCTTGGTCAGACCTGATGGCCATCTGCGTAGGGGAGGCAAGGTTCGTGACTTACTGCAGCTCCTCGGCAACCCTATTTTTATGTTCGTGGGGCTCGCCGTTGATATAGATGAATGGGTGGTCGGCGGGGTTGTTCTTTGCTTGGGACATTGCTGTTGATGTCGTTTGCTTGTCGTAAGATGACTTTTTTTCCTCCAACACAAGATGATGAAGCCATGGTCTCAGGTTCTACAGTAACCCTCTGCTAATCAAATTCAGTATGCCCGATGACATCCTTTCGGCGCCTCAAAGCTAAAGGGGCCTTGCCACAACATTAAGTTAAGTTCAAGATTAAGTTCCACTGGACAACGCACCACATCCCTTGGCCTCACTGACACGTATGTACTGTGATCTTATGGCATGATATTCTTCATTCAAAATTGTATCTCGTGATCATTACATGCATCATACATTCTGTGGTCGCTTTCCCGTGCTTACTCACGCGGTAGGCTCGGCAGTAGGCAAGCAAGAGCAGGCAGACGACACTCGAGAGACAACATTAGCACCACAAGCCTTGGAGGCATACTCGGGCACAGCAGCGACGTCAGCAGACCAGCCATCAGTCCAGTCCGCGCAGAACTCTTGCGACTCGGCCAGACGGCCGTTGACCGAGGTGGAGCGCATGGCACGCAGACAGTTGTCGGCGTTGCACTTGTGTGTCTTGGGGCATGACTCGCGCTTTGTCATCTTGGCCAGGTACGCGCCGCGCTCAATGGTGTTGATAAAGACAAAGCCAGATTCGAACATGGCGTAGTGGGACCAGGAGCCGAACATGTCAGCGACACCACCGCCAGGAGCGCCGTCGTCTATAAAATGTCAGCAATGGCCACAGTATAGTCGCATCAGAGGTCCTCACCCTCGGGGTAGATGTCCAGGTAGGCAATCTCGCAGACAGAGTCACCAGTGGGGTCCTCGGGGATCGACGAGATGTCGTACACCCGGTACCCAGCCATGTACGAAGACTGGTGGGCCAGACCGTCTTTGATGTATTGGTTATGGTCTACCGCCGGGACACTCGATTTGTACAGTCCTGTCTGCTTTGGTTTTTCGAGGTCCTTGATGTCCCAGATGTAGGTGACGCCGTGGCCGTCGGCGGCTGGGCCGCTCTTGTAGATCTCATCGAGCTCGTCGTCCATCAGGAGGTACTCCTGGTTGTTGGGGTCAAGCACCCATCCCTGGTGAGTGTAGGTTGCACCCTCGTAGGAGGTTATGGAGATAATCTTGTTCTCCGTCTTGTCGGACACGTCGTAGCTACCATGGTCAGCCTTGGAAGCCACAAGTCTCACAGCGACAACTTACATAGTCAGAGTGTCCTCGTTGTATCCGTAGCAAATGTCTCTGCCTTCATAGCGCTTGTCAGGGCCACGGTAGACCATACACTGCGCGTCGTGGACGTAACCATCGTCGCCGTTGCAGCCCATGTAGGTGGGTTTGGTCGGGTCACTGAGATCGAAGAAGATGAGGCCAGCCATGCAGCCAGACCTGCGAGGACGCGAGCCGACAGCGACACCGTAGCCGAGCTCCTCATTGATCACAACGTTGTGCGAGGCACCCTCGGGCAGCTCCTGAAAGTGCGAGGCAACATCCTTCTCCACGTCAAAGATCTTGACCTCGCTGCCGTCCAGGTCGAGCAGGGTGGTCATGTCAAAGATCTGAATACCATGGTCGCCCAGCTCAGAACCGATGAGCATGTAGTTTTTGTAGCTGCGAATCTCCTTCCAGAAGGCATCATCGTTGGTGGGAGCAGGGCAGGGCAAGAAACCCAGCTGGAGCAGGCGACCCTCCGGCAGAATCTCGAGGAACGCGGTCCCGTCGTACATGCCGTTGGCGACAAACTCACGTTTGCTCTCGGGGTCGGTCCAGCCCCATGAGGAGCTGCCGGTGAGGAGAAGGCCGTTACCACCCTCATCCCAGCCGTTGGGCGAGCCCAGAGTGGCGTGGTTGATGAAGTCGTAGAGGTCCATGTTCTTGCAGCGGAAGGTCTGCAGAGGGTCCCCCTTGACAGCCTCAATCTTGCCGTCGATACACTTTGTGTAGTTGAGGCGAGGCCATTGGGCCGAGTCGAGCAGGCCAGCGTCAAACTCGGCCCTCCAAGCAGCCTTCTTGCGTGCCATGCTGTCCATATGGACGACGCCGCTGTCGTAGAGCCCTGTCCATGTTAGATTGTCCATGTCTCCCAGGTTTCTCGCCGTCTGGCCACATACTGGATGCCTTGGAGTCGTCCTTGGGGAGTTCCCTAGCCACGGCCATGGCGGTCATGGCCGCACCGGCGGAAAGAGTCGAGAAACGCATGATTCTTGGGGTTCAATCAACGACGCCTTGCAAGAGACAATGCAGCGTGAACCTCAGGGATACGAGCATGACAGCACCCTCGTCTTAAATACTTGCTGAGCCATTCACACCCTGGACAGCCGTGCCATTGCCAAGCTGGCTGTGAGCAAGCCCGATGACTTCTACCCACGCATTGTTCTCGATAAGACGCACGATGCTGCCAATGGGCACGAACTATTTCCATTGTTGCTAGTATCGGATAATGGGAAATTGGGGACCTTTGGAGAAGCAGCAGCCTCTTTTCGGATCTTGGCTGGTCACTGCATGGAAAACGCTTATCAACTGCCTCTTCAGGCAGGTCGGCGTCGGATCTAGACGGTGAAGATTCCAATCACGCACTTTGCCCGGACACAATGAACCCCACTGTCCAAGGCGAGGCTCGCGAGGAGACAGCATCCCGGGGCTTCTTGTCGGGACGCTTGTTCCTGGGCGCCAACGACTGCGCATACTCTCTGCTAACTGGGCAAAGGAGGAGGAGGGCGGTCGCGTGAATCGCGTCGCACTGCATGCGGCTTGAGGCGTGGTGCTCCGGCCGAGGCCTGGGAATATTAGGGTCTATTGCTTGGCTCGGGTAGCGTGCCAATAAAATGCCGCTTGTTTATGCTTGAGTTATGCTTACACCGCGCGCGGGCCCCTGACAATTATAATGACAGTTGTCTTGGCGGGAGACGTTCGACAGTGACATGCTATCTGTACATGCGGCTCGCTCCTTGGACGCCTCTGGCTTCATTAGACTCAACAACACATAATGATTCGAACTATACTTTACTTCTGGGCCAATTAAATAGTCTTTCGTGGGATTTGGACTTGAGCCACTTTGACTCTGGGCCTTATCATCAAGTGCACTTGGCTAACCTTTTCAGCGTGGCCCGTTTCCCTGGCGACTTTTTCAATGATGGTGCTGGCCCAATGATGCGAATCGGCCGTCGCTTGAACAATTTCAAGTCAAAATTGATAGATTGACTTTCAGGACATTTTATCTGATCAGTTGCCCTTAGAAACTCGCAGCGCTTTCCTTGGCTCACAGCAAGATTGACATACCAGCATCCGATTTCTACACCTCACGCCTTGCTCCTCATCAACTTTATCATGAAATGGCCGTGAAATTATTTGTGGCGAAAAAATCCCTGGGTCAAAGCTTACTTATAGTGCGATCGGCAGAAGACGCCGATTAGTTTTGAAGGGACCTGTTTGGGTTTCAATGGGCTGCGTCGAATTCGACTTTGGGGACACAAATGCTCAAGAATTTCTGGTAGAAAGATCATTGGATGGACACTTACGGGGCTAATGATTTAAATATGGAGGAGCCCTTCTTGATATCACAATCATAGATTATTGATCGTGTACCATGCCCTTGACTCGTTTGACTATACCCTCCTTCTGCCCCGATATTGAGCATCCACCATCGTCATCAACCACTGCGCCCACAGCGACAAACCCCACCACATCACCATCATGCTTGTCTCTCGCTGGAGCGTTGCGCTCACGCTGGTCATGAGATTCATGGTAGCTTCCTCATCTGTCCCCGGTGCCTCCTCAAACCAAACCTCGGGAGCACGCCCTACAGACACTACTCGAGCGCCACGCGCCTCGCAGCTTGACCTTCTCCATATGGCTGACGTCGAGGACCTGAAAGAATCTGGCGAGAGAGCTGGAGATACCACTGACATTCTCGAAATGGCCATGGTGGCGTTCGAGGAGCACGGGACGGCTCCTGCGCTGAAGGAGGCCACACCCCAAGGGACGGGACAATCGAGCTCAACTACGCGTCCGCCGGCCTTCCTTCACGTCCATCCAACATGATGGACGACAAAATGAGGGCAATCACAGACGAATTGCTCTACGAGCTGTCCTTAAAAGACCTTCTCAAGCGCCGCGCAGCAAAGGACCCCAAATGGCTGCTCTGGAAGTCAGACGGGTGCACAATGTCCCTGAACAAGCCATTTGGGTGGCCCTTCAGGGTATGTCTTTGAAGTTGCTTTCTAGGCCATTGTGACTTGCGTACTGACTTGGACGCCCAGCAAGCATGCTTTCGTCGCGACTTTGGCATCAGAAACTATCCGCTTCAGAGGCGGTGTGGATGGGACGTAAAGAACCGTGTTGACAGGCAGTTCTTATATGAGTATGTCCAATGTCCAAGTCGAGATTGGCATCTGCTGTCAAGGGTGGACAGTACGAGGTACGTCTGTGCCAGTACGGCCAAAAGCCTCACCCGCAACTCATACAATATCGTGGCAGAGATATACTATGCAGGCGCACGCCATTTTGGATGCAAGTTTCTTGAAATTAGACTACCGCGAGCCTAGCGAATTTCGCGTATATTGAAGCTGAGGAGGGCCGACGAGGAGTGTCAAGCGTTGTTGAATAGTAAGGCAACTCTCGCGATCATGAATAGCACCTTCATGATACCCTGTTCCATTGCATACCCGTGCAAAGCACGCCTATGCCTTGTTGTGAAAGCTTTGTCCTCTAGCAGCATCTACTCCTGGCACAAAGTCGCTCAAGAAAGACCATTGTGTCCTTTGCTTCCATCTTTGCTGCATAAAGTCGTTCGCTTTCCGAGGGCACAAGTCGGCCACCTCCAGGATTGCCGGATCATTTGCTTTAGTAACCCAGACGTTGTCGAGCGCATCGAGCTTTTGTATCTTGTCAATGGTCTCCTTGGTAATGGCGACGTCGGCGTGCTTTCCCTAGGCCGTTGGTTCGAAGAATGGCGAGTCACGTCCTTTTTCCAGGCAGACCGCATTCACAACATCAGCCAGACACATACCGCTGTCTTGCAAAGGGTTAGGGGATATGTCGTCCGCGAGGGGCGTCCACTTGTTCGGACGCAACTGGCCCAGGTGGTGAACGCAGTCAGCGCCCAGCAGGATGAGGGAGTCGGGCTCGCCCGTCACGCGCGCCAGTGCACACGTGTGACCTTGGCAATGAACGGGTGCGTCGAGAAGGTAGAAGCTCTGGTCTCCAAAGTAGTCCATGGCAGGCATCCGACCAATCGTCAGGTCAAACTCGTTCGACGTGATCTCACGCACGTTACGACCGGCGAAATCTGATTTCCAGGACGACGCTTCTAGGCGCTGTCTGCGTTCACCACATGGGCCAGTTGCACGCCAATGAGTGGACGCCGCTCGTATGGAAGTGCGCAAGTGAGGAAGGCACACGCGACCCTGGCGAACGTATCCGAACTGGCTTGCAGCACCCCGATAGAGTACTTTCGATATCACGAAAGCGACTAGTACAATCAAAAGCTTTTCTTTTTACTCTTGACGTTTTTATGTGCGAATCCTTTTGACATTCGGTGATGCAGTCGATTCGGGATGTACATGCCGCAAGGACTTGCCTTCCCTTCGATCTACTCCTGCCTCAAGTCCTCCGCCAACTCACAAGTGTGGGAAGGAACCAGACCAAAATTCTTTTTCTTGCCGGGGCCTCCGCTCTTCATTGTACTCCCATCTCCATAGTTTCTTGATAGACACAGCGCCTCAATACCACAACGCTGCTTTCGAGATTCTCACGAACTCATGCATTCGTCAAGACGCAAACATCAAAGTTCCGAATGAGAAATGAAGCCCGCGAAAAAAAACTTCGAGATTAGACCGTGATGAGTACAGGTCTGACGAGGACGGTTGTGTGAGCATGGAGCCTCTGTCCAAGAAGGATATTCCAGTGTCTACCAGAAGATATGGCCTTTGAAACACATCAAAGGCTTTGGGGGATGTGACAAATTCCCGATCCCCAATCACAGACAGTACTTTGACGAGTAAGTTACCCAGTTTTTGCGAAATCACCCACCCAATGCTAATATATGATATTTCAGGGGTAGTTGAGACAGATTGCCGAATCGTGCCTCCTGTCGCGACAATCTACGAGAAGAGAACGCCAGAAGATGAAGCAGCTGAGAGCGAGCAAGATAGTGATGGAGATGGCGAAAACGACGATGACGAGTTTACTCTCTCTGTCGAAGAGCAAGAGATGCAAGACGAAGAAGAAAGTGTTTGTGTCAGCCTCACGGACGACAAAGTGGACGATGAAATCCGCGAGCTGCTACCCCATTCGTTCAAAGACGTGGAAGACGATGAATTCTTCAGCACAGAAACGCACGATGCGATGGGAGAGATCACAAGCGAAGAGAGCGACCAAGAGGCAATTGATTTTCTTTCACGAACATCCCGCAAGCGCAAGCATCGAGATCGGATCACTCAACCAGCGACAAGGGATCGACAATGGCCAGTCGTTCCTGAAACTGCTGAGGAATGGATTGCTGGGTTTGACCGTCAGCATAGGAATGTTGTTCTTGAAAACGACTTGGACTTATTGAGGTTCCAGAGCAAATGTGGCGCTCTGATTCAGAGGCTATGTGTGAAGATGATGATGAACAACAGATCAGAAGGGAAGGAAGATGATGAATTCTCTAGCTGAAGAACATGCTGATGCTATGAAAAGAGGAAGAACGCCATAACGTGAAGATGCTGCTTTTGAGGGCAGCTGTGGGCCGAATGTGCAGCCTGACCAATCGGGACAGTGACTGGTCTGAGAGTCACTGGGCCTGACACACAACACTGTGAGCCAGCAGCCGATCAGAAGAACGAAGCTATTTGACTGGATGAAAAGAACTCGAGAAGAACGGTCGATGACGCGAGGTTTCCGAAATATCTTGGTTGCAATATCGCCTGAAGACCTCACAGATGAGGTATTCAAGCATATGCCCCAACGAACACAGAAGGTATTGGCCAAGCCGGACTTGTCGCCTGCCGATCTCCTCTATTTGCCTAGCTTCCCTGAAAGATACATTCACCGGGCTGCTTACCTCAATGTTCCCACTCGCCTGAAAATGGAACAGATTGTGCGCGGCGAATCTCCCTGGACCGGTTTAGAGATCAGAAAGTCTGTCGACGATAAAGCTACGAGCGGGACGGTGGAAGCCGGCGTCTATGTCGGATCCACGAACGCTGCCGAGGGTGCCTGGGCGCGCACAAAGCAACACGAAGCGGTGACCAACAGAGGTGGAAAGGATCCTGGACAAGGCCGCAGTCCGAGTTTGCATTACGCCTTCGCATCACAACTCGATGTTGTGCTCAACTTTCGCGCGGTCGCCACCTGGACCAATCTACATGCATCAGGGGATCCCGTGGTTCAAGACCTCTCTCGATGGCTATGCGTATTTGTCGAAGCAATCATGATGGCCTACCTCGGAATATACGATCGCAAGAATCGATGCGGTATCATGTCCCAGATATTCTCTGACGATTCATATGAGCTTTGTGGGCCATTCGAGCCATCACAACCTGGGAATTATGTATCGCCGAAAACACAACTTCAATAAACGTATAATGGTGAAAATCCTCACAAGATTCCTTTCTTCTTGGGAGGCTGATCGTTTCACAGCGGCTGCGACCCTGTGCTTGGACAGCGTGCAGGTATACAGAGGCATGTTCGTCACACCACGGAGAGCAAAATCGACAAAGGTGCTTCACTCGGGCTGAGATGTTTGGAGAAAAGGTGTACACAAAGAGAATTGCAGGAGCAATGGCGTAGGAGATGATATAAACAGCTGAAACAATACTCACAGTGAACATGGGCATAATAAAGCATTTGTATTCCTTGTTTAATCCTGAATTGCGCGGCCCAGAAATATGCAATTCATATCCCCGCGCCTCTTTCTATTACTGCGCGTCGCCGGTCACCTGCGGCTTGAAGAAGACGGTCATGATCCCGTCCACCTTCAACTCCTCTAGGAGGCCCTTGACGGCTCCGTGAGCGGGACACTCACTCTCATAGAATTTCATGTCGTCCATGCTGGCGAACTCAGTTTTGGAAACAAACGTGTAGCCTTGTGTGCGAGGACCTTCTTCAGCAGGACCGGCGGCCATGCTAAGGATGTAAGGCTTGCCGTTCTGGAGAGGCCGTCAGCATTCAAATTGGACCTAACAAGCAGGAGTGGGAGGCACTTTAAGTGAGACACGGGCGACAGGATTTGAGGGGTTCAGTATTGGATCGTCATCATACCCTTTGGTTATCAGCAGCCATCTTACGGCACTGCTTCAAGAACCTCTGCTGGTCCTCAGCCCTGGGCATTCTGAACATCGTCACACGATGTATACGCTCAGCGACAGTGGAGTAAAAGCGGTTGTGTCGATGATATCTGTTCCTACTCGCGTTCTTCTCATTGAAAGCCTTCGCCATGGCAGTCAATGATCGATGGGCTTGCGGAAATTTTTGAAGCGACAGCATTGTGGCTGGGAAATCAAAAGCCTGGTCAATGCGTGGGAGAATAATTGAACTGAATTGAGTTGTGATTCTGTTCGACTTTAGCGAGGACGTCCCCGCCCACACATCGTTCGATCCTGTTCTAAGATGGGCGGGAGATTGTTATATACAAGCTACCTACTCCGCTCTTATACGTGTATGTCGATTCCTTGAGGGGTATAGCCGTCTGAATAAACGCTGAGATCTATCATCAAAGCAGGGGTGGCGGCTTTCAGAACCAATAGTCTTATGCAACGCAGCCACTGAACTGCCGGCGGGCTCCTACGGTCCCATATTTGATTACATGCCCAGCTATCAGTTCTTATATACGTGGGTCAAAGCTGTCTCCCAAGCCTGTCAAAATCGGGTTTCCACCGCCAAGTTCCGCAAAGAGGATCAGAGCGCAGGGAAGATGCAGTGAGACCAAGACCTAAGGAATCCACTTGATCCTTTGGATCCTGCGGTTCCACAAGGATTAGCTCCGCATGCGGTCTTAAGGCCTGAGCAGCTGTTTGATGATTCACGTAGAATGGCAATCGATTATTCAACCTTTCAGTCTCTCCGCGTTGTCGCCTTCAAGCACATCTCATCGCGATCAGCAACTTGACACCTGCGTCTCGGAATTATCAGAACTCGAACCCATTTCCATTTCCAACAGTCGAGCGCACAAATGTTGGCCTCAAGCTCATCAGGGCGCTTGCGGGTGCTCCTGCGTCATCCCCGGAACAAAAAGGCTGCTTCATCTTCACGTTTTAACACAATTCGAGGCGTACCTTGCTGCAACACCAGGTATGCCGGGCTCAGCACTTCCTCCACAACCCTAGACTTAAAGAAGTCAGCGCTGGGAGATGTCACTGATTCCAGCGCCGTTCTCCATCCAACTCTGAAGAAAGCTCCTCTGCAAGTGGTGGCGGCCAAAGGCACCCACGTGAGATTCTCGAATGGCCAGACTATTGAGGACACTACATGCGGTGCAGGAGTGGCTTGCATTGGCTACCACAATGAGAGAGTGAAGAATGCCATGGTCGAGCAGATTAACAAATTCTCCTATTCCAATTCAATGTTCTTTGGGCATCCGATAGGCGAAGAACTAGCTGCGGAGCTCGTGGAGGGGACCAAAGGGGCGATGTCCAAAGTGTACATGATGTGCTCTGGTAAGTCATTACGGTTTGAAATAAGCCATAAGGTCTGACCACAGCCAGGCGCCGAAGCCGTCGAGTCCGCCATGAAAATGGCGAGACAATACTACATGGAGCTCAGCCCCAAGCAGCACAGGCGCATCAACTTCATTGCGCGCGAAGGTTCTTATCACGGCTCAACTCTGGGCTCCTTGTCATTGAGTGGTCACGTCGGAAGACGGAAGCTTTTCCAAGACATGTTGCTCAAGAACATTCACCGTGTATCAGCTGCCAACGAGTATCGGGGCAAGGCCGACGACCAAACAACGGAGCAGTACGTGCAGCAACTGGCAGCTGAGCTAGATCACAAGTTCCAGGAGGTTGGGCCTGATACGGTTTGCGCATTCGTTGCTGAGCCTGTTGTGGGGGCGGTCAGTATTGATCTTCTGCACGCTCATGCTCTCTGCTGATTGTGTTGTGCTCCAGACCCTTGGCACAGTCCCTGCCCCTGCGGGCTATTTCAAAGCCATGAAAGAGGTGTGTGAAAAATACGGAGCACTCCTCATTATGGACGGTTTGTACATTCAAAATCCGCATTGCTATGTGATGACTGATCATGAACAGAGGTCATGTCTGGAATGGGTCGTGTTGGATCGCTTCACGCGTGGGAGCAAGAGGACGTCGTCCCAGACATTGAGACCATTGCCAAAGGTCTGGGAGGAGGATTCGCACCAGTCGCAGCTGTTCTCATCAACCACCGCGTGGCAAATGCGTTGACAGATGGGAGCGGGTAAGTCGTCAAGGCTTGCGACTCCTTTTTTCCGAGTCTGACATCCGCACCAGGACGTTCTCCGACGGACACACATACCAAGGCCACCCTGTGGGATGTGCCGCCGCACTGGAGGTCCAGCGGATCATCAAGGAAGACAATCTGGTGGACAATGTTCGCGAAAACGGCAAGTATCTCGGCCAGCTTCTGCACGAACACCTAGACGGCCACCCGTATGTGGGTAACATCAGAGGCAGAGGCTTCTTCTGGTCGGTAAGTCTGCTAACGCTGTTGGATCTGGTCGAGTATGACTTCGAAGCTAACGGATATGAAGCTTGAATTTGTTGCGGATAAAGGGTCGAAAGAGCCATTCCCGCCATCAGCCGGCATCGCGAGCAAGGTTCACACGACCGCGCTCAACGACACAGCCATCAGCTTGTATCCGGGCACAGGCACCAAGGACGGTGTGAATGGGGACCATGTCCTGCTTGCCCCTGCTTACACAAGCACGAGGAAGGACGTTGAGAGGATCGCTGACAAGGTGAAGGAGGCGGTGACTCGGGCATTCGAGAAGATTTGATGGAGACCGGAAGATGCACGCGACCGTATCTGCCTGTGAGCCAGTGCCAAGAGGCAGTCTTCCTCATGGGAGAGGAGAATGATCTCGTCCAAGTTGATGTGGTCCGTCCTTGTATCCATAGAGTCGTCACACAACGCAAGGAATAGACCAAGCGAAGGGCTTTTTGGAAGTTCGCAAGAGAGTTTGCTCACCAGCGGCGCGGCAAGGCGTACTTTTTATCATCATCATCTTATGCTGCTTGCGTTCGAAAATCAAATCGCGAATCTCAAGGTCTGGGTGCCTGCAATTGTGCTCATGGATAAAAATAGTGAACATTCAGCCTTATGCATTTGTCCGGCTTAGCGTCCTTGGCAGCACAGGGGGCTCGGGGCCCTAAGTCCAATCACATCGCCAGCGGATCATCAAAGGACCGCGTTTGGAGGCTCGATCGCGACCCCCCTGCACGGAGCTTTCCAGTCTGGGTCTAGACCCGTGTGACGCTATGGGCTAGTGAGTCACCCGGCTACGCGACTGGCCAGGCAGAGATGACCTGACATATTTCTCCTGCATCTTCTGCCTCCTCTAGGCCGTAGTACCTCTGCTTTAATGTGTCTGCTACCCCAGCTGAACGTCGCTGACCATGCCAAGGCCGAAACCACCCCTAACCGAGCATTCTGGGATCGCAATTTCACGAGATCCGTCCAGGCCTGCTGCAGCAATCTCTGCGTGAGTTTTCTCTCGCTTGGAAGCTGAGCCCATGCCCGCGATATTAATAAGGGCCCGGAGCGCGCGCTCCCGCGCGGCTCGCCCACCTGCCTCTCTCCACGCTGATCACATCGCCCCGCGCAGCATCACCGCCAGACAGCATCGCGATTCAAGATGAGGCTCACTCATCAACTCGCGGCTGTGGCTGCCTTTGTGCTGCCAGCCGCTGCGACGCAATGGACTGTCACGTCGTACTATGTCGCCACCGAGACGACGTCTGTCTGGACCATGTATGATGAGACGTACACGGACCTGATGACCTTTGGTCTCCAAAAGACGTACACGCCTGACGAGGATGCTGCAACGTCGACGTCGAGCTACATCTACACGTATGATGATCTCAAGGTTGTCGAGATCTACGTCGACCCTGCCAAGATCGAGGAGGACCAGATTGTGACCTCGACCTCGTACGAGTACTCCTACGACGCCCCAGAGACCTATTACGTCCAGAACATTGTCTACACGGCTCCGACGTCGTGTCCCACTGCTTTCACTGTCACCACGCGGTCCACCTTGGCTATTCCCACCGAGGTGCTCGACGGCGTCAGCTTCGAGTCCCTGTCCACATCCTACTCCACAGACTACTATGGAGATAGGTACACGTACGTTGACGCTGTCGTGCCTGACAGTCTAATCCCCACGTCGTCCAGCGACTTGGCCGACGACTACGTCTACTCGTACTATATCGCCGACTGTCGCAACCCTACCGCCACGGGTGATGCGTTCTACGGCCCTTCCTACTGGGGCAGCGACGACGACGACGACGACTCTTCTTCTTTCACCAGCGGAAGCAGTGATGACTACGACTCCATCTGGGGATACCAGCCCCTGCGGACCTACGTGATCGTCGTCGCCTCGGTCATCCCTAGTATCTTCCTCCTCGGCTTCTTCGAGAACTACTTTTGGTTCCGGAGGATGATGACCGGCAAGTACGTAACAGTGTCTAGCTCCTCTAGTACTCCAGCTAACCCTCCCTAGATTCTCCCTCCGCTTTGGTACCTGCTGCTGGATTTTCCTCCTCCTGCCGGTCATGTGCTTCACGCGCCAATGCCCAGCCCGTGACTCAGAGACGCAAAAGGCCCTCAAAGCCCAGTGGAAGCAGACCGGCTTCGGCAAGGCGCTGGGCCTGTGGTTCAAGCACGGCTTCCGCCATCGCTACCCAGTCGATTTGCTCGGCGTGAATCCAGTGTACAACAACCCAGCGCAACCACAGCAGCCTCCCATGGGCCAGCCCTACCCTGGTGGTCCCCCACCGCCCGGTGGCTACATCTACTACGGCCCTGGCCCGCAGCCGGATGGCTCCATGTCTTCTCAGGGCGATGCGAAGGGAATGCCGCCCCATGGCATGCCACCCCATGGCATGCCGCAGCCTCCACCAGGCATGGTCATGTATTATCCTCAGTATCCCCAGCAGGCGTACATGCAGCCCCAGCCTGCTCCCGCTCCCGGTGCGTCACCCAGCTCGCCGAGCGTAGTGTCCGACGCAACGCAACAAGCCCAGTACGCGCCCACCCAAGCGACGGCACCGAGCCAGGACGCTTCGGCGCCGCAGACAGTTCCGCAGCCGCAGGAGCAGGAGCAACATTTTCCCAGTGGGCAACCGGGGCCTTCTGCGCCTCCGGCTACGCACCAGCAATGATTGCGAGAGGCATGAGGAGTAGGGTAATGCATATGTACTCTTCTCGGCATAGCGCGCTGGAGTTTGTGAGCGTTTGGATTCAGCATATACCAGATCACACTAGATCATCTCATACCGTACCACACTAGCATAGCATAGCATAGCACGCTGGATTATCATCCACTCTTAATATATATTCACCACCATCCAACCATTCTATGACTGGCCATTCCGAAACGGGAAGCTTTTGACTTGCCGCCACCAGCCACGATCATATCTCCACAGGATCAACCCCTCGACCACGCCCCGACTTTCCGCAAAGTCACGCCTCACCTCATCCATACACCGTCCCACCCGCTCCTTGTCGTCCTCCTTATTCAGGATTGTATAGTGGCCCTTCCACTTCTCTCGTCTGTCCTGCTCACTCAGAAAAGGCGACCATTTCTCCCTCAGTTCCGCGCGTAGGTGGTTCGCCTTGGCTTGCGCTGGCTTGGAGATGTTGACGCCCACCCCTTTTCCCATGGGATACGCCCCCATTCCTGACGCGACTACGTCAAAGGGTGAAGCATGCCCTGCTAGGATAGCAACGTCATCTTTCACTTGTTGTAGTTTTGCGCCGGGCAGAGCGTGGAATAAGGTAATGTGCGCGTTGACTTTGAGCAGTTTCTCTGGGAACCACTGCCTTCGCAGTGCCGTCATGGTCTGGTGATGAGTCTTGTCCGTCCACAGCGTCAACACGTAGTGATCTTCACCCTCCTGTGCTTGCACATTGGGCTTATGCTCATCGCGACGCTCGTGTTTTTGTTGCGCATGGTCGGTGTGAAATGAGGCCGCCTGGATGTGTGACGCTGGTGATGCGCTGTGGGAGACGGCTACCCTGGAGGTTGGTGAGATGGTGTTCACAGTCATGCTTCGGGAAGCGCGCTGCAAAGGTTGCGCGAGGCGAAGATGTCGCATCTCTTTCGGAAGGTTAGCTTGTGGAAAACAGACAATAGCAAACACAAAAAGCCCGAGGACTACATTCCGAACATAATAAAGTCTTGACGTCACTGTCTCTGAGCGGCCTGACTTAAAATATCTTTACGTCAGTTTGGACTCCATTGCAACGACAGACTCCTCGTCAACTAGTAGCACTAACATTTATCATTACTGCGTATCGAGTGGACGCATCATCTATGTCTATATCCAATCCCATGATTATCTTCAGGTATCTCATGACCAAGTCAAACCCAGCAGCAGCTCCAAGCGATGCTAGTATCAGTCATTGCCCGTCATCGCCCAGGGCCATCATTAGAGGCTAGGTACCTCGCTTAGGTGCAGTGAGGAGTGCCGTCGGCGTGGGTGTGGCAGTTCTCACCACCAGCGTCACCATCGTCGGCCTCGTCCGCGGTCGCGGTGGCCGAGGCACTGGTGGTAGTGGCGGTGCTGGTCTCCTCTTCCTCCTCCTCGGTCTCCTCCTGGGTGCCGGTGCAGCCGACGCCGGGGACGGCAATGTCGTAGGCCCAGGCATCAATGGCAAACATCTGCAAGATATCCGAGTCGTAGCCGGTCAGCTCGGGCTCCTCCTTGGCCATGCGCAGGGCGTCATTGTAGTCCTCGGCGTAGTGGTGGACCAGGTCCTCGGAGATGGCGGGCACGTGCAGGACACGGTGCAGCAGGTCGACGGCCCAGTAGGTGTTGAGGGCCGAGTTGGCGACGGTGAAGCCGTGGGCGCAGACGTCAAAGAGGTTCTTGCGAACCGAGAAGGAGAGGTCGCAGATGACAGTCTCCTGTGTGGCGTTGTCGCCGCGCCAGTGACCTGCCCATCCTGGTATGTGTTAGTGTCGAGTCTTCAAGTCATATCGCGGCCGAAGCCTTTCCATTGGAAATGGACTTACCATCCTGGGTGGCGCAGTTCTCATCAGGGTCGTCGCAGCGGAAGGTCATGGCGGACTTGTCAGCGGCCACGACACGATCGAACCAGCCAATGGGGATAGCGGTCGACGAGTTGCCAAAGTACTTCTTGACGAGGTCGCTCTTGTCGCCGAAGCGGAGCAGGTGCTCGCGGGCATGCTGGGCCAGCTGCACAGTCTCGTCGAGGGCAAACTCGAGAGCGGCATGCTTGGTGGCGTTGCAGGACTCGTGGATGGGGTACTTTGTCTCCCAGCCCTCGGCCCAGTTGTAGACGCTCTTGGACTCGCTGGTGGCCTCAGGACCGGTGGGGAGGACGGTGGTGGGCGCCTCGCGGGGGACCAGAGGCGAGGCTGAGGCCGTGGCAGCAGCCAGGAGCAGGGCAACTCGGTACATCATGTTGATGATTGGGTGAGAAGGGTTGGATAAATAGGCTGAAGGGAGTCCAAGGGAGGTGCAGGCAAGCCGGTGAGAGGTGAGAGGCTGGCTGATACTGCCTTGGGCCGGCCGGCCATGGTCAGCCTTTTATGCATGCCGTTGAGCTTGATCGCAGCCTTGCCTCGCCACTTGATGGCTCCAGTCTTGTTCGATTCCCCTCTTCTTCGTCACCTGAAGAATTTTCCGACTGTCCATCTCCGTCTTCTTCTCCTCTCATGATGGTCATCCCACGCTTGGCAGCCCGCTGACGATGGGGTCGCTTCACCGTGGTCCCAGTCCAGAACCCTGCCCGCGCCATGTGCGGAGTACTTAGCTCGGGCCTACTATGTAAGGTTATAAGGTCAAATACTTTCTCAGTGGTTGAATTGGGTTTTACGATGGAGATGGGCCAACTTAATGGACGATAGAGTTGGTCATCCGGGTTCTCGCGCCTCTCCACATTCGGCATGCATCTGGGTGTCCATCAAGGGACACGGACGGGGTGACCGCAATGTTTGGCTTCATCTACCAACCAGCTGAAGAAGAGGTGAGCAACAATGTCGTTGTGGCAGGGAATATTGCGTCTTTTTTTTCCTTTCCCCAGTGACGTTAATTCATCCTGGTCTCTCGGTCATCATGACCAGGACTCCTCACTCATTGCTTCTCCTGTTCGGTTGGCCGTCCCATATGCTCTCCCAGGCCATGTTGCCCGACACGGTCATGAGCGCGCTGTCAATCGCACTACGTTGATGAGTCCAACTCGACGCACCCGTCATCGCCGTCGCTGGTACTGGCAGTGTGTCGTTGTCCAGCCAGCCTTCCCTCCGCCCGTCCAGCGAGGTGGCGCGCTGCGTCGCATACAAGTCCTCGAGCGATTCCGTGGAGTTTGGGTCGTGGCCCCAGAAGAGGGCCAGCTCCCGTTCAAAGTCCGACGTCGTCGACACCTGCCCCTGCGGTGGTGTGGCGGTCAGCCAGGGAGCAACCATGGCCTTCTTCTTTGCACGCCGCTTGGCCATGGTTGTGAAACCATGCATCTTTTTCCGTGTTCGACGCTGCGTGTACGACACGGCCCCAACCATCGCAGAACATCGAGCCCGCTCCCAGAGAATGTTGACGGACGGTAGGCAGGAGCACATCAGACCGATGCTCAGCTCGAGGATTCTTTTCTGTTAGAGACTAACAGCAAGCCAATGGCAGGCAGGGGGGTTCAACTTACGTCAGGATATTGAGAAGCCTCCAGCTGACTGTCGTGTTGTTCGAGTACTGCGACTCGACGATCTTGACCAGGCGCCAGATGGTCACGGCTATCGCCACGCCGCCGGCCCCGAGGAGCCCCATGATCTTGATCTTCTTGGCCACGCTCATGCGTAGCTTCATGGTCACGACAATGGGGACCACTAGGATCATCACATCAGAGACGACGGCCAGCGCCGCGTCGGCCACAAAGATCCTTCGCTGTGCCAGACATGTGCCCTCGACATCTTGGCGCCAAAAAGACTCAATTGGATTACAAATGAAGATCTTCAGGACCTGCAGAGGGATGAAGGCGATGAGCAAGCCCCAGATGAAGGTAAAGATGACGCGGGCTACAAATCGCTCGATAGCGTACGCGCGCGCCGTGAGGAGAAGGAGTGTGACCTTGGTAAAGTAGGCGGTCGGCAAGTAGATGACGGTGTTGGCGTAGAACCATTGGAGGACCTCTTGGTACTGTTCCACGGTGAGATTCCACGCATGACGGCCCGCGCCCGCCTTGATTGCTGTGTCTGCGTTTCAGCTGGGGCCCACTCGGACACAGAGGGAAGGAAGCAAAGCACACACCCATCGAGCTCGAAGTAACAAAGACCATGGTGGACAACCAGGCCGCGAGACACATTACGTCCTCAAAGAGAATGTGCCTCACCACTCGCAACCGGACCCATGCTCGTGCTGCAAAGAAGATGGCCATCAACCCGGTGCACACGGCCAGGAAGCATATATGTACTGTCTTGCCAGTAGTGAGTCGATCCGTAAGATCAGGTGTCACGCCCGGTGGCGGAGGAACAGCTCCTGGGTAATCCGCCCGTATCGTGAGGCTCAGGTCGATGAACCCCATTGTGCATCAGGGCAGACACGGATGATGGACATGTGGCCTTGCGGGGGCACGTATCATGGGCCATGGCTGGTGATATAGCGCATGGCGAGTCAAGCCACGAGAGAAAGTCGTATGAGAATCGGAAACACATCATGGCGGGCCACGATCCCAGAGAAATGCCATATCCTCTGCATCGAACTCTTGCCAGGCTAGCGGGAATCTGAAGGACGGGCGACCGGACTCCTGGAGCCTCGACCACGCGGCACGAGTAAGTGGCGGACGGCAGTCCCGTGACGCAAGAAACTGTCAAAAAAGAATGCGGATAGCGTGATTTTAAGGGAACCCGCGGTACAAAGCTTAGCTATTGTATCAGTGCCTAGAGTGAGATTCGAGAACCTTACCTGACAGCTGGAGCTGACAGCATAGCGACGGTCGAGCGGTCCACGGCACGCGGAACAAGTTGGGGCTGGCGCCACGTCATTAGACTAAACCTACGTACCTCAGCCCTCTGATTAGGAGTGGCCTGTTATTTGATGTCAAGGGTGCCGTTGATCTGCTGAAGATTAGCTCTTGATGAATAGTCGCGGATAGGAGATGATAAAGCCTAAGTCATTGATTGGGAAAGCAAGTGGATCGCACTGTCGATAGCGTCCACAGTCACGTATCAATAGGGTAGCCCGAATGTCTCAGAACATGACGATATTCGTATGGAAATTGGATGGAACAAACAGTCCTTGTCCCTAGAGTCCATGTCCTGGCACACAGATCATGAGCAGCCTCCACAATACCCGCAGCGCTCTGAACAGTGAGTGTAGTCATCCTCCCCATCCGAGGCCAGCAACAGACGCGGAACCAAGCTACGATCTGCAAGCTTGCCAGTGGCGCTTTCAGGCGACTCAGCACCAACAGATTCCCACCTGTGTCTCAGATCCACGGGCAGCACATCCCCGACGCCCTCCCGCTGCTCGCAGACCTTGAGCGTTCCCTCCCCATCGATAAGGACCTCCAGCTTCCCAGCTCCCAGCTTTTGCGTCGTGCATGCGTCAATAATGTAGTGCAGCACTGCCGCCAGTCTGCCGAGCGCTGTCTGATTCTCCGACTCCCACGCTTGCACTCTGTCGCGGACGTCGTGAACGCTGACGTCTGCCACGCGGAAGATACCATAGTTGTGGAAGGCCAGGACAAATTTGGGAATCTGGGAGATCCAAAGCCGTGGCAGTTCAGCGCCCACATGGTCATCGTCGCGCCTGTGTGAGCCCCGGGTCTTGATGTCAAAGATTTGGGACTGGTCTGGGGCTCGACCGGCCCGTTGGACATGAATCTCTGTCCCAACGATGGGAACATGCGAGGAGGAGAGCGATCCGCCCCTCGACAGGGCTGCTGTGAGGGCATCGACTGCTGTCGACGGGATGCCTGTATCTGGCAAAGAAGGCCCTTCTTGACCGCAGCTTGGCCTCTTGACGGAAGCGACACTCTTGTCCTTTGTGTCCAGATACCCATCCGCTTCGTAGCGGACGAGAAGCTTGAGACCACCAAAGTTGTACGTGATCATGCGCTGGTGCGAGGCAGAGCCCTTCACCTCCGGATCCCACGTAGTAAAGGCCTCGGGAAAGGTGTGTCCATGACCGCGCACATCGGGAATGAGCTCCGTCGGCGAATTCTCTCGACGGACCAGAAAGACGGTATGGCCCACCTTCTGCACAAGCATCCTGCACTTTCTGTCTTCCCCTCGTACAAAGCGAAGGAGGTTGCCCAGCGTGCTTCCGCACCCGACGAGGTTGATATTGGCCAGCACAGGGGGCGAGGAGGCTGCCGCTAGACAGGCCGCGATGGCGGGAGCAAAAGGATGTTTCGGAAACCTCGCCGCATTCTTGTCGCGATAGTACTGACCAGAGTCTCTTTCGAGTTTTGCATCATGTCGCGAGGGCGTCCAGCGAGGTGGCTGACCTTGGCAGTGTTAGCAACGGTCCTGGACGACACCCTTCTTGCAGTACAGACCAGGAACGACAATGTTGGCTTCAGATCCCCTGTCGAGCCAGTTGTAGGAAGCGACGTAGCGCACATCCTCAATCTTCGTTTCTTTGACTTGCTGACTCTGAACAAGCTTGTCGATTTCTGCCACGCCCAAGGATGCTAGACACTTTCCGACAGGGAGCTCTGGCGTGGGCAGAGGAGCGCTTGCACGCCACTGTCGCGAGGAGTTACCTCTATAAGCACCTCGTCCTCGATTGTTCCATCTCGTCATTGTGTCCGGTGTCAGGTGCTGAGCTGTTGGGGTGCTCAGGCGGGTGCAGATGAGGGAGGCCGACTTGAGCTTTTTCAGAAGGGGGGCTAATGGTGAAAAGCAAGGTAAAAGACTGGTGAGGAGATGCTGTTGATACTTTGGCCCTGGTTATAACGTAGCGACGGGAATCCGACACCTTCACTTTGCTCTGGCAAGTGAATGAGGCGACCGGCCTCCCGCATACACGCACATCAGCGCCTCACAGCCTGGCTGCGCCTTTCTGCACATTTGCGCCAACGAAACAGGGTCAAACTGCATACGCCCGACCTACCACATCAAGTCGATTCACCAGAAGCACCATCGTCTTCCAGACCGTTGGTCGGACGCAGTGTCTGTCTGCCCAACACCATGTGAACCAAGCCCGGTGGAGTGCAATACGCAATGTCGAGTTAGCCTGTCCGCCTTTATCTTCCTTGATCATCTCGTCAGGTGGAGAGGGAGACTTTCTTCCATTAGAAAAACTCCATCTCATGAGCTGTCTGAGACCTGACGCCTGAGCACTGACCATGAAACATGAAGCCATCACCTCTCAGCGCTCGTTGCGCCTGCAGCAGTTCTTGCGCGATTCTCTTTCTGGCAACCGGTCGATCGCCAATTCTCGCGACGCCGGCTTGTTCCTGGAGGCGATGATGGACCAGAATGCACCAGATTCATGCGTGGAGCGAGTCGTCGGGAGCAGCTCTGGCCTCGCGGCTGTGCGTCTCGCCGTACGCGCCGACATGTCCCTCCCCTTTCTCTCTGCCAAGACGTTGCCCTTCTTACGATACCTGTCCGCACCCAAACTCAAGACCCTAGCCAATGGCGAAATTCTGCGTACAGTTCTCGAGGTGATCGTCAACCCGATCACCCTGTGGAAGATCCTCTGCGACCATTTCAAAGCTGCCGAGCTGGGCACCGAGCAACTCCATGGTTTCGTCTGGCTGGCGTGCGAACTCGTGGCCAGCCCGACAACGACAGAAGAAGACATTGACTCCGATCTGCGCCTCATCGCGGACAGCCCACAGGTCAAAGACTCGGAGGATCCCTCGTTGCGTCAGCTAGGCTACCGCATCAAGCATGCCCTCGATCTTCGGGGCCAGCCGCAGACGAGCAACCACGCGCAGATGGACGGTCCAGGAGGGCGCCACGACAATGATCATGCCGATTTCCGCAAGGTTCGCATCTACCCCACGCGCGACGAGCTGCTTTCGCACTCTTCTCCCTATTACTTGACGGCAGACGAGGTCCAGCAGGCCGACACGGCCAGTCGGGCCCACGTCCACCTGGACAATCAGTTCCGCCTGCTACGCGAGGACATGCTCGCGGAACTTCGCCAGGACTTGCAGTCCGTCAAGAAGTCGAATGGTAGCCGTCGCCGAAGCTTGGTACTCGGTGGCCTGGTAGCCCACGGAATACACGCGACAGACACTGGTGCAGCACGTTTCCACAAGTGCTCCCTTGCTGTCGAGTGCTCCAGCGGCCTCGAGTCTCTCATGAAAAAGTCAAAGGACGAACGGAAAAAGTTCCTAACCGAAGAGCACGCATTCCTCAAGGACCAGTCGTTCGGTGCCCTCTGCCACAACGGCGAGATCCTGGCCTTTGCCTTTGTCCATCGCAATGTAGACATGCTGGCGCAGAGTCCGCCCGTGATAGTCCTACGATTCACAGACAGCCACGCCCTCAAGACAGCTCTCGTATCGCTGCAGCCAGCGCTGGGGTTGTCGTCCAATATCACCTTTGTGCTGGTGGACACTCCCGTATTCGCGTACGAGCCGGTGCTCGATCGACTGCAGCAGATCTCTGAGATACCTCTGCGACAGCACCTCTTTGACGACCCTGCGAGTATATCCCATGTCACCCCAGTCTCGGACGACCTAGAGCGCAGAGTAACTCAGATGCGGGAAATGGCGGAGAGGATAGCTGATGATCAGGTCGTTAGTTGGCCCCGCAAGAAAGCTGCCGACAAGATAGAAGTCGACCAAGCTCAACTGAACTCCATCCTGAACGGCTTGTCGCAGGCTGTCGCCCTGATTCAGGGGCCTCCTGGTACGGGAAAGTCATTCATCGGGGCGGAGATTGCTCGACTGCTACATGGCTTGTCCGAGCAGCGCATCCTCGTGCTCAGTTACACCAACCACGCGCTCAACCAGTACACGGAGGACCTTCTGGACGCTGGGATTCCCGAAAAGCAAATTGTTCGACTGGGTTCCCGGAGGAAGTGCACTGAGCGGACTTTGCCCCTGCTTCTCTCCAACATGGGCGCCAGAACGAAGCTGAACCAAAATGCTTGGGCCAAAGTCAACAGCCTCAAAATCGACGCTGGTGATTTCGCAATAGATATTGAGGTGTTGTTCCAGAGATATATGGGCATATCCTGTGGATGGATTGAGCTCTCTGGGTACCTGGAGTTCGCGACCGAGGACAGCGAATTCTACGACGCGCTGCGGACGCCAATGTGCCATGACGAGTGGAAGAAGGTTGGCAAGAAGGGCAAAAAGATCGGCCCTGACTACCTCTATGGCCGCTGGATAAGTGGCAAAGGCGCAGGTGTGTTCAAGGACGCCGTACAATCCTGGCCGCATATCTGGGACCTACCCAAGGCCACCCGTCGAGAGCATAGAGATCGGTGGGTCCGTGCCATGCTCACGGAAACGGCGGAGAGTCTCGCGCATCGCGTCGACATGCTAGACTCCAAGGTGGACAAGATTGAGACCTGCTTTCGAGAGGGCGACGTGCGGACAGTCCAGGACATGCGTGTCATGGCCCTCACGACCACGGGCGCCTCAAAGTACAGCAATCTAGTGCAGGCGTTCAAGCCCGACATAATCATCGCAGAAGAGGCCGGTGAGATCCTGGAAAGCCACATCCTGACAGCCATGACACCCAGCGTCCGCCAGCTGATCCTCATCGGCGACCACAAGCAACTGCGCCCCAAGGTGAACAACTACAGCCTCTCGGTAGAGGGGAACAATGGGTTTGACCTCAACCGCTCGCTCTTTGAGAGACTGATCCTCCTCGGCATGCCCCATACTGTACTCCGCAAACAACACCGCATGGCCCCCGACCTGTCCGTGTATGCGCGCCAGCTGACGTACCCCGAGCTGCTGGACGCGCCCAAGACGCACGACCGGGAGCCTCCACGGGGCCTATGCAACCGCGTCATCTTTGCGAGCCACGACAAGCCCGAGAGTGCCGAGGAGCGCGTTTCGGACCGGGCAGACGCGGGCGCCAAGGGGAGCAAGAGCAACGCGTTCGAGGCGGAGATGGTCATGCGATGCTGCAAGTACATGGGTCAGCAGGGCTACAGCTCGGAGCAGATTGTGATTCTGACGCCCTATCTCGGGCAACTGCGGGCGCTGATGGATGTTCTCCGTAAAAACAAGCATGACCCGCAGATGAGCGAGCTGGACAGGTTTGAGCTGCTCCGCGCTGGGCTCTTGACGCACGCCGAGGTGAAGGCGGACAAGAAGCCGATTCGAATATCGACGATAGATAACTACCAAGGAGAGGAAAGCGACATTGTGATTACGTCCTTGACGCGAAGCAACAGTCGCGGGGATATTGGGTTCCTGTCGGCCCCCGAGCGCCTCAACGTCCTGATCACCCGCGCGCGCCACGGCATGATCATGTTTGGCAACATGGGCACGTTCAAGGAAAGCAAGCGAGGGAAGGCTGTCTGGGAGCCCTTTTTTGATATGCTCAAGACGCGGGGCTGTCTGTACGATGGTCTGCCGGTCCAGTGCGACAGACACCCGGACCGCAAGGCGCTGGTGCAGAGTCCTGCTGATTTCACGACAATGTGCCCCGATGGTGGCTGTACGGAAGTCTGGTGAGTAAACCTTCAAGAATCCGTGTATTACGAGAGGCTAACCACGGTTACTTACCAGCGACGCATTGCTCTCGTGTCGGGTCCACAAGTGCCGATCTCGCTGCCATCGTGTGTCCAACCACGCGGAAGTACAGTGCAACCAGCTGGTGCGCAAGACCTGCGACCGAGGGCACGAGACCAAGACGCCTTGTCGGAGGCAGAGCGACGGCTGTAGGCAATGTGCGGAGGAAGACGCAGAGACGGAGCGACGGATACAGAGAGATATCGCGCTCGAGTCGGAGCGCCTCAAGAAGCAGGAGGCGTATCTGAAGGAGCTGAAGGAGATTGAGGATGAGTTGGACCATCAGCGACGTGCGATCAAGTACGCCACCGAGGAGGACGAGCAGAAGATTGCCATTGCTCAGCGGAAGAAGGACCTCGCGGCCTTGCAGAAGACTCAGGAAAGGTTGCGGGCGCAAAAGGAGCAGCAGCAGCAGCAGCAGCAGCAGCAGCAAGCGGCCCCTGGCTCGGGGTCCGACACAGGAGGTTCAGCTCAGCCACCCTCGGAGAACAGGGCCTCGTGGGATGCAGAGACGGCCAATGGCGAGTGGGAGCGCATGAAATCGATCGAGGGGGCACAGAGCGCGGCGCTGGACACGCTGATGAGCCTGATCGGCTTGGAAGAGGTGAAGAAGGAATTCATCAGTATCAAGACAAAGGTGGACACAGCTTTGCGGCAAGGTGTGTCCCTCAGCTCCGAGCGCCTCAGCTGCTCGCTACTGGGTAACCCAGGGACAGGTACGTATCTACGAAAAAGCGTTTGATCATGGACTAACTTGGGGCCAGGCAAGACGACCGTCGCACGTGTTTATGCCGACTTCCTCAGCAGCATCGGCGCCATCCCGGGCGCTGCCTTTGAAGAAACAACCGGTGCCTCGCTCGCGAATAAAGGGGTGGCCGGCTGCCGCAAGATGATTGACAGCATGCTCGAGGAGGGCGGCGGCGTGGTGTTCATCGACGAAGCCTACCAGCTGAGCTCGGGCAACAACCCGGGCGGCGCGAGTGTGCTCGACTTTTTGCTGGCCGAGGTGGAAAACCACCGCGGCAAGCTCGTCTTTGTCCTGGCGGGCTACGCACGCCCCATGGAAGGGTTCTTCTCGCACAACCCGGGCATCCCGAGTCGTTTCCCGATCGAGATGCGCTTCGCCGACTACACGGACGACGAGCTTCTCCAAATCTTCAACCGGGGCATCCACAAGCGATTCAATGGCAAGATGGCATGCGAAGAGGGACACCAGGGCTTGTACTGCCGCATCGTGGCTCGGCGTGTTGGCTACGGTCGAGACAAGGAGGGCTTTGGGAACGCGCGTGCCGTCGAAAACACCATCAACATCATCTACAAGAGGCAGGTGAACCGCCTGCGAAGAGAAAGAAGTCAGGGCAAGCAACCTGATGACTTCTTGCTGACCAAGCAAGACCTCATCGGTCCTGCCCCCGACGACATCCTCTCCGAGTGCACGGCGTGGAAGAAACTACAGGACCTGTGGGGGCTCCCGTCTGTGAAGCGATCGGTCCAGTCACTGATGGACAGCATCCGGGAGAACTACAAACGGGAACTGGCCGAGAAGCCTCGCGTGGCGTACTCGCTGAACAAGGTGTTCCTCGGCAATCCAGGGACGGGCAAGACGACGGTGGCCAAGCTCTACGGGGAGATATTGGCGACCCTCGGTCTGCTGTCCAAGGGCGAGGTTGTGGTCCGAACGCCGGCTGACTTCATCGGGGGTGCGCTGGGCCAGTCTGAGCAGCAGACCAAGGGCATCCTGGCTGCGGCACTGGGCAAGGTGTTGGTGATTGACGAGGCATATGGCCTCCACGACGGGTCGGGACAAGGCGGCGGCGGCGGCTCCAGGGATCCTTACAAGACGTCCGTCATCGACACCATTGTCGCTGAAGTGCAGAGTGTGCCCGGAGACGATCGATGCGTGCTTCTTCTTGGGTACAAGGACCAGATGGAGAGCATGTTCCAGAACGTCAACCCGGGTCTGAGTCGACGATTCCCGCTGGCCACGGCGTTTGTGTTTGACGACTTTTCCGACGCGGAGCTCAGCCAGATCCTGGACAGCAAGATCGAACAGCAGGGCTTCCGCGCGACAGGCCAGGCGCGCGACGTGGCCATGGACCTGCTGGGGCGGGCGCGCAACCGACCCAACTTTGGCAACGCGGGCGAGATTGACATCATCCTGGACGCGGCCAAGCATCGGTGGCAAGCGCGAAGGAGCCAAGACAAGTCCCACAAGGCGAACGACCTGCTCGAGGCGTCTGACTTTGACGAGCACTTTGACAGGGCCCAGAGTGCCGACACGAACATTCAAAAGTTGTTTGAGGGCACCGTCGGACACGACGCGCTCGTGGCGCGCCTCGTCGGCTACCAGGCCACGTACAAGTCCGTCAAGGCGCTGGGCCTCGATCCCAAGGAGAGCATCCCCTTTACCTTTCTCTTCCGGGGCGCACCGGGGACGGGCAAGACGACGGTGGCCAAGAAGATGGGCAAGGTGTTCTACGACATGGGGTTCCTGGCAACGGCCGAGGTGGAGGAGTGTTCGGTGACCGATCTCGTGGGCCAGTATGTCGGGCAGACGGGGCCCAAGGTGCAGCAGATGCTCGATCGTGCCTTGGGCCGCGTGCTTTTTGTGGACGAGGCGTACCGTCTCGGGGAGGGGGCGTTTGGCCGTGAGGCCTTGGACGAGCTGGTGGACTGTCTGACCAAGGCGCGGTACCAGAAGAAGCTGATTGTGATCCTGGCCGGGTACGAGAGGGAGATGAACCGGCTGATGGATGTCAATCCGGGCCTGACGTCGCGCTTCCCCGAGGTCGTGGACTTTCGGGACTTGGGGCCTGCGGAGTGCCGTGCTCTTCTCCATGTCCTTCTCACGAAGCGGCAGAAGCTGCTGGCCAAGAAGGGGTGGGTCCTTGATCTGGAGGTTCTGTGTCATTCGTCCGAGGCGTTGTGCTCTTCGATGACAAGGCATTTTGAAGCGCTGATGCAGCAGAGTAGCTGGGCCAACGCACGAGACGTCACGACGCTGGCGGAAAAGATCTTTAACCGTGTGATCCAGTCTGCCGCGGGCACGGACATGCGCCATCTCGCTCTCGAGGAGGCCATGGTCATGCAGGAGCTTCAGACGATGCAGGATGAGCGGCAGAGCCGAGTCGAGTCGTTGAGGCAGGCTGTGCCCCAGGTTGGTGATGCTGGGAGGGTGGCGATGCCGCAACCCGTGGAGGAACGAAACAACGCGCCCAGGACTGTGTCTGCGACCAATACGACGCTCGAGGCGGCAGTCGCGCCGCAAGAGGACGGTGAACAGCCTGGGGAGACCGAAGCTGAACGGGAAGAGGGTCCTGGGGTCTCGCCAGCAGGTGCCGCCCGCAGAGACGCTGGTGTGAGCGACGCCGTGTGGGCGCAGCTGCAACGCGATCGCGAGGCCGCGGTGGCCAAGGAAGAAGCCTACCAGCGTCTGCAGCAAGAGGCCCGCGACGCACGAGGGGAGGAGGCCCGGGATCGGATACGGAGGAGGCTCGTCGCAGCGGAGGAGGAGAGGCAGAGGACGCGGGCGTGGCAGGAGAAGCTGTTCGCGCACGGCGTGTGTCCGGTGGGCTATCAGTGGATTCCACAGGCGGGAGGGTTCCGGTGCGAAGGGGGCAGCCACTTTGTGTCTCGGGGCGAGCTGGAGACGATGTTTGGGTAGGGGACGGGAATGAGGAGCGAGCTTTCATGCTGCCACCACTCTGGCACAGACAGACTTGGGTGACAGATTGCGTGCCACGGCCCACTCAAGAGGCCTGGGCAGCGTACATGATCATGACATGACAGACTGAGGCGTACAGGTGAGGTACGTACTTACTCGACAAAGTCGGCGGCGATAGTGTGTCTGGCTGGATCACAACCCTGTTAGGAGTGGTGCCGTTATTGAGTAAGAAGTAGCCTGTAAGCGTTATAAAGCCTGAGGGCCGCATGAGGCCGTGAAGAGAGCGTACCTTTGTATCCGCATATCCATAGGCCTATATCCATGGACCGTGGGCGGCTAGATTTCATTGACCAGCGCCAGTGACTGTGTCGGGTGAGTACGGTAGAGTCGCAACTCAACTCTCGAGCGTGCTGATCTGATTCCATCCCTGATTCCCGAAGGGTTGATTGGGACCTTTGTGAGTCCTGCCTTGCCTTGCATGAGACTGCATGGCAGGCGGTGATATCGACTGCCTGGGATAGTCACAGTGACTGACCGTGACGTGACTCCAGTCGAGAACTGCTTGTCAACAAGCCCCTCTGGCTACCCTGGACACACAACGCACGGGGCAAGGACAGAACATGAATGGCCCTTTGATAGCACAGTGCCGACACCATGGTCATCCGTTCAGTGCTGTGCGAATAGAGCAACTGATTCCCTCTCCCAGGGACCCAGACCCTCTGCAGGTCAAGCACCTCGAAACGTCTTGGCGCTAGCCTCATCCTCCCCAGAGCACGCGACAGCGACGGAAAGGCCGGTCCAGTCCAGGCTGCGGGCCATTCCGCTGTCTGTCCAGGGGGCCAGAAGCTCGAACGCAGGTTATGCCCGGCGCTAGCTGATTAGTAGACTGCGCTGTCCTTTTGTTTGCCGCCTGAGCCTCCGTCCTCGGCAGGCCCAGTGATTGATTGATTCATGAGCCTGGAGGCTGGGCGGGCAGCTCGAGGCAGCCACCCCGCTCGTCGGGATCCTTTGTTGCTGCGCGTATTCATCAGTGATTCATCCACACAAGGCCCAGCCAGATCTGGATGGAGGCGCCGTGGAGGACGTCTTGGCAGGCCGATGGCGACACGAGTAGGGCGCACGTCGAGGCCGCCAAGTCGGCACCCGGCCGGACGGATTGCAGAGGCGAGGATGCGAGCTACACATCTACACATGGTGGCAGAGCTGATCAGAGGCGAGAATGCTCTGATGACAATCCAGAGGCGATGCCCATCCGTCCACCGCAGGACTGGAGGCCATGCATGTACGGTACGGCCAGCCTCGGTGGCAGGCAGGCAGGTGATCACCTGCGTCTACGGATACAGGCTCCAGACTTCAGTCTCTGTCCGTGACTCCGTATCGGAAGACAGACAGACAGACAGACAGCATCGTCCAGCGGCGCGCGTTTCCGCGGTGGAGCCCCATCCCGGCCAGGGCATGGCCGAATCAGACAGATTGCAGAGGGGACTGCTGCCATGCGCGACAGTCCGCAGAGTGGGACGGCGAGACCCGCCAGCTTGTCCACCCAGTGTGGACGATGGACCGCCTCCAGGATAAGGACCATGCGTGCGTCCAGGACGCCAGTCTGCGGGTGGGACTCGTGGGGAGTGAGACTGATGAGACATGGGGGCATTCTTGGACGAGAGCGCACAAGGCCAGACTAGGGATCGGACCACCCAGTCCATCCCACCATTCCGCATGCGTTCCTGGTCCGGGAGCGGCTGGGCTTGGCAGCTGGCTTACTGCTTTGGGCAGCCGAGACGATCTTCACTGGTCTCGCCCATTCGTTATCGGGAGCACGTCGCATATGGGCTGATTCGGGAACGAGGATGGCTTACCTCGGGCCTGACACGTACGGCACTGGCGTAGAGCAAGTGCCGGCCTATACCCAGACTAATTAAATATCCGTACAAACAGCCTGCTGGAGCTTGGCGACTCGACCCGACTCGCCTCCGAGTCCCAACGTAAGACGAGCCTGCACTGGACTGACCGGTCGGCTTGACACGTCCAGATAAGAATGTCCGGATGGAATACCCAGACAGACTACTCGATAGGACGTCCGTGTCCAGAATCAGATGCGTTGGTCACTATCAGTCTATCAGTGGCGAGACGGTCCTTTTGGCGAGGCCGGCGCTGGGGACGGATCGGTCGGCATCGCGGCCAGCCAACGAGCATTCGAGGAGGACGAGACGAGCCAACCCAACGACGACGAGGACAAAGGGTCCTTGACTACCGTACAGCCGGGGACGGAACCTTTGTCCAGTCCACTCACTGTCCAGTCCAGTCCAGTCCAGTCCAGTGGCACCCATCGCAAACGGCCAGGGCCAACTTCCTCTTGCAGCATGGAGGGCACCACCTCCACGTTGCTTTGATTGATGGTGAATGATAGATTGGTGGATGCATCAACAAACGTTCCATCGGGGGGAGGCTCTTTTGCATGGAGGCGACTCACTCACTCACTCACTCACTCCCAGAGTCCCAGTCGAGTCGAGCCATCCTGGATATATAGATTGGTTCCTCGCCAGGCTGAGACCCGAGCGTCCTCGCTGACTGACATTCCGACCACATCAACTCCTGTCCTGATCACCACCAGCACAATGGAGGTCACGCAGATCCCCGCGCATCAGGCCGAGCCCGCCGACTCGATCGGCAAGGAAAAGGCGATGAGCGTGGACGTGGACGTGGACGCCAAGTCGACGTCGCCCTCGTCGCTCGAGGACGAGCCCATCACGGACATCTTCGTGCCCCTGCCGGCCATCAAGGGCATCCCCGAGGAGCACAGCCCGCTGACGGTCCGCGCCGTCGTCACGGGCATCTGCTTGGGCTCCCTCGTCAACGCGTCCAACGTCTACCTCGGCCTCAAGACCGGCTTCACCTTCCCGGCCACCATCTTCGGCGCCATCTTTGGCTTTGGCGTCATCCGCCTGCTCTGCAAGGTCTTCCCCAACGTCCCCGGCGTCGGCGGCTTCTTTGGGCCCCAGGAGAACTCCATCATCCAGGCCGCCGCCACGGGCGCCGGTGGCATGGCCGGCATCTTCGTCGCCGGTCTGCCGGCCATGTACCAGCTGGGCCTCATGGGCGCCAACCCCAAGGAGGACTTTGGCCGCATCCTGGCCATCACCGTCGTCTGCGCGCTCTTTGGCCTCTTTGCCGCCGTGCCCCTGCGCAAGTTCTTTGTCATCAACGTCGCGCGGGAGCTCAACCTCGTCTTCCCCTCGCCCACGGCCACCGCGGTCGCCATCCGCTCCATGCACGCCGTCGGCAGCGGTGCGGCCGACGCCATGAAGAAGATCAAGGCCATTGGCTTCGCCTTTATCGGTGCCTTTGCCCACATCATCGTCTCCCAGTACGCCGATGGCATCCTCCACAACTGGCACTTTTTCGCCTGGATCTTCTCGACCACCGGCTACTGGAACCAGACCGCCCTCGCGGCCGACAACTGGGGCTGGTACATCCAGCTGACACCCGCCTTCTTCGGCTCCGGCATGCTCGTCGGCCTCAACGCCGCCCTGTCCTGGTTTGGCGGCACCGTCTTCGCCTGGGCGCTGGCGGGCCCCCTGCTCGTCAAGTACGGCGAGTGCGCCGGCGTGGCGATTGTCGAGGAGGGCAAGTGGAAGGGCATGATCAGCTACAACTCCATGGGCGGCATCTCGGAGCCCGGCTACGTGCCCTCCCCGCGCTACTGGTTCCTCTGGCCGGGCGTCATGGTCCTCGTCGTCTACGGCCTCGTCGAGTTCGTCCTCCACTTCAAGATCATCTGGACCGGTCTCCTCATGAGCATGCGTCGCTCCGCCGCCACCCTCCACGCCCGCCTCCAGGCCCAGGGCAAGACCAACGCCTGGGTCGAGAAGCAGGCCGCCAAGGCCGTCGACCAGTCCGAGCTCGTCCAGGACTTTGCCACGCCCGACCAGCAGGTCCCCGTCTGGATCTGGGTCACGGGCACCGTTGTCTTCGCCGTCATTGGCGCCATCATCGTCCACGTCCAGTACGACATGAACGCCGGCCTCGGCATCCTCGCCTGCATCCTCGGCTTCCTCTTTGCCTTTATCAGCATCTACGGCGGCGCCGTCACCGACACCACGCCCCTGACCGCCTCCTCCAAGGCCTCCCAGCTCATCTTTGGCGGCATCACCCACAACGCCGGCCACTCCATCCCCGACGCCCAGCGCATCAACCTGATCGCCGGCAACATTGCCTCGGGCACCGCCAGCGTCGCCAGCGACCTCACCAGCGACTTCCGCGTCGGCTTCCTCCTCCGCACCCCGCCGCGCCTCCAGTTCTACGCCCAGGCCATTGGCGCCGTCGTCGCCGTCTTCCTCGCCCCGGGCATCTTCGTCCTCTTCATGTCCGCCTACCCCTGCGTCTGGGACCCCAAGCTCGTCAACGACCCGACCACCGTCTGCCCCTTTAACGCCCCCTCTGTCTTTGCCTGGAAGGCCGTGGCCGAGGCCGTCACCCAGCCCACCCTGCCCATCTCCCGCTCCTGCGGCATCTTCACCATTGTCATGGGCGTTGTGTCGGCCCTCCAGGCCGTCCTCAAGCACTTCTTCCTCACCGGCTCGCGGGAGAAGTACCGCAACTACCTCCCCAACTGGATGAGCATCGGTGTCGCCTGGGTTCTGGGCGCCGACTCTGGCTATGCCAAGTATGTATGCCTCGCCCTCCCTTTGTCGATCTTTGCTAACCGAGACAGTGCTGTCATGATGGGCGCCATTACCGCCTGGTGGTGGAACAAGTGGTTCGGCAAGAGCTTCGAGTCCTACGGCATCGGCATCGCTGCTGGTCTCATTGCGGGTGAGGGTCTCGCCGGTGTCGTCAACGCCGCCCTCGAGCTCGGCGAGGTCAGCGGCAGCTTCAAGGGAACCACTGTCGGTATTCCGGGATCGTACTAGTCCTAGTGTCTGGAGAGTTGGTGCTGTCTGAAGAGGCTGGCGAGCCTGACGTATACCCGTACATAGTGAACAAGCGTTGTGTTATTTAAAAAGGAATCCCACGTCCACTACGAATCCTCCATTATATTCAGGATTGCAGCCCCCAGGACCAGGCAGCTAGTGCTTACGATGTCGGGTTGACCTCCTCGGGCGTCAGACCCCAGGTCACCCACGCCCCAGTTGAGCTTTGCACTGCACCGCTACGCGCCCTCTAATTTGAGGATCGATCCTCGACGTCTGGAAATTCAGGGGGGGTCTGGCTCTGGGCATCGAATTGCCATCGCGGCCTCGCCGTGTGACTAACTCGGCGGGGAGTCCTGCCTACCCTGGAGCATAGTACTACAGCGTGAAGACATATCCGCAAGGAATTGTGAGTCGATACATGGCAAGCTGAATACGAATGGACATTTTAGTACGTATGGTGCTGCAAAAATGATGGCTGTCCGATAGATAGCACTTGGTGTCGTCGAAATGACGCGGCTCGTGAGTCAATGAGGCCCGACGAATCTAATGTCACGACAGGTAACAAACGACATCAGCTTCGAGGTCCTCCCTGTCACAACCAGCATATACCAGCTCTTCACTCACACAGACCGCGTCATCACGTCTTTCGCGATTATGTCTCCTATAAAGACCGAGCCAGCGCTCACCCTACGGTACGTGCGTACGACACACCTGGAAGAACAGCCAGATGGACGCACTCGAGACAGCCCGAACACGAGATTGCAATAAGTATCAAATAATGGCTACAGTATGACGAACCCCCCTTAGTCCACAACGCCTAGCGGCAGCACAGACACATAATCCAACGGCGCCTGCTCCGACCCATCCGCCACGCCCGTGACCACCAGCTCATCTCCCCTGCGAATAGGCACACCCTCAAACGTGACGCGGATTGCCGAATGCCCATCCAGAAACTCGCTCGGGAACTTGCCCAGCCTGAACTCCGCATCGCCTTGCCATGTGCCCACTGTCTTCCCATCCAGAGCCACCGAGTACGTCGCGTTGCCGCCCACCACGTCGTAGTAGTTCACGGCCAGGTTATACGTGCCGTCCGGGAAATCGAGAGTCGTCGCCGCCGTGCCCGTCCCGTTGGTCACCACCGCCCTGTACTGCGACGCCGTCTCAGCCGGCTCCACGTCGACGGGTACGTAGCCATCGAGGGTCATGTCCTCGGCCTCGATGCGCCAGGGGTGGTGGCGCACACGATCGTGTACGTCCGGGATGCCCGACAAGTTCCGGTAGAACTCGTTGATGGCGTCGCGCCAGACGAGGGAGTGGCCCGCCTGGTACGTGAGGCGGTACAGCTCGTGCTCGAAGCGCTCGTCGTCCACGCGCCCACGCAGCGTCTCCCATCTCTTGGGGAACGTGGCGGCCGTCTCGGCGCCGGCGTAGTGCGCGTCGTAGAAATGCTGTATCACCGTCTTGCCCGAGTGCAGCTCAAAGGTGTAGGGCACGTGGTGGAACCACAGCATGAGGTCGTCGGGCGTCGTCTCCGTCTCCTCGTAGCGAGCGGCCACCTCGGGCTGGTACTGGCCTGCGTTGCCGGTGCCGTTCCGGACGGTGCGGTCCATGCCGATGCTGTCGCCGTCGGCGCGCGTCCACTGGCCCCAGCCGTTGTTGTCCTGCGAGGCCGGGTTGGGCCCGTAGTGGGTGTAGAGAATGTCCGTCAGCGTCTGGATGCCCAGGTTGCCCGTGTAGTTCTCGTATGCCGGCCACGACTCGAGGGACATGGCGCGGATCGTCTCGCGCACGCTGCGACCAAGGCCAAAGGTCAGGCGCGTCCAGTCGTCGAGGATGGCGCCCGAGTCGAGCGTCGGGTCCCACGCCAGCCGCCCAAAGGCGTACAGGTTGGACATGGACAGGTGGCTGCCCAGCCAGGTCGGGTCCATGCCGACGTTGGTCACGGCCGTGTAGCCACCCAGCTTCTTGCCAAAGACATTGCCGTTGAGCACGTCGCGCGTCCTCGACTCCTGCCCGTCCACGCGCAGGTCAAAGTCGAGGATGGTCTGCCACAGCGGCGGCAGATAGACCAGGTGGCACTGCTGGCCGAGATACTCCTGCGTCACCTGCAGCTCAATGGCCATGGCCGTCTCGCGCAGCGTCGAGAAGAGCGGCGAGACGGGCTCGCGCACCTGAAAGTCAATGGGTCCGTACTTGATCTGCACCACGACATTGTCGTCAAACTGCCCATCCAGCTCGGCAAAGAACTCGACCGCCGCGTTGGCCCGGTCCGCGTGCCAGTCGGTCCAGTCCGCCAGGTGGTTGTAGACAAAGGCCCGGAACATGACGATACCCCCGTGCGGCGCAATCGTCTTGGCAAACATGTTGGCCCCGTCCGCCAACGTGCGGTTGTACGTGAGGGGACCTGGCTGGCCCTCCGAGTTGGCCTTGACCAGGTAGCCCGCAAAGTCCGGCACGCGCTCGTACATTTCGTCCGAGATGCCCTGCCACCAGTCGATGACCTGGTCGTCGAGCGGGTCGAACGAGTCGAGGCCGCCAAACGTCTGCGGCGACGCAAAGTTGAGGGACATGCCGATCCGCACGCCCCATGGCCGGAACAGGTTGGCAATCTCCTCGACGCCGTCCCAGTTGCGCTCGCTCAGAATCGTCGGGTCCGCGTTCACGTTGTTGATCACGATGCCGTTGACCCGGATCGATGCCAGCAGGCGACCCAGCATGGGCACGCGCGACAGGTCCTCGCGTACGTGGCCCACGCCGTCGTAGAAGATGGAAACGCCTCCGTATCCGCGCTCGACGGGGCCGTGCGTCCCGTTGTCCCAGAGGTTGTCCCACTGGTTCGCCCACCGAATGGGCGCATCCGGGTTGGTCGAGTAGGCCACCTCGTCAAAGTTGCCCTGCGCCAGCATCGAGAGGTACTCAAAGGCGCCGTACAGGGCGCCGCGCTCGTTGGAGCCAATGATCACAGTATCGTCGCCCTTGTTGCTCAGGTAGAAGCCATCCTCGATGAGGTCGACGGCCTCTGGCAGGCTGCCGAATTCATCTTCGTACGCCTGCGCTGTGGCGACGATGATGGAGGATGTGTCCTTGTCCGTCACGCTGTCGCTGACATCGAGCTCGAGGCCCAGGATGCCTTGGATGCCCACCTGCAGCTCGTGGGCGGCCGTGTGCAGCGGTGCGCCCTCGGTTGCGTTGAGGGCCACAATGGACGTGGCAAAGTCGTCGAGCTGTCCGCCCGTGTGGCAGTCGCGCAGTCGCGCATAGCGAAGCCAGCCGTCGAGGCCATCCTCGGCTCGCGCCACGGCGAGCGCAGACGCTATCCAGAGGAGTGGTCGCATGGTCAGGAGGGTTGGGTGACGGAACAGACCAGACTGACAGTGTCAGGTCTCAAGACTCAAGTGACCGAGTCTAAGCCAGTCCTCGAGGCGCATAGCTCCCATTATTATATTTGACGTCCTTGGTGATCTCCATGTCCATTGTCTGGATAATTCGATTCTGCCGACAGGACAGAGACCCGGCTGAATGCAGAATCAATTAGCCTGAACGGATACCGTCGATGTCGGTGGGACTTGGAAGTCGGAGGGAGGGGACGATGCGTACGTACATCACTGGGTAATTAGTCGCTATTGACTATTCACAGATCACCAAGTACCGACTGAGGATTCGTGGAGCCGGAGCTAGTCCAGGTACCGTTGGAGTCTGTCTGGGGACCTGGGACTTGGGGAGACGAATGATCTGTCATGGATGATGGAGAACTTTTTGTAGCCGAGAAGTGTCCGACAAGGCGTATGTATGTCTTACTCTTCGCCCCTCACAGATCATACTCAAGCCGCCTGCCTGCCCTCATCATTTGGCCTCAAATATCCCAAAGTCAGGACCATGGACTCCCCACGACAGACGTTCAAGACCGCCCGAGGGCACACATACTCCCTCGTCCACATCCCCCCCAGGGACAGCCGCCGACCAACCCTGCTCCTCCTGCATGGCTTCCCCTCACACCTCCACGACTGGGTCCACCAGACCGGCTACTTGGCCGCCCACGGCTACGGTGTCCTCGCCCCAGACCTGCTGGGCTACGGCCAGACGGACCAGCCCTCGTGCCCCGATGCGTACCGGCTAAAGCTCATGAGCGACGATATCGCCGACATGGTCCGCGCGCTCGTCATGGTAGCAGGCCACCCCAAGCGCAGCACGCTCGTCGGCGTCGGCCACGACTTTGGCGCCACGCTGCTCTCGCGTGCCGCTGCCTATTATCCCGAGCTGTGGCATCGCCTCGTCTTTCTGGCCGTCGGGCCCCCCAAGCTCGGCACCCCATTCGACGTGGATTCCATCAATCACATGACGAGGCAGATTCTCGGGTTTGAGCTGTTGGGGTACATCAAGTGGCTCGCGACGGATCCGCAGGCCGCCACCACGCTCGAGAGCCACGCCCAGGCGGTCATGAATCTCGTCTTCTGCGCCGATCACGGCGTCTGGGACGAATGGTACCGTCCGCTGGGGAAGATGAAAGAGTTCTGCGAGCAGGAGCGTCGAGTGGCCATGGGCGCGTGGTACACGGCTGACCTGCAGCGACAGCATCTGGAGTGCTTTGCGCGTCCGGGGGGGTACCGAGGCGCAACCATGTGGTATACAATGTGGACAGACAATCTGTTTGCAGAAGATGAGAAGGAACTGCAAGAGTTTCGCATCCAGACGCCGACGCTATTTGTAGGGGCAGAGGGATTTGCCCAGCAGCGCGACCTGCTGGCTGCTTGGTGTGAGGACCTGACCTGCAGGGAAGTAGACGGCGGCCATTGGATCCATCTCGAGCAAGCGAAGAGGATCAATACGCTGATACAAGATTTCCTGGAGTAATGGATGGGATCTGGGGGGGGGGGGGATTAAGGTTGCCCAGCGTGGTGGTGTGTCAAGCAGATCGCACATGGTTCTCCGCCTCGGCTGCTGCATGGACGGGCGAGTGACTATTATGTAGAGACGGAGTCTCAAAATGCCGAGCACACAACCTTGATGCGGACACGCGTTTAACAAGTCCGTCTTGGTAGTCGGACGCATTATCAAATGGACTCATCGTCTTTCTGGCCCCGTTTACTTTGCCCAGAAGAGAGACGGCGCTTCAGGGTCCGAGCAGAGTATAAGATTGCGCGAGGGACTCGGTAGGGAATCCATCAATTAATTGACCACTTCATTTGGCTTGATTGTTCACAAAGAGCAAGGCACCATGTTTCTTCACTCCAAGATAGCCGCCCTGGCGCTCTGCGTCGCCCAGGCTTCCGCTGCCCCAACCGAGAGACAGGCTGAAGGCTTCGTGACCGTCGATGGCGAGAAATTCATGCTCGACGGCAAGAGCTTCTATTTCGCCGGCAGCAATGCCTACTATCTCCCCTTCACAGGCGTATGCCCAGGGCACCCAAGCTTGTCTACACATCCATTGCTAACGCGCACTAGACCCAGGCCGACGTCGAAACGGGACTGACAGCCGCCTACGATGCTGGCCTCCGCGTGATGCGCACATGGGGCTTCAACGACAAGAACGTGACCTTTGACCCCAGCGGCCTGCCCCAGTACAACGGTGGCAACCCTGGTCCCAATGAAGCCGTCTTCCAGTGGTGGGACAATGGCGTCCCCACGATCGACGTGACCCAGTTTGACAAGGTCGTCGACGGTGCCGAGGCCGCCGGCGTCAAGCTCCTCGTCACTCTGACCAACAACTGGGCCGACTACGGCGGCATGGACATGTACACCGTCAACCTAGGCGGGCAGTACCACGACGACGTATGTTCTTCTCAAGACGAGGCAACCCCCGACTAACACCCCCACCAGTTCTTCCACGTCCCCGAGATCAAGCAGGCCTTCAAGAACTACGTCGAGCTCTTTGTCACCCGCTACAAGGACTCCCCCACCATCTTCGCCTGGGAACTCGCCAACGAGCCACGCTGCGGCGCCGATGGCACGCGCAACCTCCCACGCAGTCCCGCCGGCTGCAACCCAGACGTCATGACCGAGTGGATCACCGAGATGAGCGCCTTTGTCAAGTCGCTCGACCCCAACCACCTCGTCACCTGGGGCGGCGAGGGCGGCTTCAACCGCGTCTCGGATGACTGGGCGTACAACGGCGCCGACGGCGGTGACTTTGACGCCGAGATTGCCCTCGACGATATTGACTTTGGTGTCTTCCACTCGTATCCGGACTGGTGGTCCAAGACGGTCGACTGGACGGACCAGTGGATCCGCGACCATGCCGAGGCCGCTCGTGCAGCAGGCAAGCCTGTCGTGCATGAGGAGTACGGCTGGCTGACGGACGAGGCGCGGCTGGCGTATGTTGGCACCGTCAGCGACATCTCCAGGGTCGAGGCCATGGGTGGCTGGCAGGAGATTGCCGAGGAGGAGAAAATGCCGGACATGTACTGGCAGTTTGGCTACTCGGGGTTTTCGTATGGCCGCAACCACAACGACGGGTTCACCATCTACCTGGACGACGACGAGGCGCAGCCGCTGGTGTACGAGCATGCGGCGAAGATGAATGCGCTGAATGGCTGTAAGCGTCGTGCGCACTAGCTCAATAGCGAACATATCTGTGGCCTCTAGATGAATATTGGGCCTACTTGATCTGCACTACTCAATGCATGTGATGAAGGTCTTTGCTACGGCTACGATAGGGTGAAGGCAGCCCCTGACTTTACGTGCGAGTGCGAGAGGGACAGGGAGGCCTCTCGGCAAGTGAAGACTACAAGATAGTTTCTATCTACATCGTACTGGAGATACACTGTTTGTGGCGCACTGGAGTTGTTCCCAGATCCACAAGTCAGACGTGCAGATGGATCATCGTGCAACGGAGTACCAATTAATATCGTCGACGGCGAGGCGACCGACATGCCGCTAGATTAGACATGGAGGCAATTTATGACGGTCACGTGCGAGGACATGCCCCCAGCGAGGAGCTGCTCCGGGAAGACGGCTAGGCTGCCGAGAGGACGGGACGACAGTAACGGCAGCAGAAACGTCAAAGACCGCTCTGGAGAAGCACGCCGAATGGTAAATCGCGTATCTGTCCAAGGCATGGACGCCACCGCATGCTCCAGCTATAGCACCTTTCCACGTTGGGAAGAGAGGGGGCTTGCAGTGCCTGGACCAGGCGCATGGCTGACCACTGACATTGAGGGCCCGGGCATCCTAGCAAAGTCTCAGAGGGTCTTGTCCAAGATATTGGCCCCGTTTCGATACAGAATATAGCATCAAACACATGCAAAGGGATTATATGCTCCCGTCCGACATCCCTTCCCCAAGACTCGATCGCCTGACAAGCCCGGGCCGACAGATAAGTGGGTACCCGGCCCGGAGGCCCCACATGTTTCCCCCGGGATTCCTGCCCCAGACTTGCCTCTTTCGGACACTGCGGACCTTGTGCCCCCGCCACACATTGCTGCTCACTCAAGGGTGATGGTCAACCAGAGCAGGAGTACATAATGTAATGGTGCTCACATTGTATCTGCTGGGTAGACGCATCTTGTAGAACAAGCCATACTCTTCGACAAGATGATCTTTGCGTTGCTCGCACTGTTCACCCCGAGCTTGGCTTTCCCCCTGGTGAAGCGCTGCGGCGCGCAGACCTGGGAGGCGGAAGACGCTGCACTCAGTGGCACCCAAGTCCTGACAGACCTAGCTGGATACAGCGGTAAGCCAAATCTAGCTACAAGACGTCGAATCTGCTGACTTCCGACGCAGGCTCTGGGTACGTCGGTGGCTTCGATGAAGCCTCGGACAAGATCACCTTCTCCGTGGACAGCTCCTCCCAAAAGCTGTACGACGTGACCATTCGCTACGCTGCGCCATACGGTGAGAAGACCGCCACCGTCTCGCTGAACGGGGGCATCAACAGCGCCATCTTCCTCCCTGCGACCGACACCTGGGAGGACGTCAACGCTGGTCAGCTCCTGCTCAACGAAGGCACCAACACCATTGACATTGTCAACAACTGGGGATGGTGAGATAGTTCACGAATGTTTATTTTATTTACTTACCAACCTTCCCAGGTATTTGATCGACTCCCTGACCTTGAGCGTGGCAGCGGCTGCTCCTGACCACGACGTCAACCCCACACTCGTCAACCCAAACGCCAACGCCGATGCCGTCGCCCTCTACGACTATCTTCGCTCCATCTATGGCAAAAACATCCTCTCTGGCCAGCAGGACCTCGAGTGGACCGAATGGCTCGCCGAGCAGACTGGCAAGACACCCGCCCTCGTCGCCGTGGACCTGATGGACTACAGCCCCTCCCGTGTCGAGAGGCAGGGCCAGGTCGCCACGACCGTCGAGGACGCCATCACCTTCTCCGAAATGGGCGGCATCGTCTCCGTGCTGTGGCACTGGAATGCCCCCGCTGGTCTCTACGACACGGAAGAGAATCGCTGGTGGAGTGGCTTCTACACCAGGGCCACCAGCTTCAACGTCTCCACGGCCCTGGCGGATCCCAATGGCAACGACTACCAGCTCATCATCAGGGACATTGACGCCATCTCTGAAGAGCTCCTGCGCCTCCAGGAGGCAAACGTACCCGTGCTCTGGCGTCCCTTGCATGAGGCCGAAGGCAAGTGGTTCTGGTGGGGCGCCCAGGGTCCCGAGCCATGCAAGCAACTCTGGGAGCTCATGTACGATCGTATGACCAACCACCACGGTCTGAACAACTTGATTTGGGTCTGGAACTCGATCGCCCCTGAATGGTATCCCGACCCCAATACGGTGGACATTCTGGCCGCCGATGTCTACGACACGGGCAATGGCGTAAGTCTCGTCGTTTCCCTCTCAAGTGATGTGTTGGGGCGTTGCTGACAGCTCATACAGCCCATGTCATCCGAGTACAATCGCCTTATCGAGCTAGGCAATGATCAGAAACTTGTCGCTGCGACGGAAGTCGGTTCCGCGCCAGATCCTGATCTGCTGCAAGCGTACCAGACGCACTGGCTGTGGTTCGCCGTCTGGACTGACGGCTTCATTAACAACCCCAACTACAACCCGCCTGAGCTCTTGAATTCGGTGAGTTTCTTCAAAGTGCTGTTCGCAGGAGACATTACTGACTCGTCTAGATCTATAATGACGAATATGTCTTGACGCTGGATGAGATCTCGGGTTGGAGGGGATAAGGGGGCCAGGCATGTCCAGGATTTGAGTGCGGGTTCTTCTCCAATAAGACTAAGCTCAGGGGTCTCAGACCTCCATTGAATTAGAATCACCATCCCTCAAATTGACTGTTATATCTGTGTAGGATTTGTGCCCAAGACTAACACTGTTATCTCCATCGTAATCTCCAGACGCTGTAAGCGGGGTCTGCTTCTCGGGCTGTCATGTCAGCCCAGAGTCAGACTGTACGTGGGAGAATCAAGCCAGTGCATCCAGATCATCAACATCTCGCGACCATGAAAGTCATCATCTCGGGTGCCACGGGTTTGGTCGCGACCGCAGTTGTCCAGCAGAGCCTCGCCCATCCCAAAATCTCCAAAGTCATCGCCCTCTCGCGGCGAGCCGTCGAGCTGCCAGACAATGCAGACAGCAGCAAGTTGAAGCAGGTTCTCGTCAAAGACTATAATGAGTATCCAGACCACATCCTCGAAGAATTGCGCGGCGCCCACGCGTGTATTTGGTAGGCTTGCTGCCTGTCCTCGCTGAATACGTTTTCGACGCTCACACTAAACAGGACTGTTGCCATCACACCATCAAAGTCAATGACCTACCGGTGGGAGGACGTGGTCAAGATATGCCAGACGTCCACCACAACCGCTCTCCACGCCATGATCAGCGCTGGCATGGCAGAGCCCTTCCACTTCATGTACGTGAGCGGCGATCGCGTTGATCCCGACAGTCCGCCCAAGCCCGGACCGATCGGACGATATATTCAAATGCGGGCAAGTAGCGTCGTTCAATTGTCCATGCTTTCGGTAACTGACTTTTTTGGGACCCAGGGCGAGACAGAGAACATGCTACGTCGAATCGCGGAGCAGCACAATGGCCTAGTCCAGGTCTGCACCGCGCGCCCCGGCATTGTGACGAGTGACGCAACCTACGCGAGAGCAACCTGGGGCTCCGCCGTGAGGACGCTCAACCCCGTTGCGAACGTCGGCCGTGACGAGCTCGCTGCTGCAATGATCCATCAAGTGGTGAATACGTTCGACAAGAAGGTGTTGACAAACGCAGACTTGAAGACGATGGGCCGTGAGCTCCTAGCGCAGCAGAGCCACATCGGTTGTGAATAAGTTCTTTGGGCTGAGCACTATCGACTTTCACTATGGATTACGCATCAGAATGAAAGGTAACATTATGCCAGCCTACTAAAGCTATGTTGAGAATGTCAATCCAACGTGATACATGCAGTTGGCGCTTGAACAGTGATCACAGCACCATTCGACGGTGGCAGCTCCTCATTCTGGATTCCCTCTGGCTCTGATGCACCCTATTACAGGCAATGGCTGCCTTGATTTCAGATTTACTGTGACTTGACGTAGAACTTGATGTCAATCAGAGGTACTCCCACGGCAGCATGGCTCATGGACGTTCTCTCATCAACTGGCAAGCCCATGGATATTGAAGCGATTCACGTATTTCGAGATTTTCATTATTGCTGTCCTTGCGCAGCAGATGTAAGAGGGTAGTTCCCGGTTGTTCAGGGGGCCCTCCCTTATCTAGTCCGGCCGAGCACAACTGTTCACACAAAGGGGTCTGGTGTGCCGCATCTCCATCAAACATGGCCTTGTTCACTCGGATGAGTCCCAACACCTCGCAACAAACAGCACAAAATGTCAAACAACAGAGGACACGGAATCATCATCATGTCCGCGCCTTTCTGTTGCCGAACAGAGCAATAGAACCCCTCCTCCCCCCATCGTCAACCCGACTCGTGTCAACACAACAACACTTCATTACCTCACCTCCCATCGCCAACACCAACACGAACACCAACACCAATACCAATACCACCATGGTCTTCGTCGGCTGCACAAAGTGCGGCTCCTTCTGCCATCACACCTGCTACTTCGACCACCGCGGCGATTTCGCCTGCCACAACACCAACTGCCCCGGCCACAACGAATCTTGGGAGGAGGAGCGCGTCGGCTACAACGACTACGGAAAGCCTTACATCTGCTTCTCGGAGGACGGGTGCGACGAGTGGATCGTGACCCCGATCATGTGCATGGACCCCTTTATCGTGTACAAGGAAAAGGTCCAGGAGGACGGGTCGCTGCGCATCACCATCTGGAAACCAGGCCCTTATCCCGGCCATAGCGGCTTCATGGCGGAGGAGTTCATCCCGCGCACCAAGAGGCCTCTCTCTACCTTCAGGCTAATTATGTGGAGAGAAGGGATGATCATCTTCTAAGTTGAAGAAACCGCTGAGAAGCGCGTATCATACAAATAAGGGGGGGTATCTAGCTGTCTCCATTCGAACGTCTCGTCGACTACAACTATGTAAAGTCCCATCTTCCACAGCTTGGGTGCCTCCTACTCTTCCCTTTTGTCCGATTCCTACAATCCCAGCTCCCGGGCGGGTCCCAGAGCTATCTCTCTCTCTCTTTCTTTCTTTCTTTCTCTCTCTCTATCTCATCAGCAATACATACATCCATCCATGCCACAACCTGAATTATAACCCGCCAACTCCTTGTGAATTACCCTCCGCGAAGGGGCATTCATATATGTACGGTCCTCTGATTAGAAGTGGGTCATACACCCAACAGAAATAGACAAGGAAGCCGTTTTCCCAGCGTAGAACAACGATACAATAAGAAATGATGATTGGCGCGTATGCCATGTTCGTAAATGGGACGTAAGTAAACGAGGGTGAATATACGCAAACGAACAAAACGTCTGGTAAAAACGCAAAATAAAAAATAAAACAAAATCAAGTGATTCTGCCAAGCCACCGCTTGGCTCTGGGGCAAGTCCCCATGTTCGTAAACTTGCTTCAGCACGAGTTGACCCTTGGGTCAGCAAAGTACTGCATCATGCCCCATCCGGGCTGAGCAGTCGGTTGCCCCGATGTGGCTTCGTCCATGCTTTGATTGTGCATGCTCTCCCAATCGTCAAAAACAACGGGGACAGGTGAATAATCAAAGTCCATCACGCCATCGCTAGTCTCCATCGACTGGGCCGCCGAGTGCGGATGCTCCTGCTTGATCGAGTGTGTTGAGGGAATGGGTGAATGATTGGCCGTCATGGGCGAGTGATTGGCCGTCAAGGGCGAATGGCCAGTCGAGTCAGGGGGCGACGGCCCAGTGGGATGCGTGTATTGTTGCGAAGGCATCATCATCGGTGTTTGGTAGGCTGGGGCGTACGAAGTGTGGGCGTTCGGGCTGCCATTGGACATGACTTGCTGGGGCGGCGGCTGAGGTGGCATGGGATTGAAGGACATGCGCGGATCCTGAAACTGCTGCATGCCCTGAGGCTGTCCAGGGAAAGGAGGGGGCGTGAGCTGAATGTTGTCCATAACAATGTCGGCCAGGTCGTACGCGACGCTAGCAATGAATTCAGCCTCCCCCTCGTTGCCAGAGAAGAACTCGAGCAGGTCCTGCAGCTGGCCTGGGTTCTCCTTCTCGAGAAAGCCCTGCGCCCGGCCCGTCTTGCTGGGGTGCCAACTGAAACGCGGTCGCCTGCCAGAGTAGCTCGACTGCTTGCTGCTGATGAGAGAATCCCACGCCTCGCGAATTAGAGGTTGGTGGAGAAGACCGTACACGACCCGCGAGTGCATCCATTCTCCCTTGGTCATGCCAGACTCGAAATGCCGGGCGACGTGCTCCACGTGGCGCTCGCGAGCGGGATGGAGCGCGGAGCAGAAGCCGCACGCCCAGTACTTGCGCTTGCGCAGGAATCGAACGACCTTTTCGGCGTGGGGACAGGTCGTGCAGCCGTGGCACTGCTTGTGGTGCTGGTTGAAGGAGTTGGATCCCCAGAAGCTGCGGTTGCACCCCGGCTCCGGGCAAGGGTACTTCCTCCATCGCTCGTGAAACTCGTCCTCGTGGCGCTTCCAGTCGTACTTGCGCTTGAAGCTCGTCTCGCACGATGTGCACCAGTAGATGTTCTGCTTGTTGAGCGACGCGGGGGCATTCATCGGGCCGGCCGTGATCACGGGCTGGCCGGTCGGGGAGGTGATCTGCGGCGGCATGGGCAGAGGAGCCTGCGAGCGTGGGCCATTGGTGCCTGCCGACGCCCAAGACATTGCAGAATGTGACGACATGTTTGAGAAGACGGAGGCATGACCCGAGGAGCCGGAGCTGGTGGATGAGACAGAGAAGCGTGGGCGGTGGGCAAAAGGCGCAGTGGGAGGAGGGTACGAAAACAGGGTTGCTAGATCCTTGTCAGTTGAGGTGATGGAAGGAATGCGCCTGCAGTCTGACGACACGGTGGGTGACCACGAACCAGTTCCATCATCCGTCATTGGCAATTGGGGCTTCATGTCGCTCCGTAGAATCGAGCTGTTGGCGGGCGTCGCGAGGTGCGTCGTCGAGTTCTGCGAAACGGGCGAAAGCACCGTGGGTTGCTGCCGTTGCTGCTGGTCGACCTGGCGAGCAGCAGTGGGAGGAGGCGGAGGCGGGCATTGCGGCACTGGAGGAATCGCGAGCGGAGGGAGTTGCGATTGAACCTGCTGCGGTTGTGTCGACGAGTGGTCTGGCGTTTGCTGTTGTTGTGGTTGCTGCTGCTGCTGTTGCTGCGTCTGCTGTTGCTGCGTCTGCTGTTGCTGCGTCTGCTGTTGCTGCGTCTGCTGTTGCTGCGTCTGCTGTTGGTTCGGATCAGCGAGCGATTGGAGCATTTGCGTGTCGAGTAGCTGATGGAGCTGGTCGCGGGAGAGGCCAGCCTCCATCAGCATCTGCAAGTTCTTGCGCGCCTCGGCGAGCACATCTTGAGGTTGCTGCTGCGAATGCTGCTGGTGGTGCGACTGTTGCTGCTGCTGAGGTAGGAGGTGAGGCGATTGACTCTGGACCGTTGGGTCCATGGTTCACATAAGAGGCGCCGCGAGACTGGGATGTAGCGACTGGAGGGTAATTAAGGTGTAGTAAACGAATGGACGAACGCGATAGCGCGCTGCATGCAAAGGCCGAAGCTTAGCGGGATTGAGCGAAAGGACGTCGACGATGGATGACGAGAGCGTTGATGGCGGTTGTGGCAGTTCAGGTGAGAGTTGCGGATGGCCCGAACGGTGAGATGGGCGGGAGCTGAAAGGACGGACTAGGCTGGGCTGGGCTGGGCTGGGGGCCATTGTTCGTTCAGCTGCCATGTCCCATGGCTGGGTGACTGGGCCCAGTCGAGAGATGAGCAGATCCCCCCCCCCCCGGTCAGCATGCGGTGCCTGGCACTGGCAGGAACGGCGCTGCTGATTAGTGGGCAGGCTCCTTCCTTGGCGGATACGGATACAGCATTAATTCCGTCCGGGATACGCGGGTCCATTTGATGTCTGCCCAGGACTTTGGATGGACGATAGGTATTGAGATGGGAAATCCGTACGCCATGGACGCGACGAGAATTGACTGTTCCACGAGCTGACTGGAGGCTCACGGATGGAGGCTCGCCTGTGGGGACAGGACGCTGTGGTACTGTAGTTGTGGTAGTTGGTGGCCGCCTGGAAATGTGCTTCATTAGATCCCCCCTCCATCACCACCGCCAAAAAGGAACGTGTCCCTCGGTCCAAATCATTGCAATCAATGCCCTCAATGCGTGCTGTCGGGGGCTGATCGTTGACGAGCAATGACTGGAACGGCTAGGGTACATAATTTAGAGAAGCGCCAGGGGCAGCTGGCAGGCCGCAGCACATCGCCGTGGCTGGCGCTAACGACATGCAGACGCCATCTTCCAAATTCGTACGTAGTAGGCTATCTGCTGCAAATCTTCTGCCGGTGCGGTTGGCTGACCCTGGGGCTTCACTGCTTCTAGCTGCCGCAGGACCCCTTTTTGCCGGGCCCAGCTGTCGCGCTTGCAGTCAAACTTCCGACTGGAGCCCCTGGTGTGGTGTGCACTGTAAAAATATTAGGTAGCAGCCGACGATTGAAGATGACGAGTCCGACGTCACGCCGTGAGTCGTGAGTCCATGGTTTTTGAGGTATTCGCACCAAAGCCATCATGATCACATTCATCTGGCAGGACTCATTTCCTTCCTCCCCGGCCTCCCGCCAAACAAGCTCCTAGAAACCTCGAATTCGTACGTGCATGTCATATCGAACATGTCTGTCTGTCTCCCTCCTGTCAGGCCATCTCTCCAGGGGTCAATCGCGAGGCCTGGCCAACCTCCCGAGGGCCAAGTCAGTCTGTCATCATCACACAGGTGACAAGGCACACACGCGCGACAAGACAACAGGCGTGTGGGTCAGGGGAAACCACACTGCCTGCACGGCACCTTGTGTGGCGCATGTGGTAGCGACCACTACCGATGTTTTCGGAACAATCAGTTATTATTGTCATGTTTGTTGCCGGATTAGATAATAATAGATGGGCGGAAACCATGCCGTCATGTGGGCTGGTTGTCTGAAACGGCCGTACCTGTCTGTGAGGTCGCCAGCCAGCTGTGCTCTGTGAGTGAGATGGTGCGCAGGATCAGAGCTAGGACCATCAACGCCGAGTTGCTAACCACAAGTGTTCACAGGAATTGATCGGAAACCATCTTGTGCGCGTGCACCCCCGTCACGTCACCAGTAATAAGCCGACACGGTTCACAGAGCACGTCGTGCACATGCACGGGGTAGCACACCTGCACGACCAGGCTTCTTCAGCCACTCGGAGCGCTGCACGATGCATGGCTCTTGCCATCTCTCTCGGCTTGACGAGGACAGGGCTAAATAGTGGTCCTGGTTCTGCGCGCTCATCAGTGGAAACACTTGAGCTTCCTTCCCATGTTGGCTGCTTCACATGGCTCTTGCGACAAGCCTCCGGCTGCCACTGTGTCACATGCGCAACCCCTGAATGCAGCTAAGTTACTTTAGTACCTGCCTTAATACACCCTCAGTCCTCCCCAATTGGTCTGCTTATCGATACGTCAGGTACTAGGACGGTATCATATGATCCATAGCCTCCCAATCAGTCTAGCAAGTTCCAAATTTGGTCGCGTCAAACTACATGTAGCTCCGTAGAGCATCTCTCGACTGGGGGGCGCTGCAAGGTTGAAGGTTGTAACTTGTGTTTGGCAGCCTGCAGGAGCAGAAACGTGTCTCGCAGCCTCCCGAACGCGTGACCTGAAACGAGTCCTTGAGAAAACACCCGATTTCCACACTCGTGGGCTGCTGGACTTCACGATAAGGTCCAGGTCCATGGACCATCGCCCCTAGCGAGGCTAGTCCACCACAGTAGTGACGGCTCATGGCGATTCCGCACTCCGCGTTGCGTGGGTTCCTCGATACGGGCTGCAGTCCACCCAACCGCGTCGCCCGGCGTTTCGAAATACCGGCAACAACGTGACGTTGGTCCGCGGTTTACACACGTACGTACATGTACGACTAATTACCTACTGGCACGAGATCTGTAGGGCTAGTGGGCGATTCATCAACAACAGTTCATTTTCGAAACAAAAGCTCGCTAGCAAACGTGCTCCGCGCCGACGCCAGAAGATCGCCAGGAGATCACCGCAATGGCTCAAGCCCCTGACCATGCTTGACATCCTTCACGCAACCACTCAGTTGCAGATGGGCCACGGCTTGCACATTGATGTCAGCTGTGGCTTTTGGATCTCTGCTGCTTCAATGGCCACTGCATTGATCTGTGCGGATAGTGCTCAATGAACGGTCGAGGCAAGCAAGTTCGGGAGAAAGCGACAATTGCGCCTCGTGCCTTTACGCACGTATGTACTCGGTAGCAGCCCGCGAATCTCCACTTGGAGTCTCACTGGCATCCAGCGTCGAGGGGCATCGGAGCACTAAAGTCAAAGTCAATCTCAGCAGCTCCGCATGTGGAGGAGGGCGATCTTGCGCCTCGTCCACCTTCTTTCGTCACACTCACACAAACCAAGGCCCCGATCGGCTCAACCGACAAAATCAAGTTAGTGCTCAGTCTCATACGGTTACACCACACCAGACAAGCCGGTCAGGAGTCAGGACCTGATGTCGTGTATTTCTCCCCCTATTGTCAACCCATGGCCTGTGCAATGACCTACCAGGCGATCTAGATCTACTGAATGGCCTAGCAGTACAAGGGGACGACTGGAAAGAGGAGCATGCCAATCATTGTCAGGAATGTCCACACTGGGACCTTAGACGTATTCCGAATGCGCGTATTCATGGCTTCGCTTACACCAGCCTCCTGACGCCACTCGCTTGCATTATTAATATTATTAACGCCGACTCGCGAGATTCCCATGTTGTCGCCCACTCTTCCCATCGGCCAACCCTTCCTGTCCTGGGCGTCTGGGACCAAAGGGTTCGAGCCAAGGCTCTTGGCCCGACGCACGTGGAACCTCACCCAGGGAACCGTCATAGCAGCCGCAACTATACATCAAACACCGGCCTAGGCCATCTCACCGAGATGGTAAGCGCGAAACACCTTGCCATCATCGTGGTCACCACGGGCAGAGTTCCGGCCTTGGCGTCCTTGTCAGCATTTGCACTCTGCGTGCAGGCGCAGTGAATTCACTCGTTCTCGAAGCGGGCGGCGCGTGATTGCCGAAAGGGGGGTTCCACCATCGAGGACCGACCCGTTTCAGCGCCCAGCCGACACCATCTTAGTCGATTGCACTACTCACGAACTCGTTTAGGAGAAGAAGACACAAAAAAGGAAAAGGAATGAAACGAGTAGGAAAGCCCGGACGGTGACCTATAGACAACGACGATGTCTGGCAGCGGGGGGAAGACTATCCCAGCTCCGAAGTTTCTGCGCGGTGTAATTAATATCCCGAAATTATACGAAGGATACGCATCCATCATCTCCGAACCGTAGAGATGCGTACCCTCTCCGCACACAATGGTTGACAACATGATATCGTCCTCTCTCATTACGCGCTGGTGCTGAAGTAGTAATTCTCCCAAAGATACTCGTAGTCCTCCAGGATGCCCGCGATGAACCCAGGCATCCGCTGCGTCACGCCACCGACCATCCCCTTTGTCACGTTCTCGTAGAAGGCGCCACGCATCGCCCACCAGGCCATGGCCCAGCCACGTTTGTTCCATTCATCGCGCTCCAGGGCCGTGGTGCGCAGGCTGCGGTCGCGCAGCTGGCGCGCAGCATACTCCACCGTCAGACCAACGACCCAAGGCGTCCATGACCTGCGGTTCTTGCTCGAAGCAAGCGCCGACGCGTAGATCAAGGGTGACAAGATCTGCAGAATCTCTGCCGCCTGACCTGACCCTTGGAGCTGGTTCAACAGATTCTTTGCAGGCTTGATGTCGTCTGCCGTGAGGACGCGACCCAGCAAGTAGGAGCTGATGTCGCCCGAGTTGGGCAGCGAGGGCAGGCTCATCCCCGTCCGAGGCATCCTCCACTCGCGCTCGTACGGCGCCTTGCCTTCATCCTCGCTCAGGATATCCCTGGTAATGTCCCCGTTGAGCTCCACCTCGTCCATCAACTCGCTCTCGCTCTTCGTGCCGTCCTCTACCTCCTCCACGGCATCCGCCGGAATCGCCTCTCTCTCGGGCAATACAGGCGAGACCAGCGGACGTGATCGTGTTATCCGTAGCAGCAAAAGGCGGCATATGGCCTTGATCGCCTCCAGCAGCACCACGACCCGCCAACGCGACTTCTCTCCTCCTTTGCGCTTCGCTGTCATCTCGCAGAGCAGCTCTGTGTAAACGACCATCTGCAGAAGCATCGCCACGCGACGATATTTCGTGTTCTTCTCGCTCCAGAACCGTGTATACCGCGCGTGCGCTGATGGCGTCGGTAGCGCTAGTCGAGAAACAGCGCGCGTGAGGAGGGTATCGTGGTAGAGCGACAGGAGCTGCACGCCCGAATGTATCGACTCGGAGGCTATCTCGGCATCGCGGAAGCGACCTTGTCCCCAGTCAGCAGTTCAAGGGCTATTGGATGGATGGGAGCGTGTGTGTACCTGGGATGATGTACGTGAGACTGCGCAGCGCGCTCTCAATCTGCGACACCTGCCCCGCATTCTTGGTGATGAAGTCCTCGTACATGCCGAGCCATTTTGGCGGCAGCGACAGAATCTGCCCAGCCGTCGGACGCGTCGACCTCGCGCCCGATCTGGGCATCGCTGATGGCGCGGACATGGCGCGCGTGCTTCTGGGGAGACGCCTGCAATTGGCGTGGAATCTCTGAGTCGTCAAACGGAAAGCTAGATGCGATGGATACAGAGCGCAACGGCGAGCGCAGTCGGAGGTCGTGGATTCGAGGCTTGCACGTGCAGATGGATGGTTCTCGATGGAGCAGCGTCGTGGTGAAGTTGGTCGTATGAGATCATGTACGGAGGTGGTACGGAGTACTCACGTAGCCGAGGCATATACGACGAGTGCGGCGGGCCGAGAGCAAAGATCGGGTGGAGCCAGTCTGGGGTAAGCTGCACGAGGGCCAGAATGGGCCCATGGTCATCAACCTACCCTGTGGCTAGTGATAGCATATTCAACATCATTTCTATAGTTACCCCTGATCTAGTAAGGAAACTTGACAGAAAATATCACCCACATCCTTTTTCAGTCTTCAGAGGTCTTTGTCTATATGTGTCTTCCCAGCTGCTCACCTCGTGCATTGCCCGTTGGTCCATAAGCTGCATTTCACCCCTTGCTCTGGATGTTTCCTCGGGTTCATTACAGTTGAAATCTGATAACGGTACTGAGTAGTCAATCGATCCGATCGGTGGAGAGCGTCTCCCAGGCATGCTGTAGATGGTTGGTAAGAAAGGCATGAAATCCCTTCCCGCGAATTGTTGTGCGGCGTATCCTGGCCTCTCTCGCTGCTGCTGCTCCTGTTGCGGAAGCGTGTGGTAGCCTCGCACCCAACATCGACACTTGTAATGGATGGCCATGGGTGGTCCGAGGACGAGCGTGCCGACCGCGACCAGCCAGCCTGCGCCTGTGAATCCGTCACCCATAGCGCCGTGGAGTGAACAGTGTATGCCCCAAGCCATGCTCCCCAGGATGAACAATCCTTCAGCAAAGAGCAGCATGTAGCAGACCTTGACTCGTGGTCGCAAGGGGTGAAGTCCCAACTCTACCTCCGCAGCCACCGTATTTGTGTGGACACTTCCAGACCCAGCAACACCAACACCAAGACATGGAGCCCTTCCACGTCGTGCCGGTCCTTTGGGTTGAACCGTTTTCCGTGCTGAATGACGCGCTTGGAACATCCTTTTCATCTCCTCTACGAACAAGGGAGCTCTCCTGCATTTAAAATCCGACCTAGGTGTATGCATGCATTCTCTTCCTGCCGTGACGATGGTGATCACATACGTCTCCTTCGGCTTCGTGTTTCTGGGAGCTCTGAGTTAGTCAAAGACGTCGAAGCCCCCGAACAGATGTATACGCACAGCTCCAGAGCCATCGGGCTCATCTCAGCCCTCATCAGACTCGATGCTCGAGCCCAGACGACATCGTTGTCTTTGATCGGCTCGCTGCCTTGCGATGGTGCATACCTCTCCATCAGCATCTCCTTGTACGCCTGAACGTGACTGACGAATCTGTGCGCTTGGGCGCAGCTCAGCTTTCAAGAGTCGTTCAAGCTTCAGGACAGCGTCGACCTGAAGTTCGAGTTCCCAGGTCAATGTAAGGGGCATTGAACGCAAGCCATCTATGAGCGTGGCGATCTCAACACGCAACATTACCTCGGATGCTGGAATCGCCGCTGCGCTGGGCGCCTTTTTTGACGCCATCGCCCATGTGCACTTGGCCCTTGCCAGAGGCGTGCAAGAGACAATGAAGCACGAATGTAGCGTTCAGTCGAAGGTGCAAGTATGCCAGGCGGCTGAGTCTGCAGCATCACGTAGACCAATGTGAACTGGCTGACTGCGCCTTGATGCAACAGCCACGGCTCTGGAGAGAGAAAAACGCCTCGTCACTGCACGCGAAGAGGCTGCCGACGGCTGAACAGATATTTGTGATTCTATCGACAAGACGTGCGTCATGCAACGTCAACAATACATATAGCATCCGCTCTGCGAGCAGGATCTACCCGGCGTCCACGCGTCGTGGCGGCGGGCCGTGGGCCGTGGGTTAGGCCAAGTCAATGACCATGTCCTCCCTTGTCGCTTCGAGCAAGCCGCTTGCTTTCAGAACCCCCCGTGTTCTGTTTTGTCTGCCATACCCCCTCGGCAAGATATCCAGAGCCTAGGGCCGTTTCACAACCAGAGGATCTGCGTGGCGCATTTGCGCGTAGCGCCCACGAAGCGTGCAACACATCCTTCGGATGCGCAGGTTTCGCGCACTCCGAAACTTGCCCTGCCATTCGGCTCGACGCTGCGATGATACATGTAACAACAGCCAGGGTATCTTTTCCCTCTGACGATCGCTTTCGAACGAGTATACCGAAATTTTCGATGTGCGGCAATGCACAACATCTTGTACATTTAGATCCGTAGATTTTCGACTGTCTCGTCCGAACCGACTCAGAGGAGCTCGAATCCCGCCTGTTCCAGTTCTGTGCCCCTTGCCAGGATAGGTCGTCCCTGCAGAGGGAAAGGCCAGAACAGGGGGTTGTCCATCTTATCACCCGAATACTTCGCCACCTTTCCCTCGACCTGCGTGGCGCTGGCGACGGCGCAGCCCTGGAAGAGTCCGAAATCGCAGTCGAAATCCGTGTCCACGACGTTGGGGGCGAAAAAGTTGAGGGTGTTGGTATACGTCTTAACAAGGTTATGGTAATCCTCTGGTGGTGTCTTCCCGTCGTCAACGTCGACATCGATTTTCCATTTCTTGGCGAGATAACGCAGAATGTTCAAGGCCTGTTCGGCAAAATGATGGCAGGGCGCCATCTCCGCCAGGTCGGAGATGCCCTGTTTCAAAGCTTCTGCCACTCTCGAGTCCAGCTTGGCTGCTTCCGCCATCTTGGAGACCTCGTCTGACGCATTAGACCGATTGGAGACTGTGGTGGCGCCGACTGCGAGATGCATAATCGCCGACGTCAGAACAAAGTATGGTACGAATGATGGTGTTCGTCGCAGGGTGTATAATTGCGAGTAGGAGCGTAGCAGTCCTTGAATGGCGTCTGCGGCTTGACAACATACGTCCCGGGGTGAAACTTTAGAGCCAATAATCCGCATCTTGATGAGCGGCCTGAACAGGAGAAGGATGGCAAAGTGATAGTACATACTGTAACCGGGTTAGTTCAAATGTTCCGTAGGTCGACGCAGTTGTCCTTACTGAGCGAAGAGAACGGCCGGGGTGAAATTGTGGCCGAGCCGCAGCACCTCTGGTATCAGATCATACCAATTCAAATATTGAGTATATATACTCAGCAATTCCCTCGATGTCAACGGTTTGCCGGGGGAATGCAACATGTACAGTGACTGGTGAACGAGTTCGCTCAGCTCACAGAAGCATTTGTACACAGAACGCACATTAGACGATTGCTCGCAGGAGCGCTGCAACGGTGCTCCGTCGTCAGTGTAAGGTACCCACAGGGATGCCTCGACATCATCGATGATAGCGGGTTTCGGAGGCAGATGGGGGAAACAGGAACACTGCGGTAATGATCCTGTCGCTAAAGACCAAGCACTGTGCAACAACATTAGTAAATGCGGTAGCAGAACGCAATCGTGAGAACTCACTGATCCAATGCAAACGCTCCCCAGAAGGTCGCGGATTGCACAGCCAACTCGTCTTCGTCGCCTTCGTCGTGTACCCGGTGAAGACCCATCTCGATGGCCAGACGTATGCTTTGACCGGCATAGTACCAGCTTTCCGAGTCCCGGCCACAGCTTGCCTCTCGTATGGACATGATACCTAGTGCCTGGATCGTCGTCAACGCGTGGTGATTCGTCTCTTGGTAGAACAACCGCTGGGACTCCTTGAAGAAATGGTCCCCCGATGTATACGGGTCGTTCGGATTCGCTCGCGTCATGGGCTGCGACGAAAAGCGACAGCCTAGCGCAAGCAGCGCATTGACGAGCATGGGCGAGCAGTATCGATATCGGCCGGCTTGAAAGTCCCGGAGGAAATGCTCCTTGCTGAGGGAGGCAAAAGTGGGGTATTCCCAGCAGAAGTACAGCGCCAGTAAATGCTGCACCAAGTTGATATCGCTCGTAATGCTGGTCCAAGTGCCTGATGGGGACTGCATCTCGGGCTCATCCAAAGGCGACAAGATGTGCTCCAGTCCGCGACACCGTGGCAGCCGAGTCGATCGATCGGTTTCTCGCTGGCCCGACCCTACATGTACCTTGTCTGACAGCCAGTTCATGGGGTCTGTATGAGAATCGCTGCGGTTTGAGTCACTGTGGTTCCGCTGGAGAAAATTCCAGGAGCCGTTGTTGTTCTGCAACCCTGGAGACGGCTGCGTGCCGGGCGCGCCAGCAATCCCAGGCAGACCCAAGTTCAAGGCCGCCAGGGATCCGGGGATGGGCCCAATGTAATTCGATAATGGTGGTAAAGTTGTACCCATGCGGGACTGTTCACGATGGGAGGTAGCGGACTGTGGCGCCGCACCGAACGGTGCGTGGTCGCTGAGCCATTCCCCAATGGCTTCGACCGTCTGGCCGTTGCGCAGGCGACTGAGCACATCTTCCCAGAGGCCAGGCCTCACCAGAGCAGCCAAGACGCTATCGCTCGATTTTTGCCGCGATCTCAGAGACTCGATCTCGGTGCGTAGGTTCTCCTTTGATTGGCGCACGGGGATTTCATATTTGCACTCGATTTCTTTCTGGCCCCGGCAACGACTGCAAGGCTGCTGCCCATCGCACTTGGTCCGTCAGCAGATGGTCCCACGACGGTGCCGGCACTACTGACCTTTGCTCGTTTCTTGCGGCATTCCGTGCACGCGTTGGGCGTTACAATGCCTAGACCACGCCTGCGCTTGGCATTTTGGGTCGAGACGGCGTGGGGGACGGAGTTGGCCGCCTGCGCAGCAGAGGAAGATGCTGGCGTCGGATGGCTTTGCGCAGGCGTGCCCGAGTTGCCTGAGAGCGAGGTTGACGTGCCCTCGAGCTGGGGCGTGTTAGACGTACTAGACTGGCCCGGCGCAGAGGGAGTCTGGCTGCGACTCTTGTCCTCGTCCATTGGATGGATGCCAGTCTCAGTGCTCGGGGCTTTTGGAATAAGTTTGTTGGGCAGCGCTGATCAAGACGTGTCGAGTAAATGACCTGAATCTGCTGGCTGTAGGGACATGCTGCGCGTGCGAGGGCTTCGGCGCGTCAGCAGGCCTGAACGGTGGGGAGTCGGGTAGGTGGAAGCAGTCGTGCGCCTCTCACGAGCATCGACAGGTCGAGTTTGGGAAGGGGAGAGTTGAAAGCACGATGTTGGGTTCGGTGGGGGGGAGTGGAGGGGCGGACGAGAAGATTGAACCAGCCTTTTGAGCTTGTCGCGTACGGCCTGCCTGGCCTGGCCTTTTGACCGATCAGACAGCGGTTGCGGGCAAGTATGTGCCGGACACCGTGTTGATTGTGAATTTCCGCAAGCGCGAGTCGATGTGAATGCGAAAGGATAAGGCAGTGTTTGTTTAGATACTTACGAAAGAGGGTGAGTTTGGGTCTGTCTGTCTGGGGGTTGGATCGCACGCGCGACGAATTATTATGCGCTCTCGATGATCCGGGTACGGTATTTGCGACGACACTCTCGACTCCACAGCAGAGCGCATTACTAGCGCACCATGAGGTCATTGCGTCGTAGGTACATCGGGTGGATTCCAGCACATTGTCAAAAGGAGGCATCACACCATCACTTGGTGAAGACGGAGAAGAAATGCCATAAATCGTGCAGGCAATCGTATCCGCCACACGATGCAGAATCAAACAGTAGAATCGAAGTGATCACTTGTCGATGAGCACGCTGACGATGGACCAACAACAATGCCTGAGAAGCAATGTCGGGCGCCCCCACAGCAGCTCAGGACTCCGACTCGCCGCCTGGGACGCTAAAATGGCGGCCTGAGCCGGGCCTTATCGATAGGACACCAGCTTGATATGTTCCCAGGTGCCCTCCAGCCAAGCATGTTACAGATTAGCCCTCCCAGCAGCGGCAAGGGGAGAAACAAGAAGAATTATTATGAGAGCTCAGCGTCCCAACAGTTCAGTAATGCACTTGTGCAGGTAGCAATCGCTGAGCGTGCAAATCTCACAAGGTACAACATGTCCAAACGCCTGCAATGCGGCTTCCAAAACGCCTACACCCCAGCCCCGACAAAGAAATCCCCCCTGGTGTGCATATCCATCAAAAGTCGCGCTTCAATGCGCTTCGCGGATACTTGATCGGGCTCCCGGAGCGATGGCCTCGGCTCGGTGTCCAGAGCAAGGGAGGCGGTGTGTGGTCTGTGTCAGTATCGTCCATGTGTATGGCCCGACGCCGGTGCGCTTGAGGTGTCTGCACTGGTATCCAAGTGACATCGCCTTGTCGGATAGGTCCAGCAGCATCGTCAAAGGACCCTGTTGGAATCGGATGTCGCGGTGGCTCGGGGGCGGCGGGTGATGATGGGCGTCTTGTCATGAAGTAGGCCAAGGCGCCGATGATGCCAGCTCCCGCAGTCTGGACGCTGTTAGTCAAATCCTTGCGCATTTCAAGCATGGGAGTCAGAGACGTACCCAGGTTTGCAAAGACAGCCCGTTGAAAAACTCATTCAAAATGTCGGCTGTCCCTTTGATCATCTGTTTGACCTTGCTGATTGCTTCCGGGTCCTTCATCATGCACTGGAACAACTCATCGCAGGTCTTTTGAAAGAGCGGCCCGACCCCTTCGTTGCACCTGTTCAGCTGGTAGTCCTGGCGACACTGCGACTTCTGAGCCCTGATGACCTCTCTGGCCTCCTCGTTGAGGTTGTTCATGTCGGACTGGAGCGCGTGAAGAAAACCGAGCCCGATCCCCAAGGCCGAGCAGGTGAGAAAGACATTGACGCCCAGCCAAAACCATCTGTGGATGTTCTCGGGCGCAGTGTGGTGCTGCTCCAGCATATTGAACAACTGACCTACGGGATTTCCGCTCTGGGCTGGTTTCTCGGGTCTCCGTCGAGATCTGGAACGTCCGCTGCGCCAGTACTCGGCGCCTGAATCATCCTCGTCGTCATCAGTCACCTCTGCAGATCGTCTCATATACCCTGGCACCTTGTCATATTTCTTCCGACGTCCATGGTCGCGTCCCGATGCAATCTCCCCCTTCCCTGGAGCATGCTTTTTGTACCGAGTAGCCTTGTCGACCCGTGACGGCCCCACCGGACTAAGATGAGTGTCCATGCGATCCGCTTCAGGTGTATCGTTGGGGTAGTCAGACGCTTGCGCTGGGCTGTCCTCGGCACCCGAGGCCTCGGAGAGTATCTGCTCGTCGAAAGGTTTGCGCGGAGTCGTGAAAGCAGGATTGCGAAACGCTGGCGCGGGGGGTGTGGAAGCCGCTTGCAATGGTGTAAAGAGCTTGCGCTGAGGTTGAAGAGGCTTCGAGGGAGTGGTGAAAGGTCTCGGCAGATCGGACCCTTTAGAAGGTGATGCAAAACCTGAAGGTAAAGGTCAGCTCCAATATAGGACATGATGATACGAGGTTAAAGACCCAGCCTACCATTGTTCAGCCGTCTGTTCGCTGTCGCCTTGATGAATGGGCTGCTTTCATCGACCGGTCCTGCATGGCCGTCCCATTGCCAGTCCATGTGCCCTTCGTAAGTACGGCGCTCCATGCTGATTTAAGTATGCAGAAAATTGAGAGAGCGTGGGGTTTCGACAAAAAGACATCAAGGAAGGACGAGAAGACTTGCAGAAATAAGAGTAGAAGAGCGCAAAGGGAAGAAGACAATCAACATCCAAGAATGCTGGTGATGTGGACAGTCACTGGTGGCAACAGCTGCGAGTAAACAAACCCGGATTCACTAGCATTTGCGCATGGGGTGGGCCTCTGTGCCCGCCAAGGTGCCATTTGTGGATTATGTAATCTTGATTTGGGGGTTCAACCACGCCAGAGCCCAAACAGCAAGTTGCAGCCTTCTTCCTGCGCTACACAATACAATCAGTGCTGTGAGTCGCGACATTCAATCCTTTTAGCATCAAGGCAATCACCGATACAATCTGCTTGGGCAAACAACATAACAACATAAGCACACAAACACTTCATTGTATCATCAGCACTGCGCCTCTTCCCAGCGAAAACGAAACAGCGACGCGCTACACCGCGCAAGCATGTCGGACGCAGCGTCGCCTGCTGCGGAATCACCCGTCGCACCACCCGGCAACGAGGTTGTCAACGATGGCCAGGAGGAGGAGTTTCAAGATGAACTGGCCGCAGCCGACTCCGACCGCGACTCCGATGCTCTCTCCGAAGTAGATGAGAATCTCATTGAAGACTACGATCCTGCTGCCGCGAGTATCGAGGACCGGCCTGTCGAGATTGACGAAGACGTCGCCCGGACACTGAAGGCATCGAAGCGCAAAACGGCCGATGGCCCAGCAAAGAAGCCTCGGGAAGGTCGTCGCGAGAAGAAGAAGCGGAACGATGAGGAGAATATGCAAATCGATGGCGATTCGTATGAACAGAAGCCTCGCAGGCAAAGGCGCACAGCTGCTGAGGGCGAGCGACGATCAAAACCTCAGGCTGCGGAGCCGGAGCCGGAGAATGAGGATCACCTGAGCCCCGAGGAAAAGCGAAAGCGCGCAATTGATCGTGCGTTGGACGCGGCCATCAAGAAGCCTGCCGGCAGCCGGCGGAAGAAGAAGGATGAGATTGATCTCGAGGACGAAATCGATGATCTTCTGGCCGAACTCAAGATTCGAATGGAGCATGCCTGCCAGGCCGACAACGAGGCACGCGAACAGGGCCAGCCTGCGCTGCACAAGCTGAAGCTGTTGCCCGACGTTACAGGCATCTTGAATCGCAACAACGTTCAACACGCCGTGTTGGACCCCGACACCAACTTCCTCCAACACGTCAAATTCTTCCTGGAGCCCCTCAACGACGGGTCGCTTCCTGCCTACAACATTCAACGCGACATCTTCCAGGCACTCACGAAGCTGAGCATTGAGAAGGAGACGCTGCTTAGCAGCGGCATTGGAAAGGTTGTCCTATTCTACACTCGCAGTAAAAAGCCTGAGGCGAGCATCAAGCGCATGGCGGAAAGGCTGTTGGGAGAATGGAGCAGACCTATTCTCAAGCGCACAGATGACTACAAGAAGCGCCACATTGAAACGCGCGACTTTGACTATCAGTGAGTATCACCTATCAATGGCTTGGAGAGCCTCGTCTAACAGTTTGACCAGGGCTGCCAAGATGGCACAGCGTGCGAAAGCCAACTCTCAGTTCAGCCTGACCCAGCGCCCAGCGCAGAAGGAAGACGGCAATCGCGCCCGGGCTGGAGGGCTGCCATCCAGCTACACTATCGCTCCACGCAGCACTTTTGAGGGCCCAGGCGGCACGGATCACCGTCCACTTGGTGCTGGCGGTATGGACGCCTTCCGCAGAATGACACAGAAGAAGAAGAAGGCTACGTAGTGGTTCGCATGTACCATAGCTGTATTGACATGGGATGGGTCGGCGTTGGGGATCAGGCATTACTTTCTCTTTATTATCGTACAAAAGCATATCATAATGATTGCGAAAACTGCTCCTTAAACGGCTGCGCGATGATGTGCGTTAACATGTCAGCACACCTTGGCCATCTGCCCACATGCAGTCAGGATGCGACCTGGTGACTGTTGCTATGCTGCGCTGCGCACACCTTACTCACCCCACGGGTCACGTTCCGGCATAAACGTCGTGCGACGTTCTGCAGCTCTGACGTCAGTATTCTTTTGCTTACCCTGGATCATTGTCTTTGTCGCAAAACTTATTACATCTTCGTTTGTAGTGGTTATTGTACAATTCAAGGAAGAAAATGCTCAGCTTCAAAGTTGTTAGAGACATTTAGTGAGGGTTGCGCTTCAGTATTGGAGCGAAATGCGACTCAACAGCGCGTGGTGCTGGTACCTGTCATTCCATGCAGGCAAGGCATTAGCAGTCATTTACCTTGCGCTTTTAGCCTTTCGGTTCTTACCAGACTATCTAATCATACTTTATTCGGAACCAGAAACTATTAAATGTACGATAAATAGCTCCTCGCTTCGTGTGGATTGGTCATAAACCCGTCGACTGGCCGTCACAAGAGTATGGTAAGGCTGGCGTCGATCTGCGCGGTTCTGGCGGCGCCAAGTCAACAGCACGTTGCCAGCCCAAATCAAAGCAATTCTTAGCGACCCCTCGATCCAGCGTCCGACGTCTCCCACCTCGGAAACAGAAATTCCCTCCAACCCACCTGAGCAACACATAAACATACCATCCGCTCGCTGCCGTTTGAGTTTTTCTCGCTTCTTGGCACGTACAGCTTCTTCCTGAAACCAAGCTCAGAGGCGCGATTGTCGTCGTGGGATCTTCTGGTAAGTGCAACTTGGCCCCAACCCGTTCGCGACGTGCGTACAGACAGGCTGGTCGCAACGAGCGCCAGATGCTGTGATGCGACCTGCACTAAGCCACCCCGACGCGCGCATCGCTGGTACATGGTTCGAGGCATCGTCTTTGCATCTACACACTCTCACGATCAATAAAACTTTACTGTCAAAAAATCCCACGTCGCTGACGCTGATTCCAGCTACTGGCTGCCGTCCAAAGACCTACCGGCACTATAGACCTCGACAGCGTTCACGAATAGACTCACCGCAACCATCACACCTGTCATTGAGCCGTCTTATATACATCGTTCAGTTCCAAGAATATTCCGTTCTTACGAAAGCTGTCCTGCACGACGTCCAATCCTCAACTTTTACGCTGTCCCGCCGCCGCCGCCGCTTCAACGTCGTGCGTTACAAGACCTCAAGCACATCGAAGACTACGATTTCGACCGATTTCATTGTCGATTTCGACTCATACTGCAATATATTCCTATATCCTAGCGGCGCCTGCACGATTTGAATACGAATCTCCCGACTTGACGCGCCGGACTTGCCCATCACGCACACGATAAATGACGCCAAGATGAACGGCGAACAACCCACCGACGAGCAGAAGCCGCCTCTAGCGACGCCTGCCGACAGCACCAATGGCGAGAGCCTCGCCGCGAAGAAAAAGAAGAAAGAGGCCTTGAAACCGATCGTCACAAACGATGCTCCGACCAAACAAACAGGGTATGTGCAAATCTTCCATTGCCGTTGAGGGTTGCCTTTTGCATGGAGCCTTCATTCCTCTCCATGGATTATCACCCCGCAAACAGCCCAATCCGAGATTCACCCCTGATTTAGCGAGACACGGGGCTGCATCCACGCAAATGTTTCTGCATTGCGGCTTGCGAAGAGCCCCGTGTCTCCAACATGGCGGACGGCTCTTTAAACCTGGCCTTTGCCTAGTGCATTTCATGGCGATAGCAGTAGCATCGGCATGAGCTTGCCCGGTGTCGTTCCAGTGACGAGTGCCCAGCCGACACCTGCGAGCTAAACCTGAGATAGTGTCTGTGACGGTATCTCTCGCGCAAAGCACATCAGGCAGTGTCCAGACAGGATATTGCCATCTCAATCCATTTGCTATCAAGCAGAAAGCTGGGGATGGCGAAATCGTGCACCCAGCTGGGGCGCTAAGTGGCGCGCCGGACAGTGATTGCATATTGATGAGGGGACCGGAAGCGAGCGGTCGCATGCGGGATTGGCTGGCGCTGCCCAAAGGCGGTCCCTGTTTCTGCGTTGCAGAGGCGCCGATTGCGCGGACCTTTCGCCCACGGCTCGAGTACTACACTGCTGCTACCTTACCTTACTCTGAACGACTCAAACACCCAGCCCTCTCTCCCAGTCCTTGCTCGATACCACTTCTGCGCTGCTTTCTACTACGTTGGGCATCGCTGGCATCGCCCATCTTCACCTGCTTTATTTCCTTTTCTGCATAGACATTCTCCTCTCCTTATGTTTTTGGGCCACTGTCACGACAGCGACATTGTACTTGTTTGAAATCGCTCGCGCTTCGACATTATACCGACTGTCAGAGTCTTTTCCGAAACAGCACGCACCTGACCCCCCAGCGCGCACCTCACCTTCGGCGTTCTGTCGTACACCTCAATACCACTTTGCCTCTGCGACATCGCTTTGTGCGAAGAGCACCCATGTAAATGGGCACTATGAGTTTCCTCAAGACAAGGTTGCCAAGCCACCTCTCACGAGTTGCACAACAACCCTTCATGGCCCCTCCCATACCCACCAGTCCGTGATAGGCTGGCTTCTGTCAGGACATATCGCACGTCAGCATCATCTTCAAGCAGATCGAAGTCGGTCTTGCGAATGCCCTGCGCTTCATGGGCGACGCCCCGCCACCCCTCTTTGGCGCCCATGCCCCACCGCCACTCGCATGGACAATTGCACTTTCATCCTCAAGGCCGCGTTACTGACATTTTCCTGAAACCGCAGAACACAGCAATTTGCTCAGACAATGGCACAATCGCCATCTGCATCATCCGTCGACGAACCCGCCGAGGCGACTGCGGACGAGGAGGATTCCGAAGATTACTGCAAGGGTGGGTATCACCCTGTGCAAGTAGGAGAAAACTACAAGGATGGAAGATATACGATTGTGCGCAAGCTGGGCTGGGGCCACTTCTCGACAGTGTGGCTGTCGCGGGACAACAACAATGGAAAACACGTGGCCCTGAAGGTGGTTCGGTCTGCGGCGCACTACACCGAGACGGCAATCGACGAGATCAAGCTCCTGAATAAGATTGTCCAAGCAAAGCCACACCATCCCGGCCGGAAACACGTCGTCAGTCTTCTCGATTCTTTCGAGCACAAGGGCCCGAACGGAACGCACGTCTGCATGGTCTTCGAAGTGCTGGGAGAGAACTTGCTGGGGCTTATCAAGAGGTGGAACCACAGGGGTATTCCTATGCCACTGGTCAAGCAGATCACGAAGCAGGTACTCCTGGGGCTGGATTATTTGCATCGCGAATGTGGCATCATCCACACCGATCTGAAGCCAGAGAATGTGTTGATTGAAATTGGCGATGTTGAGCAGATTGTCAAGAAGGTTGTCAAGAACGAGCCTGCAGAGAAGGAAAAGGAGAACAACCGCAACGGGAGAAGACGACGGAGGACGTTGATCACAGGCAGCCAGCCCCTTCCATCGCCTCTTAACACGGGGTTCAACCACAACAACCTCTTCTCCCAGTCCAGCGCTCAGGCGAGTCTGGCGGGCATGCTCAGCGAGAGCAAGCCATCCGGTTCATCGCCAAAGGCGACAGAAGAGGCACAGAAGCAGCGAGAGAAGAGCGCGTAAGTTGGATTCGCGCCCGCGATCGATTCAAATGTAACTGACATGTGTGTCACAGTGACGTGCTCTCGCGAGAGGTCTCGGGGATTTCGCTCGACAAGAACAGCTCACCATCGGCGGGCGAAAAGAGGAAGGCAGAGGAGACTTCACTCGAGGTGATCAGCGTCAAGATTGCGGATCTTGGCAACGCTTGCTGGGTGAACCACCATTTCACAAACGATATCCAGACGAGGCAGTACCGGTCTCCAGAGGTCATCTTGGGCTCAAAATGGGGTGCCTCCACAGATGTCTGGAGTATGGCGGCGATGGTAAGCTTCCCCAGGACTCTCGCGCCCTGCCGTCTGATCTTGTCCGCTAACAACAGCAGGTATTCGAGCTGATAACGGGCGACTACCTGTTCGATCCGCAATCGGGCACGAAATACGGCAAAGATGATGACCACATAGCCCAGATTATTGAACTGCTTGGGCCGTTCCCCAAGTCCCTCTGCCTGAGTGGTAAGTGGAGCCAGGAGATATTCAATCGCAAGGGCGAGCTGCGCAACATCCACCGGCTGCGGCACTGGGCACTGGCCGACGTCCTGCGCGAAAAATACCATTTTAAGGAAGATGAGGCGAAGCGCATTTCGGACTTCCTCACTCCTATGCTCGAGCTGGTGCCGGATAAGAGGGCCAATGCTGGCGGCATGGCGGGGCATCCGTGGATGGAGGACACGCCAGGCATGAAGGGCATGAAGCTGGAGGGGCTGGAGGTTGGAGCCCGCGGCGAGGGAATCGATGGATGGTCGACGGAAGTGCGGAAGCGTTGAATGGATGGATACACGACGGTGAAGCGCGGAACAGATGTCAGATACTAGGCTGATGTATGGCTTCCATTGTGCAATACATCATCTGTTACGTTTCCTGCAAGGCAACCGTGGACGAGAAGCGTTTTTGCCTGGGCTATGTCCCTGGCTCACGTCGGAAATTCGTGATTAGACTTCGTGCTTGCAAAAAACCCCCTGCCTTGCTTTTCTTCAGTCTATTACTCGTATCTCGTCATGCGACACTCTCTATTCTGGCCAACTCACTTGGACAGCCTGCTTCTCCGTTTCTTGACCGTGGCAGCGGGACTATCTCCAGCTTCTGCCGCATCACTGCTGCTGTCGCTGACGGGCATATCCTCTGCAGGTTCTTCCGTCTGCTCGCCAAGAACTTCTCGCACGATCCGATGCCCTTCGTCCTCAGCGACTTCCCCATTCATGGCACCGCATGCCATGCATCTCCATTTGCCAATTTCTGCGAGCGTCTTGACACCTGGCGGTGCTTGCCCGTTCACAAGGCGACATTGGCTGCAAAGGAGGACGATGCGATTCTTGGGCGCCGTCTCATCCTCGCCGAGCAAAACGTCGAACACGCGGTCGTACCAGTGCGATTCGGGCGGTTGATGTGGTGGCTGCTGGTGCTGGTGGGCCAGGGGCGGCATCTGGGTGTACTCGGCATTGGGCGCGAACTCGGCGTTGGCCTCCTCCATCGCCTGCGGTCGCGAGCGGTGCTGCTGCTGAGGTACGTCCGTTCTTCTCTGAATGTTCGCGGTGGGAGGCGGTGGCATTGTCGTCCGGCTGGGAGCCGGACCTTGCGGATGCTTGCCTGTCTTGCCATCGTTGGCCTTTGCGGTGTCGTCTCCGCCGTCGCCAGCAGCCTTCTTCTTGCCCTTTCCAGATTTGCCATCTGCCCCGCCGTACTTCTCAATGAGCTCCATCGTGGAGTCATACTTGGTCGCGTCCTTGAGCTTCTGGATCGTCTTTGCTCGTTCCTCTTGCTGCTCTTTAAGCTTCTGAGAGAGGGAGTCGATTCGCAGGTTGAAGTACCCGGTTGTCAGCCTTCTAGTAGCATAGATCCTAGCCAAATCAGCCATTGTGCCCGAGCTGCTTCTTGCGCAATGAATTCCTACAAGACGGGACCGCCTGCCATTGCTGTCCACTCGTACGCGCCCATGCGATTATATCCCACCACGGCAATCATAACGACGGCGTAGACAAGGAAGGCAAAGGTCATGTAGAGCGTCCATAGTACCTTGACCCGTCGGGCGCGCGAGCGCAGTTTGTCGAGATGCGCTTGGTTGGCGGCGATCTTTGTGGAGAGGTTCGAGAGAGTCTTTTCGAAGGATGCCGTGTCGGAGGACTCGCCCTGCGGGAGAAGTTAGCAGGCAGGCACATTCCAGAAAGGCAGGCGGATGCGAACCCTCCAAGGCCAGAAGGAGACCATGGCGATCAGGGACTGTAGGCGTGCGCTGCGGGATCTGGCTTGGACTTGGTTTGTGTGAGTCGAAACGCTCCGAGGATGAGCGCTGTGGCTACGCGCACAGTTGGAGCAGCTCTGCACCGTTCCGGAAATGGTGAAGAGGCGAGTGCGGCGGTGACCTCACTGGTGAACTGGTGAGCTCGTGACGTGTGGCTACGATCTCGAATTGAGCCACGTGTACGTATCCGTGGATCTAGTAGACAAAGCACCAGCCACACTCAAGGTCCGCTGGCTGGCAGCGTGAGGTAGCGTACCTTAGCTATCCATACCCAGGTCCGCTCTCCCCAGGAATCCATCTCCGAGTTCACTTTGATTCACACTTCACACATTCCTTATTGGTGGCAAGCTCTGTTTCACCATGCTGCGATTGCTCTTCTAAAAGTTTCTTTCATTCCCTTAGTACTATTTCCCTTCTAGCTGGTGTGTACCAGCGGTCCTTTGTCGTTGCCATTGAGCGAGGCGTGAGACGGCCGCGCCAGCAGGGGATACATCATGTTTTCGCGCATCCGTGGAGCGATCGACCGGACTATTGCCGAAGAGCAGGCGCGTCAGAAGGATCAAACGTCCCAAGGCGTCTCTCGATCCGGTTCGACTTCGTCGCGAACGAGCGCCAGCGGTGCGAAACGTCCGAAGCCAAAGTCCGCGAGCAACGACGCCAGCAAAGCGGACGATGCGCCCAACCCTGACCCTGCAGTCTTTGAGGCAGCATTTGTCATTGATGATAGCGACGACCCGAGTCGCGCGGGGACACCGAAGCCACAGACGAGCGAGGCGGGCGGAAATGGCTTGGATAGCGTGAAGGACGATGGCGAAGAGGAGAAGGCTGCTGAGGGAGCAGATGGCAAGGCTCAAGATGACAGCGAGAAAAAGGAGGGGGAGAAAGACGAGAGCGCAAAGGCACAGTCAAAGGCAGCCGACACTGCTGCCGCGCCCTCGACGGAGCTACCTCCAGACATCAAGCAGAAACTACGAAAGCTCGAGAAGCTGGAAGCCACCTATCCAGAACTGCTACGATCGTACCGCGTTGCGCATCGTCGCGCGACCGCCATTGAGCCGTTCGAGAGGGCGCTTCGTGAGAACACGCCCTTGACTTCCATTGGCGATCCAAACGCTCTGACTGAGTATCTCAACCAACTGAACTTACGGAGCGACATGGTTATGCAAGAACTGAAGCGGGTGTCAGCAGAGAATGATGAGCTCAAAAAGTCACACGAACAAGACGAGGAGAAGATCAAGAAGCTGGAGGCTGATCTGGAAGCGGCAAAGGGCGGGAAGCCTGTCGAAGAGACTGGCGAGCCTCAGGTCGAAGCTCCGCGACAATCCGTGGATGACAAGGCGGTTGCGCCCGAAAAGGTCAGATCGCCCGTGCTTTCCGTCATGGGCATGTTCTCTCCTAAGCAGAAGGCTGCCCAGCAGGAGGCTACGAAGGGAGACGGTGATCTCTTCTCCTACGATGAAGAGCTCCCGCAACTACAGGCAGACTTGGCTTCTAGGGACGAGGAGATTCAGACTTTGCGCAAGGAGGTGGACGGTCTCAAGGGTGAGCTGTCTGTTGCCAAGGAGAGCAGCACAGAACTGGCGAACAACTTGGAAAAGGTGGAGAAGGAACTTACCGGATCCAAGGATGCTGCTAGCTCGCGAGAAAGCTTGCAAAAGGAACTCGAGGCGCGAAACAGCGAAATTGCCAGGTTGAACGAGCGCTTGGAAGCCTCGCAATCGCAAATCAAGGCATTGGAAGCAGACCTGGCATCCGAGACCAAAGCTCTGTCCGCCAAGGTGAAGGAAGTCGAGGCGTCGCTGGCTACGCAAACAAAGCAGGTTGCCGACTCGGAGGCTGAGGTGACCAAGGCGAACCAGGCGAAGACAGTCACCAAGAAACTGATTGACGACCTCAACACCCAGATCAAGAGCCTCGAAAAGGAAAAGACCGAAAGTGAGAGGAAGATCACTGAGCTGGCCAAGAAGCTCGAGAGCCAGCCCGAGACTGCGTCCAAGCCTGTCGAGCCAGCCGCAGCATCCAAACCAGCGGCTCTTGCGGCTCCGGCTGCTGGCGGTGGAAACAGTAAGAAGAAGAACAAGAAGAAGAAGGGCAAGGGTGGCGCTGTAGCTGGGGGACAGCAGGCCGAGGAAGTGTCCGAGGCCCCCGAGCCGGCAGCCGCCGCTGCTGAAGCTGTCGACAGCGGTGCTCTGGAGGCTGAGATTGCGAAACTGAAAGACGACGTGTCAGAGAAGGATGCGCAGATCGAGAGGCTGTCCAAACAGCGCAAGACGGAGGAGGACCTCAGCGAGGAAATCGAGTCTCTTCGAGACGACCTCCTAAACATTGGACAGGATCACGTTCAAGCCAAGGAGAAGATCAAGACGCTTGAAGCCGAGAAGGCAGAGCTCAAGGGAGAAATTGCCGACCTCGAGAAGAAGATGAGCACGTCTGCTGCCTCTGATGTCAAGGCCAACCAACACAAGGAAGAAATGGAGAAGCTCCAAAGGGAGTATGACGATCTCAAGGAGAAGTCGTCGACGCTGCAATCTGATCTCGGTGCGGCGCAGCAGTTGGCGCAAACTCGCTTTAAAGACTTGAGTGATCTGCGCGAAGTGCTGCAAAAGGCGCAGCCGGAGCTGAAAACGCTACGACAGGAGTCTGCTACCCTGAAGACGACAAAGGAAGAGCTGGCGACCAAGTCGAAGGAGCTAAAGGACGCAGAGAAGAAGGAGAAGGATCTCAAGCGGGATCTGACGCGAGCGCAACAGCAGGCCTCGGAGCGTGAGACCGAGGTCCAGAGCCTGCAGCAGAAGCTCACGGCTGAAGGTACCGCCAAAGCCCGCCTGGAGGATGAGAAGCGTGCCGCGGGGCGTGACCTCCGCAAGGTCGAAGGGGAGAAAGCAGAGCTTGCCACACGCGCAGAGGCCGCCGAGAAGGAACTAGCCAAGGTGCAAGAAGAGGTCAACCAGCTGCGACCTCGGGTGAAGGAGCTCGAGGAGCAGATGCACAAGCTACGCAGGGAGAAGACGGCGGCGCAGGAGGAAGTCGACTTTAAGACGCAGCAGTACTCAAATGCTCAGGGGTTGCTGAGCAGCATGCGAGACCAGACAACGGAAATGTCGGTGCAGCTGAAGGAGTCCAAGTCGCAGTCCGAGGCCCTAGAGGAGGAGCTGGCCGAAGTGCAGCGTCTGCTCCAGGAGCGTAGCCGCGAGGGCGAGACGATGAGACGTCTGCTCGCCGACGTGGACGAGCGTGCGGACGCCAAGGTCCGGGACATGCGATCGCGGATGGAATCTGCCATCGAAGAGAGAGACCGCATCGAGGACGAGTCGAGCACCCTGGCCAGACGCAAGGCTCGGGAGACGGAAGAGCTCAAGGGTAAGATCCGTGAGATGGAGCGCGAGGTCAAGACCCTGACCCGCGAGCGCGAGGAGCTCGAGGAGAGGGAGAAGGAGTGGCGTCGCCGACGAGAGGAGCTGGAGAGCGTGGAAGAGAAGGCCGAGGCGGAGACGGCCGAGATGCGCTCCACCGTCACGCAACTTCGGAGTGCCCTGGACGCGAGCGAAAGCCAAGTGCGCGACGCTGAGAAGCAGCGCACCGAGCTGAGGAAACTCCTCGACGAGGCGCGGCAGCGTTACGAGCGCACGCACAAGGAGCTCAAGGGGACACAGGCACGTCTCATGGCCGGCGCCGGGTCCAGTCGAAGCTCAATCGACTCGAGCAGGAGCGGACTGACGGCGAACGGGGGAGGCAACTCGTCGCCGGGCGGGGCCGACTTGATGTACCTGAAGACGATTCTCCTCCAGTTCCTGGAGCAGAAGGACGGGAAGCTGAGAGCGCAACTGGTGCCTGTCCTCGGCAAGCTTCTCAAGTTTGACAAGTGAGTTTGATTGGATATCCGTCTGGGTTCATTTGATACTAACAGCCCTGCAGAACGGATGAGGCGAAATGGCAAAGTGCTGTGCAGCATATTGAGGTCCGGTGATAGAGAGTTTTGGTTTGGAACATTGTACGTATAGAGAACCTGTCGTCGATATCTACAGCGAAAGCAGTGCATTGTACATGTTATGACAGCCAGAGACATTGTCTGGGATCTCTAACCTAGGATGAATCAGGCGAATTCGGGGCCAATCGTATGCTACAGTGACTTGTCTCCCATCTCTTGTCAGGGTGGACGCTGAGCACGAAGTTGAGGCTGGTGTTGGCGAAGGGTCTGCAGTCATCACCGAGCCAGGCAGGGATACCTCCTCTTCACCGCGGAGCGTATCTCATTCTTTCGAGCCCTCCGATTGTCTTGAAGGTTTTGCTAACAACAGCACGAGACACAGGACAGCCTGGGAGGGCCCTCCCACACTTCGGCAACCCGTCGCACGCCCCATGGTTGCTGGGCAGGGCAGGGCAGCCATTGACATCGCGGGGCCTAGAGTCCAGACCGAGTGCACTGCCACCTGATCGATCACCAGGAGGGATGGCCGTGAGAGGGCGTTCCTTGAAACTTGAGGCTCATTGAAGCGTCCAGTGGCAGATGACCATGTCAGCCCCTAGGGTGATCTCTCCAAGATCCGACAGCCTCGCGTCATCGCCGAGGTCGTTGGCGGCATCATCCTTGGTCCTTCGGTCATGGGTCGCATCCCAGGGTTCCAAGACAGTATCTTCCCGCCAGACTCCATCCCGGGACTGACTCTTGTGGCCAACCTTGGCTTGGTGCTCTACCTGTTCCTGATTGGTCTCGAGACGGATGTGCGCTTTCTCATCAACAACTGGCGTGTCGCGTCCGCCGTCGCTTTTGCTGGTTTGGCACTGCCGTTTGCCCTTGGGTCCGTGCTGGCTTTGGGGCTGTACAACCAGTTTCGCGATGAGCCAGGTATCGTGCCCATAGAGTTCGGCACGTAGCTCCTCTTCATTGGCGTGGCCATCGCCATCACGGCTTTCCTGGTCCTTTGCCGCATCTTGACCGAGCTGCACCTGCTGGTATCATCACCCTTTCGGCAGGCGTCGCAAACGACGTGATCGGTTGGATCCTGGTCGCGCTCTGTGTCACACTCGCCAACTCGGGTAACGGCCTGTCCTCGCCATGGATTCTTCTCGCATGCCTTGGGCACCTGCTGTTCCTCCTCTATGACGTCCAGCCGGCCTTGCGCGGGCTTCTGCGACGTACTGGCAACATCGACAACGGCCCCTCGCGGAGCATGATCGCCCTGATCATTCTGATTGCACTGGCCTCGGCCTTTTTCACCGCCATCATCGGCGTCCATGCCATCTTTGGGGGAGTTCATGGTGGGACTCGTCGTGCCGCGTGACAAGGGGTTTGCCATCAAGGCCACGGAGAAGCTGGAGGATCTCATCGGCGCGCTGTTCTTGCCGCTCTACTTCACGCTCTCCGGTCTCAAGAAGAAGGGCTTGGTCGAGCTGATCGTCCCTGAACATTGGCCTCCAGGCCAGGATCCTCAGCACCCGAACATTTACCATCTTTGTCGTCATGACGCTGCTGACAACATTTGCCACGACGCCCTTGGTCACTTATCTCTATTCTCCGTGGTACCAGAAGAAGCTTGCGGCATGGAAGCGTGGCGAAATCAGCTGGGATGACAGTTCGACGGCCCAGGATGGTAAAAGCGTTGCGCAGCAGAATTTGCCGGCGAGCAACCACGTTGGGCAGGTACCCGTCTACCTACGTCTTGATACCATGCCCAGTCTGCTCAGCCTCGTCTCGCTCTTTGGGATGACCGCCGACTCTGCTGGTGGCACTGGCTTGAACGAGAAGTCCCCTCACCATACTCCTCCGGTAGTGTGCCCTGTCCGAGCCCATGGTCTGCGTCTCATTCAGCTCGGTGACCGCGACTCCTCTGTCATGTCCGTCTCAGACGTCGACGAGTACACCAAAAGCGATACGGTCGTCAACACATGGCGCACCGTTGGGCCGATCCTCAAGGTGGTCGTGTCGGGTGAGGTGGCTACCATGCCGGAAAGCCGCCTTTCCTAGGCTCTCCTGGCCAAGTCCAGTGGCATTAAGTCGGACCTCTTGATTTTCCCATGGAGTCGCACAGGCATGCTTGGTGACACACAGCTGATGACGGACGGCAAGCTTGCGTCGTCCTATATCCCCTTTCCCGCCACAATCCTCGACTCCGTGGCGGAGAATGTTGCCATCTTCTTTCCCCAAGGCAGTGTTTCTCGAGACGTCGCCCGCGCACCGGAGCACAGCCCGCTGACGCGCGCGCCTACTCGTTCAACGACATCCACCGTAAGATACAGCCAATCCCTGTCAAACACCACGCGCAGCGCATCGTATTCCAATTCTCGCCCAGAAATGACGCTGCGGAGGAGCTCGTCGTGTCTGCCATGGGGCCCCTGTGCGAGGACTCGGGGGATGTATCCTACAACAACCTCATCGTCCTCGGACGGCATGGATCCTCCGGGAAGCTGTCGCGCGGCGGCAAGTACACCGTGTCGGCATCGCCTGCTCTGGTGGAGTGTCTGGGGGATGCCGACACGGTGTACTGATCAGCGCCTCTGTCAAGGCGGAGAGGATATGCTGATTGTCCAGGCTCGTGCGTCTCGCCCGTGAGACTTGTGCATTGCAAGTTGAGTACTGGCACGGCGGGCTAGCATCTGCAATTGAATCGTCGGCCATCTGCGCATGAGAAGTCGGCGTATCTGTTGGTCATTATTGCATTACGTCTCAATACCTATCCTGCGCCTCGATTCACACGCCCAATGCTCCCCCTTGCGGCACGCCCTGCCGGGTAGTATCCAGTGTACTCTGCGAGTCGTACGACACCTCGACCTCGTCTGTCCGCATAATCCCCTTGTCCATCGAGGCGATGCCTTTGGCCGGCCTGGAGAAATTCCGCATGCTGCCAATGTCGCCCGCTTCGACGTCGCCCGTGGCCGACAAGGTGCTGCCGTCCCTCTTTCTGATGCGCGGCACAAGCTCGAGGCTGTCCGAGTCGACCGTGGGATCGCCCACCCCTTGGGAGTGCACGGAGGTATAGGTACGGCAGGCCGCGGAGGCGTCCAGATCGCGACGCTTGCTGGGGTTGGACTTGAAATACCCGTCCCTGGTGGTGCGCCTCACCGAGGTGCGGAAGGGGTTGCGATGGAAGATCCACTCCATGAGCGGGGAGAGGACGGGGATGGTGCAGGCGATGATGATGGTGGTGCCCTCGATAATGGTCCAGATGATGAGATCTGACGAGTCGTCTGCCAAGGTGTCAGCAATCTGTGAGAACAAGCGGCAGCACCAGAGGCAAGCCAGGAGAGACGTACGTACACGAAAAGTCGGGACTCGCGAGGCCGCTCGGTATGCGCGTGGTCTTGAAGATGGCCACGGCGCCGGACACGCAGCCGATGCCGAGGGCGACGACGAGGGCAATCTTCTTCTGCAGCTTGAGCTGGAGCTTGAAGAGGACGACGGCCGGGTAGACGGCGAGGTAGACGTCGACAAAGGCGGAGAAGGTACCCGCGTAGAGGGAGAAGTCGACAATGATCTTTGGGTCGACGCAGCGGCCCTCGATATCCTGCCTCCACAAGGACTCGGTCGGCTGGCACTGCCCGAGCAGCGTGCCCACGGTGGCGCCCAGGGTGCCGAGACACCAGATGGCCAGGAACCAGAGGAAGTAGCCGTGCCACCTGGACGGGTTCATGAGTCTGGTGAGCAGGCGGACGACGGCCAGCTTGGGGAGCCCGAGGCAGAGGACGGCAGGGCAGAAGGCGGCTGTCGTCCAGAGGGTGACGCGCTCCTTCTCCGACGACGTGAGGAGGGTCAAGTGTCGTCCATTACCAAACCCCACGGCGACGGTGGTCAATGCTGTTGCGAGAATGCCGCATATCTGGCAGGACATGGCGTGTCAGTCTGGTCTGGCCTGACCGCGTGCGTGTCCTACCACGAGGAAGACTTACCGTACCCGCTATACACCAGTAGTCGTCGCTCCGAAGCTTGCTGTACATTTTGAGCCGCACGAGAACTCGCGCGGCCGTGAAGACGAGCGCCAGGGCCATAAACAGCCAGCACGTGGCGAGGATGATGGGTCCCTTGTCCTGCGCGGCCCAGGCATCGTACTCGTCTGTGCCGACGGGCGGGTGCGCGATCTCTGGCTCGACCATTCTGTGTGTCGCCCATGAAGGGGCCTCCTCTGCTGATGAAGGAGGAGTCAATGTTCCTCAGTTAGAAGGGGGCAGACTGGCAGACAGGCAGACAGACAGGCAGACAGACAGGCAGACAGACAGACAGACAGCAAGGACTGTGCCATGCAGCTGATGGTCTTGCTAATGTTGGGTTCTTATCCATGCCATGGTCACGCTGGGGCTCGCCCATTGGCAAGACTGGGTCACTCGCTGGGTAGGCAAAGACTATCGACAGGCCTTGGTCAATGGTCATTCTCCGCGGCCGGATGCTGAAACCCGGACGTTCAACACTACAGGGGTTTCTGTCTGGTTCAGGGGATCATCCCCACAACCGCCGCGACCCGGCCGCATCGTGATGAGCCCCGGGCCCTGGTACGCCATACTATGCAGGGACGGAGCAATCCTCCCTATGACTCTGCATAATCCAACTGCCGAACCGTTTCACTCAACCGGCACGGGATATCAGACGCAAGACGTATTGTTGCTATCTGGGCTCGCTCGAGCGACTGACATGTAGGCCTCGCTAGCAATGGAGCTATACAATCGAGGGCGCTGTCTATACTATGAAGGCCCCATCTCCCCCATGTGGTCATTGCTCCGCGAAGACCAATTGTGTGCAGACTCCCAGTGAACAATGGGGCTGTCAGATATGAGGTGTCATTGGGGACGACGCCAAGAGCTTGGTGGCCCCGGGGGAGCCCCTGATCTTGACCAAGGTGGCAGGAAGAGTGGTCATGGTGTTGAGTCCATGAGCCTTCTTGGCAGGTGGCATTCAACTTCGCAAGCCTCAGCTAATTAATGAGAGGACGACATGGTTCAGACAACCAACCAGACGGGCCTGATGCGAGCGGGGGACCCGGCGAATGCGGCGCTGCGGCTCAACTAGCTTGCAGTTCAATCCCACTATCGACACAAGTCGTGACTCGTACTGCAGCAACTGCATGGTTGGCGTCGACATTGGCAGTTCTCGCCTCTGGCTGGAGTCTGGACCTGGTCTGTGGAGATGATGAGCGCGACTACTCGCTGGACTAACAAGAGTGCTAGCATCACGTGCACACGCGACGGTACCGGTATTTACATCATGTTATACTCTGTACTGTGGGACATGTACGGCGTTGACCAGGGGCAGCCAGTCAAAGGTGGCTGTTTTCCCTGTCGGCTTGAAGTCATCATGGCGTCGGAAAGTGTACAGCAATCACACAAAGCTGGTGCTTTCGCACAGCAGAGCAAGCTAGCGTCTGCAGACAGTATCCATTCACATTCCCTCGCTTATCATCAACGCTCTCATAACTCGTATCCGGGCGAGCGATGGCCGTGGTGGTGGTCCTTTGCGCCCAGACCACCGCGTCGTCTTACTCCCTCTCGTCGTGGATGGCCTCGAGATCCTTCTCCTTGTCGTTGATCTCGACGGTGGTGGCAACATTCTGCCCAGTCGGGATCTTGCGACCCTTGAGCTGGCCGATGACGGTCTTGAAGGTGGACTGGGCGAAGAGCATGTCCATCTCCTCGAGGGTGACGCCTGGTACGAGTCAGTATAAGCAACGAAAAGAAAAAGGAAGGAAAACGCACCCTTCGTCTCAGGCACAAACAGAAAGGCCCAGACGCCCATGCCGACCAGGATGCCGGCAAAGACAAAGTACGTCCCGTAGCCGAGCCCCGTGATCATGTACGGTGTGAAGCGCGCGACGATGAACGAACCGAGCCACGTGTCCGCCGTGGTGATGGCCACGCAGAGCATGCGGATGTCGAGGGGGAAGATCTCGGACGCGTACGTCCAGGTGATGCCCTGCCAGGTGGCGCAGATGATGAAAGCATTGAGGTAGACGGCCGCCATGGCGACGTAGCCGCCCGCATCGCGCTGCGTCGCACCGGCCGCCGCAGCACCGGCCGGATCCGCGCGCATGACATAGCCACCAAGGTAGAACATGGGGATGCAGCCAAGGGCCGCGCCCCAGAGGAGACCGTTGCGGCGCCCGACCTTTTCGACCACGAGGAAGGTGAAGGTGCACATGCCCAGGGTCTTGAAGCAGCCGTAGAGGCCGGTGGAGAAGAGCTTGGTGCTGGTGCCCGTGATGCCGAGGGTCTCAAAGATGCGGGGCGCGTAGTAGGTGATAATGTTGACGCCGGTAAAGGACTGGAGGAACATGAGCAGCATGCCGACGGCCATGCGGTTGCGGGTGCCCTTTTCGAAGAGCTTCTTGAACTGCTGCCTGCGGCTCAGCTGCATGACGGAGCGCCGCTCGACCTGGGCGCGGATCTCGCCGAGCTCCTGGCGGATGTAGTGGTGGTCGGCGGGCAGGCTGCGGAGCATGCAGAGGACGGACTCGGCCTTGTCGAAGCGGTCCTTGCGGGCGAGCCAGCGGGGGGACTCGGGGCAGAAGAAGATGCCGCTGGCGAGGAGGACGCCCGGCAGCAGCTGGAGGGCGAGGGGGATGGTCCACTGGGCGAGGGAGGCGTCCGGGATGGTCTGGGACGTGGCGTAGTTGATCCAGAAGCCGAGCATGCCGCCGCCCTGGGAGGCGATTTCGAAGATGCCGACGAGGCGCCCGCGGATGGAGGGCGGCGCCGTCTCGGAGATGTAGACGGGGACGCACATGGAGGTGGACCCGATGCCGAGCCCGGCAATGGCGCGGCCGGCGATGATGAGGTTCATGTTGCCGCGCGCGGCGGTCATGAGGGTGCCGCCGAGGAGGAAGACGAGCGAGGCGCAGAAGATGGTGAGGCGACGGCCCAGGCGCTCGGCAAAGGGGAAGGTGATGAGGGCGCCAAAGAAGCAGCCAGCCTGGAAGGTGGACACAATGTTGCCCTGGATCGTGTCGACCTGGTTCTGGGGGCGTTCGTTGAGCCTAAAGTCGTCGCGGAACGAGTTGAGCGCCATGGTGCCGCCGATGACGGCGGTGTCGTAGCCCACTGGTGGTGTGTCAGTGGTTTTGAGAGAGAGAAAGAAAAAAGGGGGAGGGGAGCGAGCGAGCGAGCGAGCGAAGAAGAGAAGGAAACATACTGGCCAGAGCCGACATGGAAGCCACCAGGGCGATGAGATGGATCTTCCAGTTGCGGACCTCGGGAGGGTCATTGGTCCCCGAAGCGTGTGTATTCCACCCCATAACGGCGTTTGTTCACGTTCACGGCAAGCACTGCGTTGAGGTTGGTGGATCTGTTGAGAGTGGCCCGGACAGCACTTGACTGTTGTGGAGGTGGATGTGCTGTCGAGAAGACGAGACCTTGCTGGTCCTTGTGGATGAGAGTCCTTGCTGATGACAAACGAACTAATCGACGACCCGGGCGAGGAAGAGAGGTCCAGGGAGGGATGCTTCGAGTGAAGATGATCCAGAGGGGGCACGAAGGAAGATCTTTATACGTTCGAGCTCAGATCCACGGTGGCATGGCCGAGTGCAGTAGATCTTCCTCGCCGGCTGGATACAATACCTCGACCAGTACAGGGAGAACACGGGCGATCCACCGTCATGGAGCATGGAGTGCATGCAGGCGAGCCATCCCGCATGGTCCTGTGCTGCTCTGGGGGAGGAGGAGGACGAGGGTCCAGAGAGAGGAGGGTCCAGCTTGGGCTACCACTACCGAGACGAATGATAATTAACCCCGCTCCAGTCAAGAGAACGATGAAGAGCGGATCGTACGCGTGCGCGGCCCTGGCCGACCCCGTGGGGGATGATGGATTCGTCTGTGATGCCAGAGCCAGACCAAGCGTCGGGATACGGGGGCGGAGTCTGGATACGACGTTGAAGGGCATCCTTGGCCAAGATCGACGGGAGTTGACCGTGGCGGCCTCACCAGTGACTTTGTGATTGGTCGTGTGGCACGAGATGTCCAAGGCTTCTCTTGCATCGCAGACTGACCTCGAAGGTGTTGGGCAGGGGTCGGTCATTCGACGAAACCCCAACCCACCTAATCAAACGAACTTGTCCAACGACGACGAGGCAATGTAGCATCAGGCCCCTGTTACTCTGTTTTTAAGCTTCTCCGCACTGGCAGGGCGATCAGCATATCGGTTCCCGCGGAGGCGAGATACTGTAGATGCTGGACATTACATTCTTAGCGCCGACCTTTATTCCTCTGCTTGATGCCAACCAGAGGGAGGCCCTGAATCTTCTCGCCGGTCTCGACATGAACGTCTTCTGTTTGCTTGCCATCCTCAGACTGCGAGAACCATCGCTTGTCCCTGTCGAGTAGGTGTAGCGACTCGGCCAGTCAGTTTGTCATCACATGCACTGACTCGGTCAGTCCCTCCACGACGCGTCCGTCGACAATGAACGCCCAGCAGTCAAGAAGCCACCGCCCGCATGCCGGTGCCAGTACCGGCCTCGGGACGCCTCATTCTGATTCCGCCTATCACCATTCAAGTTCCCGCCTTCAGACTTTCGGCCTTTGACCGAAGAATCCGCACTCCCACATGAGTGGCGCCCCGGTTCCCCCGCCCTCCCCAGAGACCCCTGCCCGGACCTTGCGCGGGCCCAGCACATCGAGTCGAGGCCTCTGGCGACCGTAGTCCGTACCCGTAGTCTGTACGCGTACGACGGAGGGAGACCACCAATGTTTCCGACCTTGTATATAAGCTTAAATGTCGATGGAGACCAGCTTCGACTGCGAGTCTGTGGCCTCGCCAGTCTCATTACCTGAGCATTACGGAGCAGCACCCGTGCGGCAGATAGATGGTTACCAACAGACCAACCTCCAACCTCATTGTCGGTTCCTAGTAGTACGCGCCGACTTTCCATCTCTGGTCTCTGCGCAACTGCGTGCGTCCCCACATCGCCGTTGGCTGCCTCCTCCCCCGAAACAGGAGATTTCCCCCATCGCACAGCTGACCGACCGACGGCACGTCCCCCTTGGCACACTCGGCTAAGCTGTGACGACCGCGCTCTACACGTCGGCTTCCGAGCATACGTCTTCGGAGCTCCGATCTTGTCTGCCGGCGGGACGACCCACACGCGACTTCATCCGTGTGTTTTGGTGAGGCATCACGAGAATGTCCTTGGAATCCAGTCTGTCTGTCTGGTGGTGGTTTTGCCCACTTTTCTCCTGTCTGTCCCTCTCCTCCGCGTCTCCTTCCTTGACCCAACCATTCATTCTCCACAGACCAAATCCCCGGATTACCCCGGATCAGCTTTTAAGCTACAATAGATTGATCCTGGTCCGGAGGCGGGGGTGCCGTGCCGTCCGTCTGCTCTGTCCGGGTCTGTTGCGGGCGTCCAAGTACGCGTACCCGGGGATGTGGCAGACGATGCGTATCTGAACATGAGCAGTATTAGCCAACGTAGTCCTCAGAAGGACAGTGCAATCCATGGTGTAAGGACAGCCACTGGGCCCGTGTGGATATCCATGTCGTTGACAAGTCAACACTGTGCAGCAAGCCGCAGCAACTGCTCATCCATTTATACCCGGCTAAAGGTGAGCCGACAAGACAAGATCATGCAGCAAGGACTGCACTAGTTGGCACACGAGACCAAGGATCCCAGCATTAGATAGTATTCCCTATTAGACGCCGCTGCCGCTCGTGCTGCCCTGTATCGTTGGCGATGGTCAGCGTCTCACTGTTCCACCGCACGAAACTCACTTGCCAGGCCTTGCCTGCTCCCAAAACCTGCAAGAGTAGTATGATTGTGTACTAGTTGTCGCCCAAGGAAAGCAAAGCGCTGACGTTGTGCGCTCTCGTGAAGCACAACGTTCGTCCATTCGCATCTCCTCACGACGCCCCAGACATCCCCCACGATTCCATGCCTCCATGCACGTAAACGCCTCCGCAACCCCAGAGCATCCCACCCTGCTCGAAAGGCGTGGCCGACGCCCTCCATCGGTAAAGTTCCGCGCCCATAGAATTGGGCAAATCTCAAATCGCACCCAGCTACCAGTGAGTGACCTCGCTAGGCAATAGCAAGTTCGTCAATCGCCAACTGGAAAGGGTCCGGCTTGGACTCCCGATCCAGACGGTTCACAACATGCCAGTGCAGAAGGTCCCTGCAAGCCAAGGCATCCTCCAAACTGTCGTGGCCCCGCCCCGCCCTCTGGATCTTGCGCTGGAGGCGCGTATCCGCCAGTGCCTTGAGCGACGATCCCTGAACCTCGGGCGGCTGCTCCAGATGGTCCCATGGTTCGCCACGTTCCATCAGGGCCGCCCTCTCCTCCTTCATCTCCGCCCTGGCGGCCTCAAACTTGGCCCTCTCCAGTCTGGCGAACGACTCCTCGATCAGAAACGTGTCCACGATGCGTGGATGGATCCAGCGAAGGGAGGTGAAATCATTGTTCGACCCATGGCCTACCACGACCGTGTCCGGCCCGATAAACTTCCACATCTCCGCCCGCGCACTCGTCCTGCCAAACAGACAGGTGCGCCGCCGCCGCGCGTCGTTCATCATCTGGCGCGTGATGCCGGAGAACCGGGTGTTGAAGTGCTGCATGCGGCAGTCGGGCCACACGAGCTTGTCCAGCAGCACCTGGCCGGTGAAGTAGTCGATAACCGTCAGCCGGATGAGCTCCGAGTCGCCGTGCTCGGACGTACCCATTTCACAATCAATGGCCACAGCGTCGACGGGCTTGATCGCGGTGAATCTACCGCCACGACGGTGGCCCTGTGTGGTAGGCGATGGGCAAGGCGTGGGGTGAAGCTGCCAATCGAGCTCCAGCTCGTTGTGCGCGTAGACGCGAGGCATGTGCTGCGCAGCCTCGACGCAGCCTGGTACGGCAACGAAACCACCACAGCACGTCCAGTGCTAGAGCCAGTCAGTAACGTGCTCCGTTGTGGCCTAGAATTTCATCCTCGTACCTTGGCTCGCACCGCTCCGGTGTGATACCTGCAAAGGTCCTTGGCCTTGCTGTCCAACGACACCCCGCCAGAAGAGGCATCCTCACCATGCCTCATTTCCCAGCTCCAGCTCCTGCGTATCTTGGTCTTTTTCTTGAGAACTAGGTACAGATAGGTCAGCATGCATCACGCGGCGCCTCAAGCTTTTCCCTCGCCACACCTTTAGAACAGTGCGAGCATCGCTTCTTGCACTCGAGATCGTAGCTCGTCAGCTGCACGGTTAGGTACCCCCTCTTGTTGAGCACGCGCTCTGGGTGCGCGAGGCTCGTGATGGTCTCGAGGTACTCGGGTGTCTTCTCGATGAGCTCGGGGCGGTGCGGTGGAACGTCCATCGTGAAGAGTGACTCTCTGCCGAGAATTCAAGGTGGGAGAGTTGGCAAGAAGTGGCCGTAAGCAAAAGTCATCGAGGTGTTTATTAAGGTATGAGACGGTGAGTTGGCATTTGGGGCTTTGGCTGAGATAGGACGATCACGTGATAATATGGGATTTGAAGCTACCTAAACAACGCGCACCGGTTGCAAAGAACGAAGATAAGTAATTCTTAGCTCCCTCAACCGTAAAGAATGAAGATGGTTGTGCGGCTAGGTCTTTCGGGTCCTACGCAAAGCAGCACGTCCGGCGAGAATTTGGTTTTGGCCGCTGGCGTCGTAACGTTGAACTTAGTCAGTATATTGAATTACCCTGCACGAGAGATGCACTTCAGTTTGCATCGGGTTGAGTCAAATGAGACTTTGACGGCGTGATATTGAAATAAAATTGAAAAAGAGTATGCCGGTATGTTCAACCTTGCATGTAAAAGCCAAGGACCAACAAGGAAAATAAGTCGTTGCACTAATAGCTGTGATTTAGCGTCAGACAGTAAGGTGCGGGATTGAACGCGACTCGTGGTCCTTGACCAAATCGACATGAACTCTAGTTGACGCCAATGCTTATACCCGAAACAGATCTCAGATTCTCAAGGTCATGTAAGCTTGGAGACATCCTTGATGGACCCTACGTGCTTATACGTCAGGAACCACCAGACGGAGCGAACGGTCCGCCCACATCCACAATGGAGAGGCGCTCCGGCTTTCGTCACTGCTGAGGCAACGGCAGAGCAGCCATTCTGACCTCATCATTTCATCTCACCTTCACCATCACGCCGTCATCGCGATCTCACAGCGTAACGATCGCGCCTCGACGTGTAGTCAGACACACATCATGTCATTCCTACCCGTTTTGCAAAGGCACAAAGACGTGCGACCCCTCTTCTATGATCTAACACGGCAGGCTCGAATACAAGCTTGCCATCCGATAAAACTCACCGTGCTGCCACCATGCTCTCACGACGTTTCCTCCTCACTGCCACCCGCCATACTAGCAAATTTACTCGAGCATCTACTGCCCCGATCCTGACAAGTGTATCAATTGCACGGCCACACGCTACTCCCTGCACACAACCCATTCCTTCGCACGCTTTCTCGTCTACGCCCGCCAACATGTCGTCTCAAGACAAGAAGGACAACAGCATCTTCACCCGTGACAACCTGTTCAACCTCCATGGCAAGGTTGCACTCGTGACAGGCGGCGGCTCCGGCATTGGCCTGATGGCCACCCAAGCCCTCGCCGGCAACGGCGCCAAGGTCTACATTACGGGCCGCACCCAGGAGAAGCTCGACAACGTCGCCGAGACGTACGGCAAGAACATTGCCGGCGAGATCATTCCCATTGTCGGCGACGTCGGCACCAAGCAGGGCGTTCAGAAGCTGTACGAGGACTTTTCCCAAAAGGAAAAGTGCCTCTGCATCCTCGTCAACAACGCCGGCATCTCGAGCGCCTCGTTCCAGACCGAGGCCAAGGACGCCGCTGAGATGCGCACAAACCTCTTCGACCCCGAGAGCGCCACCTTTGACGACTGGAACAGCACCTACAACACAAACGTCACCGGTGTCTACTTTACCGCCACCGCCTTTTTGCCTCTGCTCGAGAAGAGCACCCAGACCCACAAGGGCTGGTCGTCCACCATTATCAACATCACCTCCATCTCCGGCATGATCAAGGGCGCCCAGCACCACTTTGCCTACAACGCCTCCAAGGGCGCCGCCATTCACGTCTCGCGCATGCTGGCCTCTGAGGTCGTCTCCAACGGCCTCAAGATCCGCATCAACAGCCTGGCGCCTGGCGTCTTCCCCTCGGAGATGACCGCAAAAGACAGCGACGAGGACCAGAAGAGTCACATCCCGGCTGAAAAGTACGCCGAGAAGGTGCCTGCGCGCCGCCCCGGCCGCGACGAGGACATGGCCCAGACTGTGCTCTTCTTTGCTGCGAATCAGTACCTCAACGGGCAGAACGTGGCTGTCGATGGAGGATACACTCTCGCTGCTGGTTTGTAAGATCATGGATGGACTATGTAGCGTTTCAATCAAGTAAAATGAATTCAATTGGATCGTCAGGATTGCAAGCAATGGTGTCATGGTTCTAGAGTGCAACTAATATACCCAGAGACTTATTACTACAGTAGTCCATTAATACTTATTACCGGGTAACCTGTCCTACCCATGATTGTGGCTGAAGCACTCGGCATCATCAGCCCCGTCATTAATAAAAGCCTCCTCACCGTCCCACCCCGTGCCCGCGCTCACCGCACACCCCGCTCCCGCCGCTGCAAGAACTGCATCGGCACAGAATGCACTCCCCCCTGGACCCTCGCTAGCTATCGAGGGACCCTGGGCCGATCACCGTAGGGCTGAAAGCGGGCCGCAGATGTGTGATCGGGTCGCTTTCCTCTTTTTCCCTCCCGCAGCATTCCTCCGCCTTGGAGGATGGTTCGCCTGGCTGGGTAGGCTTGGCCTTGATTGTGTGCGCACTGCGGGCGCAGTCGCGAACCTCGTCAAGATCTATCAAGCACAACGGGCCGCACAGAGAGCTCAGTCGTGGAAAATGAGAAATAGCTGTAAAGAAAAAACCTTGTCCAACTGTGAGTGGGACGCGCTCAGTCATCTTCAGCTATCTAGGCTACCTGACATAGTAATCCAAACTGGACATACAGGCCATTTACCCGTCCACAAACTCATCTCCTGAGCCCCCAAGAAAAACCAGGACAAAACGCCTCTCATGCCCGTCCTACACAAATCGTGCGAACCTCGAGTGAAAATGAATAAAACGCCGTTGTCAAGGTGTGGAATAGAGTGGAGTTCAATGGGCTGTTCTGCACTCCGGGTATCGTTGAAGAAGAAGATCCCTTCCTTATGCTGATTGTTGTATGATGCCGTATCGTGTGTGTATGTGCTCGTGACCATGTCGGAAATGCAAAACCGCTCGCTGATGCGCAAAGATACTGATAACCATGAAAGGCAAAAGAAAGACAGAGAAAATGAGTAGTGCATGTTGAAGTGCGCCATAGGTAGTCGTAAGGTCATGTTTGTTTGTCCATCCATCCAAAGTTGTGATGGAATGCCAGTGGTATCCGTTAGGGTTTACCGAGATGTTTGTCCATCCAGTGCTCCTCTAGCCAGCCGACCTTATCGAATGCCTGCCAAAGCTTCGAGGCTTTGTTCACGTCAATCTTGCACGCCTGCTGCGCATCTGTCTTGCGGAACTCCTTGGGCTGCTTGATGCAGGCCAGACGCCGCTCAAAGATGCGGCGCTTGCTGGTGAGATAGGTCGCGCAGTCTAGTCGCAGATTGCTTGCGAGAGCCAGCTCAGCGGGATGCAAGAGGTGGGCGTGGGGATCGGCGGACAGGTCAAGGGGCTGGCCCTTCCATTCCACCTTGAGCGCGTTGCCGCCCGATAGGGTCTCCCACGGATCTGGACAAAGGTCGGGTATCGACTCGAAATCCTTGTCCTCGCGGTTCGGCGCGACTGTTCTGCGCGAAGGCTCGGGCGTGGCGCTAGCGCGCGAAGTTGATCGCTTGCTGGGGCCGGGGCTTGTGCGGGTGGGGCCACCAGCTGTCCGGATCGCACGTGGGCCTGCCGATGGCTTGGTGACCCTGTCTGCTCGTGGTCCCCGCGCAGCCCTAGGCGGTACCGTCGTGTTGTTGTTGATCGGGGGCCTCGCTGGCATGATGCTGGGGTAGCGCTGGGCAATGAGGCTATTGTCGTGCCTGACCTGCGCCAGGTTCTTCAGAAGCCAATTACGTGGGTTCTCACGGTAGCGATCCATAATCTTAGACCGGAAAGATAGCGTGAGCAGGTAGTCGTGATCGCTGGGCCCACTGAGATCTGATTCCAAAGGATGCTCTCGTCGGTGTTGCTCAATAGCCTGGCGATGGGTATGCTCCAGATCGTACATGAAATTCTGAGAACGTCGCAGCACTTGAGGCGGAGGACGCATCGAGTCTGCACGAGGAGGTGACCTTGGGGGATCGAGTGTTCTGTGTACTGGCGAGTGTGGAGGCGACATGGGTAGCGGTTGAGACGAAGATTTGACGTTCGCGGGGGCGAAAAGAGGGCCCATTGTGTTCTGTCCTTCCTGGGGGAAATTGTCCATCACCTGGTCGGGCGGTGACATGAGCGTGTTGAGATCCATTTTGCCCTGTGTTTGTGTGGCTTTGCCTGGTGATGCGGCAGCTGCGTTTGCAGCTGCAAATGGTGGCGTTTGCGCGTATGATTGGGATGCCATATTGTCGCCGTACGACGCCAGAGACGCAACAAAAGGGTAAGGCTGAATTGTGGCACGAGTATGTGAGGAAGAAGAAATGGTCGGGGCAGAGGTAGAGGTAGGTTGTGAAGAAGAAGAAAAAGAAGATGGTCGTCTCGTAGGCGGCAGCATAGTGCCTTGTGATCCCTTTGGAGCAGGCATTGGTGACGGTTTGTCAGCCATGGTGTGGATGATTCCAGGCGGTGATGACTGGTGTGTCATATGCGCTGGCACGGGTGGCGACAATGCCTGTCGGGGTTCGGGATTAAAAGAAATGGTACTTCCAAACTCGATCTTCTCCAAAATGCAATTGCGATTGTGCTTGGGTGCAGTGACGAGCTCAGGCTCGGTTGTGCAAAACTGCGGCAAGCTGCGACGGAATATGACAGAAGATGAGGGAAGCAACTGGATGACCTAGGGGGCGAAGCAAGAAATCCAAAGCCATTCACTTCCAAATCATTCACCAATTGACGAATGGTCGATGAGTCCAGATGAATGACGGACTGATTATCCCGTTGTCAGTCAATGAGCCAACGCGATTCGTCAATGGGAGTACCGGAAGCTATTGTCCCTGGGTGAAAGGCTGTGAGTGGTGGTGTAGTTGCTCTGTTCCCAGCTAACCCGGCTTGGTGCGAGTCTAGCCGTGTGGTTGACGTTAGGCAGACGTACGTGTGTGATTCTGTGGCGCAGGCGCTGCTGTGGCGAATAATGGTCGACTCAACCAGATTGCACTCTTTGGTGGGTGTTCTGAACTTATAGAAATTCTGGGCAGCGGTAAATCGTTGTTGATTCCAGAATCCGGCGGCCAGCAGTTCCGTTATTGGCGGGTGCCTCCAGGGCCAGGCTGCCGATGACTCTTTCACTACGGTAACCACGAGTGAGCACAGGCTGAGGCGTACGGTGGCGCGGTGACTGGTTCTCTTGTTGTACCTCCAGGCAGCAGAGGCTGACGAGTATTTGATCGCTGACTTGGAAAGTGCAATCAATTGGGACACGACGTAGGCAGCTGGAAAGCAGAAGGTCCTTGTCTTTTCATGAGGCGACGGACGAATAGGTGCGCTTGTGAACCCCTCTCACGGATGGAGGTTGTTCTCCAGTAAACCAGGGCTTTACCGACAAGTCGTACCCACACAGATGACGGGCGTGCTAGGAAGTGCGGTGTTGAAGAAGACGACAGAGGGGAGAGGAGATGATGGGCAATGGCCGTTGATATGTGTGCGTCCGGCGGTCAGGGCGAAGCGCAGACATGGGCGTGCGCGCAGCGCCAGTGTTGCCGAATGAGTATCTGTTCTGGGGGTGGCCCCGGCCCTGCGGAGTTCAGTCACGTCTGCCGCAAGATAGGCCACGGACACATCAGTTCGGGGGATTCCAGATGACCCGAATGTGTTGGCGAGGCGGGCGAATGACTGGAGTGTAAGGCTGCCTTGTGATGATACCGTGAGAACATGGAGGCGATGATGAGGCAGAAACGAGGAAAGAACATGCACCATAGATCTTGTTAATTTTATTTATTCCATTTGACTCTGCAGTGAACATCTCAACACTTTAAGCTTTAAGGTAAGAGCGAAGGGTTTTGATCCCTTGTTTGCTGCTCGCAGGAAAGAAGAATGTCACCTTACATATGCTGGATGTACCTTTACAGAGTCTGATAGAGGCACCCCCCCCCTCTGCTCACGAGGGTCACAGCATGCGCTTTCTGTCCGGGGCGCCAAAATAGAACCACCACAGCGCTCTTCACCCCTGAAACTCAATGCGCCTGCCACTAGCGACAGCTGAACTACTAATAACATGAACACCTGCCACCTACACACTCTCATCAACCCCCATTCTCGATAATCAAATTAGGGCACTCGGGTCCCGTGATATAGTCAGATGGTTCTGTTTATCAATTGGGTTCTCGTCGCCCCCAATTGGCCTGCTTTATCAGATGCATTGGCTCTCTACACGTATGGCGCTATCCACGGCTCCAGTCCTCATACAAAGATCTTAGGCTTTGACTCATTGAAACAGTACACGACTGGGCCTGCCGCATGGGCGTGCCAATGGCTGGGGCTTTCATTGACGACGCATTAGTGGTCAATGGCTGGGGCTGCATGAACAATCGATGAAACGCTGCCCGAAGGGCCGTCCACCTGGCTCTGGACACGGCTGGAACCTGGGTACCTGACATAAGGGCCTCACGATCCTGGACGCTGCAGCATCGCGAGGAAACGTCGTCTGTACTGCCACGTACGCAATACTTCAGGATGCGCTGGTTATGGCGATGTTTGTTCGGGTACGGGAAGAGGAGGAGATGCTCCAGATGTAGTCTCGACGCGCCCATTGCCGACACCCCTCTTCGATATTGTTTGCGGCTTTCGTCCAGGCGGAGGCCTGTGACCACCAGTCCGCACGTATCGATTATGGTTGTCAACAATTCCCACCGCGTCTGGCGCCTAGGTAACAAACATGCTGATCCCCTTGCGTTGCCCCTCTCGGGCTACACAGCACCGTGGGGTGAGGGAGCCTCACGACAAAGTAGGGGACAAGTCCACGGCCATGTTCCGAGTCTGCCCACCAGTTGCCCTGGAGATCGTCAAGCCTCCCGAGGTTCAATTTATTCCGGGAAAATTGTACGCTCAAGCAGGACATGCTCAACTACGTACTTTCGAACATCAATGCTCTTTTCTGGTAAGAATTAAGTCCTACTTGTAACTTGCGACGCCGGTTGAGGGGGGAGAGCATTGCGCTGAAAAAGGAGGGGCTTTCACCCTC